TTCAAGAAAGGATTTAGCGGCACAAGCAGCTGCCGCCGCCGCCGCCCCATTGAACGGTCACAAAAACCCGAGCCAAGCCGGCGAAAACGATCAATCCCCCCCGAACCGAACCGAGAGTACCACAGCAGCCAAGCGAGCTTCTTCCTTACCCATCGAGCACCAAACAACTTCAAACGACAAAACCATGAGCGATATGAGCGAAGGTTCAGTGAGGAGTCAAAGGACCGGGAGTATGGACAGTATTGATCTAGGCGCACATCAGACACATATCGCGAGTCATCCGGGGGCCATGGACAGAGATCTGGAAAGCCCGGCTGCTCTCGATCTCAGTTATGGGAATATCCACCAAGAATATCACCGTCAAGGGATGGGTGCTCATCTGATGAACGGCGCATCGCATCATACACCATACGGCTCAAATCAGGCTGCCATGTCCAACTATCCAGATCTACCATACGCCCTGCATACTCAAAGTCCGACCGGCTATTCGGCAAACACATCAAGTGGTTTTCGCATTGGGACCAGCCCGTTGAGCGCTTATCCTATGGCTGGCGGATCAACTTCGCCTGGTTGGATGAACTTGGCATCACCGCCACCCCAGTTTGCGCAGCATGTTCCGCAGCCCACCTACAGCCATGCACAATTACGATACCCCGTGTTGGAGCCACTTCTACCGCACCTGGGTAACCTGATGCCGGTGTCGTTGGCATGCGACCTCATCGACCTATACTTTGCCAGTTCCTCTTCGGCGCAGATGCACCCCATGTCGCCTTATGTTCTTGGATTTGTATTTCGAAAGCGCTCCTTCTTGCACCCCACGAAACCTCGTCAATGTCAACCTGCGCTTCTAGCAAGCATGCTGTGGGTTGCTGCTCAAACCAGCGATGCCCCCTTTTTGACGACCGTTCCGTCAGCGCGCGGCAAGATCTGCCAAAAGCTTTTGGAGCTCACAGTGAGCCTTCTTAAACCTCTAATTCACACCCCGTCCGAGGAGCCTTCACCTGTCTCGAGCCCAATTGTTGATGGAGTGGCGCTGGGTGGCCTCGGTGTAGCTCTTCCGGGATCGATCAGCATGGATGCCTTGACCGGTGAGACTGGCGCATTTGGCGCCGCAGGGACCTTGGACGATGTGGTGACTTATATCCACCTTGCCACCGTGGTTTCTGCAAGCGAGTATAAAGGTGCCAGCTTGCGGTGGTGGAACGCCGCATGGTCACTAGCTCGTGAGCTCAAGCTCGGACGAGAAATACCACAAAACTCACCCTCTATGCAGAACAGTGGGAGCGAGCTTGACGGGGAAATGGGCAACATTCCTGGCATGATTACCGAGGAGGAACGAGAAGAGAGACGGCGTATTTGGTGGCTCGTCTATATCGTCGACCGTCACCTTGCACTATGTTACAACCGGCCTTTGTTCCTCCTCGACATCGAGTGCGATGGTCTTTTGCAGCCCATGGATGATACCGACTACCAGAACGGGAACTTCTATGCTTACACCGATCCGAATGTTCTGGCTTCGGATCCTAACACTCCAGCTGCTCGGCATCGTGGACCATCTTTTGTCTGCACTGGTCATAGCATTTTTGGCTACTTCCTGCCCTTGATGACCATTCTCGGCGAGATCGTGGACTTGCATCATGCTCGAAATCACCCACGCTTTGGCGTTGGCTTCCGTTCATCCCGTGAATGGGATGATCAGACAGCTGAGATTACCCGCCATCTTGAAATCTATGAAGAAAGTATCAAGAGATTCGAGCATCGTAATCTCAGTCTTAGCGCACAAGCACAAGCTGCTGACGAGAAGGCTGCCGAGGCGGCCGGTGTTCCAACCGCCAATGATGCGCCCCACGATGCTGGCACACCGTCAGTTCAAAGTGTACACAGCGTACACACCACTTCCAGCCGGATGACAGAAAGCGATATCCAGACTCGCATCGTCATGGCCTATGGAACACACGTTATGCATGTATTGCATATCCTCCTTACGGGGAAATGGGATCCCATCAACCTCCTTGATGACAATGACCTCTGGATCAGTAGCCAGGGCTTTATTACTGCTACTGGGCATGCGGTGTCCGCTGCCGAAGCCATTAGCAACATTCTTGAATACGATCCCGGCCTGGAGTTCATGCCTTTCTTCTTTGGCATCTATCTCCTCCAAGGCTCGTTCCTCCTTCTGCTTATCGCAGATAAACTTCAGGTTGAGGCATCACCCAGTGTCGTCAAGGCTTGTGAGACCATCATTCGTGCGCATGAGGCTTGCGTGGTTACCCTGAACACGGAGTACCAGGTATGTCGATCTCTTCGTGATAGCATAGATCTTGTGGACGCTTTGGTAACTCTTCCTTCTCCTTGCAGCGTAACTTCAGCAGGGTGATGCGCAGTGCCCTTGCACAGGTCCGCGGCCGCGTGCCTGAGGATCTTGGCGAACAACACCAACGCCGCAGAGAACTGCTGGCCCTTTACAGATGGACCGGCGATGGAACTGGCTTGGCCCTCTGATTCCCCTTTTTATGCCACACCATCTGCAGTAAATATGGTGCCCTTCTGGCTTTTATACCTGATGCTCAATCCTGAGATACCTTTTCTTTTTTTTTTTTTTTTTTTTTTTTTTCGCTCACAGCGATTTGGCTGGCGTTGGTGTTTTTGCATTCATAACTGGTTGGGCTGTTCGAATTCGGAGTTTTATGAGGATGGGAACCCAAAACCAAAAGCGTGATCAAGGCGGTTATTTAGGTGGGCGGAAGCTGGTATCGGTTGGGGGGCTTCACGTTCGGGTCGGGTCGATCGCGCTGGTGTATCGAACGGCAAAAGATAAGCAATTGTCTGGTTACTTGGGCTCATGGATATATTTTAGTGATAACATGGGAACAAAGGACTTGCCTGTGTTGATATCGTTGACACCTAAGACATGTGCAGAGATCATAAGTAGGCCAAAATCAGATGCTACAAGAATGGTAATGAATGGTGCATGCTGTCGCGAATCTTCATCTCGATCACACAAATCGCACTCATGCAACGATATCCTGGGACAAAAAGAAAAGAAACTTCCATCTGTATTTTTCACGATATTTATTGAGCAGTAGTATCGCAGTGTTGGGTATTACATTGCAGTAGCACAGAAAGTAGTCGAGGTGCAATTTGTTGGGGCCCTCCAGCTTTACTATGTACCTTTATAAAGTCATCTAATGAAAAAGTTTCCAACAACCAACTACGACAGCTGATCAACAGTTGTACATCTTCCGTAGTATAGTGGTCAGTATGTGAGCTTGTCAAGCTTGAACATCAGTTCGATTCGCTCGAGACCCGGGTTCAATTCCCGGCGGGAGAGACCAACCATTTCTTTTTTCTTTTTTTTTTTGCATTTCCCTACTTCGTATATTGTACGGCTTCACCCATGCCATTCATTCTGCGAATTGTTCATATGATTTACTACATTTTGAGTTCCGTTCGTTCATCCCTGAGAACTAGTACTAGTTGGCATTCGTTTTATCGTGCTATGCCGAACCACATAGTAGCCGCAATCATTACCATCATTGTGCCTTCGCGATATCGCAGCATACTTCCACTTCAAGTTGTTACTTCTGACGTATCGAGCGTCCTTGCCTTGGAAAACCCAAACGACACTTTTGACCTTTACGCAATGAGGTTGGTAGCTACTTCATGATTTATTTTGTCGGGTCGATGGCGATTATCTAGTTTAGGGAGGCGCATCCGGTGTTCCTCCTGCCTTTGCGTGTAGAGTACGAAGAAAGTTACGAAAACTAAATCTGGACCGTGAGATTGGACGCCTATCAGGCGCGTTGGGGACTGGGGCGGTGCAGTGGTATACTGCAGTTCTCATGACTCTCGTTACATGCCTAGATACAAGACTATATAAGCTTGGACGCTTCGCTTCCGAAGAGTCGGAGGAGACGGATTGAGCTGCAGCCGTGGTGATGTCAAGCCAGGCTACTTAGTTCCTGATCTAACAAAGACAGTGAGTGGGATCAGTAATAATTCGTTTCTCCCGCTACCTAGGCAATTTTCTCTCACACATAAACCTCTACTGACTTACATACCTATAGGCGTGTAAACCTGCAATCCAGGAATCGCCCCCCTTCTTCGTCGTATAATCCACACGCACTCAGACTATGTACATCTTCCCAGGGACCCACAAAGCTGAAGATTCCAATACGTAGGAAATCTGAACGGTTCTTCGAAATGCCTTACCATCTCAAGGAAGAACCTAGAAGATACACACACCCCTTCTTGGCTGAAGATATGATGGCAGAAGTTCGGTTGTGGCCAGTGCGTGATCTCAAAGGTCTGTCTCCCCATCGTGATACATGTGAAAAGAAGGCTGGAGGTTATAGCACATACATGGCTCCCATTTCGACCTTGTGTACTGGAAAGACATTGATCGATGTTTGTTCAACCGGCTTGGCGAACAGGAGAGAGGTGGGTCGGGCAGATAAGGTCGAAGTATACGTAGTCTGGGCTGTCGACATCCGGCTTTGGCGTTCAGCAAGATGCTGGCTAGATAGGCCTGAGGTTGAGTAACTGCTCTGATGTTGTCCGTACGCGGTAGAGCAAGACTGGCTGACTAGCCTGAACTAATCTCCACCAAAGCTGTGCTTGGGAATTGCATAGAAGACTAGAATATGTGTCTGCTGATGATGCTTGGCGGTTGCCGTCGACCAGAGTTTACCCCTGAATCTTTGTTGTTGTTGCGTCTGACTGACAGGGGTAGCTATCGTTGCACCGGCTGTAGACTGGGCAACAATACTCGCTCACGCTGTTAGTGACTTGTGTATCACTTAGAAGTTTTAGCGTAAATGAACATCTAGAGAATACGACAATCTGGCTACCTTATCTACTCACTGAAACTTGTGTGTGATCTTCTGGCCATAGTCCGCTGTCAAGCTGACACTCTCCTCTTCATGGGAGGCGCCGACCCAAAACACAATCCAGACACACACATGGATTCCCATCCAAAACGATACTACCATTTATTTTTTGCTACCCATGCACCGTGAAGGTCAAGAAAAAAAAAGAGACACAAGGCAAACACCTGACGAGAGATATTCCATTCTCTCCCCGAGTCCCCGTGTTCAAAAGTCAAAGCAACGAGGTATACCAACCCTACCCACCTCTTTTTTTTACGTAAAAACACCCTTTCTAACCTGGATGCAAAAGAAAACCCCTGCCAAATATGATATGTATAGCCTCACCCAATAGGCTATGTTATGATGCTTGTGAGATATAGAAAAGACCCGGCTGTCTGTAGTTAGACAGGGGCGTGGTTGAAAAGATAAGACACCGACTCGCCGTTGTGCGTGCGGCGGATGGCCTCGGCGATGGTCGGGGAGATGTCGATGACGCGGATCTTGGGGCACTGTATTATGTAGGGTAGGCGCTGGTCAGTTATCTTGCCAAGTTTGATAGGGAGATCGATCTTCCACATCCAGAGGAGACGAAAAGTGCAGTTAAAACTAACCCTTTCAATCTTGTCACCGAGCGGGACGGTGTTGGTGCAGATAAGCGCCTCGAGGACACTACCGTTAAGGTTCTCAATGGCTTTACCGGAAAGAATGCCGTGAGTAACGAGAGCGAGTACGGCCTTGGCGCCGTTCTCCTTGAGGACGGAGGCAGCCTTGACGAGAGTGCCGCAAGTGTCGGCCATATCATCGACAAGGATGGCGATCTTGTCCTCGACATTACCGACGAGAACCTGTTGTCACACAGTCAACTTCGGCCCTACCAAAACACCATTTCAGACTTTCTTACCATACGACCAACAACGTTGGGACGGGGGCGCTCCTTATGGATAAGAGCGAAGCCGGTGTTGAGGTGGTCTGCGATGGAGGTAGCACTTGAAGAAGGGTTAGTCAGCCCGAGCTGTTTGTCTTGATGGAAACGCAGAGTACTAACCGCTTGGCACCACCGGCATCAGGGGAGACGATCACACAGTCCTCAGGCTTGTAGTTCTCGCGGATGTAGCGAAGGAAAGAAGGCTCCGCATACAGGTTGTCGACTGTTCATCGGTTAGAATCGGGTGGTCTCGTATGCGGCAGTGGCAGGCTTACCGGGAACGCTGAAGAAGCCTTTTGTTTTCGATTCGTCAGCACGCGTTTTCCATATCGAGTATGTCGAGGGAATCGTTCAATCGTTCAATGGGTAAAGAGATAGGCATACCTTGGATCTGTAGGCAACATTGTTAACATATGGCTTCGGACAAAAGATGGATCGCAAAGACAGAACGTACCTGAGAAGCATGGAGATCAACGGTGACAATGTCTAAGTCACAGTTAGCGGCGACCAGAGCCCCTCGAGCAACTGGAGAACGGCTTACGGTTGGCACCGGCGGTTTGCAACATGTTGGCGACAAGTCTGGCGCTGATAGGAGCGCGGGACTTATCCTTCTTGTCCTGGCGAGCATAGGGGAAGTTGGGACTGAAATAGTCAGTTTAATCTGTCCGGTTTCCAAAGCAAAAGCATTGTGGCATCTTTTGCGCCAACACAATCAGGCTACCACTGAAGCCCCCATGGCTGGCGCAAAGAATGCGCGCGAAGGCGTTCATGCTCATGGATCAGATCCTTACATGACTGCCGTTATCCTCCGTGCACTGGCGGTTCTGCAGGCCGAGATAGCGATGAGGAGCTCCATCAAGCCCTCGTTGACGTCGCCGGTGGTGGTAGACTGGATAATAAAGACATCTTCGTCGCGGACCGACTCGCCGACGGTGAAGGAGGTTTCTTGGTTCGAGTAGTTGAGAGAGATGGTCCTAGCGACCTCGATTCCGAGTCTGCGACAAAGCAAACACAAGGCGGGTCAGAGATTTGTTGCTGCTGGACGACGGCGCAATGCGCGATATCGGAAATGATTTCGAGGACAAGATTGGGAGGGCAGGTAGTAGGTAGGCAGGCATACCGCTTCGCAACCTTCTCGCTGAGCTCGGGGTGGCTCCTTCCGCTGATGAGTTTGACCTCGTTCGCCATTTCGCCGGACATGTTGTCGAGAAGTCGGAGAACCCGTCAGGTAGACGACAGGCCAGCGTTGGTTGACAAAAAGATTTCGAATGGAGGGTCTCGGGTGTTACAGCCACGGGCGGGTTACTTCCTAGCTTCTCTTATGCAGCTGGTGACCTGTTAGCGGGGTTGCCGGCAGGGGGGGCTCATGGACAACACGAGAAACGTGATCCTGAACGGCCACGATGTGTGGTTCGCTGGTGGTGGGTAGTAGGGGAGGGAGGTAGAGTTTAAGCTCCGACGGGAGTGAAATGAGCCGTGTCAAGGTGCGTACCTAGAGGTAGGCTCGTAGGGTAGACGGGTGTGGTGGTGACTGGTGGTGAATGGGCAGTGAAGTGTGGTTGCAGTGGGATTGATGTTATACCGGGAACGCAAATGGACTCAAAGGGCAGGAAAGACAGAGGGTTCTCACTGACAAGGAAACAAAGGATTCTCGGATCAGCAAAGTTGTTAAATTTGCGTCTTGAATTGATTGGATTTGAAGGCATCAACCGCAAAGGTCAAAGTCGCAATAGGCAAGTCAAATAATAAGTATTGGAATGGGGGAAAAAAGTCTCGAGTTCTCAATGGGCGGGCGTTCGAGACCGATGGACAGGCACAGCGCGTCGACGGGGCCGGCCACTGCCAGGATCACAGGCCAATGCCCCATGACGGGCGAAAAAAGTTGAAAAAATTCTGTGGAGACCCCTGACAGCCGAACTGCGGACAGCCACCGGGCACTGACTGCGTGGTGACGCTCCCCGGGCCGTTTCATGGCACTGGGGCGGACAGGGCCAGTCCGATCTAGGTATGAAAGCCAGCCAACTGCCGCCCTTTCACAGGCGAAAAAGAGTCCTTTCAACATTTCTTCCCCTTGTAGAGGTACAACTCACCTCACCCATTCACAGCGCCTATCCTCGTCGCCGGTACGTATCGACAGCCCCCGCCCCGCATGCCAAATGTTACTTACCTATCGATAAGCTGCCCGATGAGCCAACGGAATCGGTTGAGCGGATGGGAGTTGCACATGTAAGAGCATCCCCGGCTCCTAGGTGCGTTCAGCTAGTCCGCCATCACTTGTCTCACATATGCCCCGACGAGTCTTGTCCAAACGCTACTGTAGGTACTATGAGCCATTTGAGACAAGGTACTCGGAGAGAACACCATCAAATGCTTCATTAGCGAGACTTGACTCGGTCATATGTGTGTACATATATGAAGTTTTGCCGATTGACTTCAAGTGCCCTCGGGTAAGACCATAAATAAACAATCCGGAATCCTTCAATAATTCAAATCGCGGCAGTTGCGGTGAAAAATCATCGATAACTTTGTGAAACAGGGCAACGGCAAGGTTTGACTTCACCTAACCCATCTGGGTTGTTAGCGCAGAAACGAAAACGGAATCAAGGGATTTGGACGAAGACATGGGACGGAAGATTATATCAAAATTCACCTCCATGCCTACTAGTAGCCCACAGTGTTCATTAAAATTCTTCCAGTTGATATGTTAACAACACCATAACTTTACTCTCAAGCAGAGGCCTTTGGCGTAGCAACTTCATCAAGCTCCTCTCCTTTCGGGTCGCTAGTCTTCACACCAGCCAACGACTCATCATCTTTATTATCTCCCTCGGTCACATCCACATCCAACAAGCTACTGGCCTTGCTCACACTCGCACTCTCCGTAGTCTCCGCCCTCAAACCCAATCCCTTTTCCTTTGGAAGTTGTTCGGGGTTAGCACCCTTCCAGTCCGCAGGCTTCATCTGGGGTACAGGGCTCCCCTCCCCAGGCTGGGTGATGACCGTAACTCTCTGGACCGTTTCAGGCGCAGCAGTAGTAGCAGAAGTAGTCTCAGTAGCGGCGCCAGCGCCAGTCACAGTCCCAGTCCCAGTCCCAGCAACCTTCCAAACAACTGACAGCCGATCAAGAGCCCTAGTCCCCTTCTTACTTGATCCCTTGATGCCATCCAGTTCATCCCACTCGATTTCGAACACACCGCTATCGTCTGCTTGGCCATCCTGCTCCGGTCCGTTGCCCTCGAAGAAAGCGTTGAACCAGACGTGACCGACGGCAGTAACCATGGTTAGGCCCATGCTGGCCGAGGCGCGGCTTCGTCTTTCGATGTCAATGTTGATATCGCTGTTGGGGACGATGATGGGCTTCTTGGGCTTGAAGATAACGGCCCGGCCGCCTGGCTCCGATTCATCAGCCAGGACCGGCTTTTGTCGCTTCCGAGAGGATTCGGTGCTGGTTTTCGAGTGGATGGGGGTGAGGTTAGAGGTAGATTTGCTGACGCTGTTCTGTTCTGTCGACGGGAGATTCGTAACCTGTGAGGCTTCCGGCATTGCGATGGTCTTTGCTTTTCTGCCATTTGCTGATGAAATGCTCAGCGCGCTCTGCTTCTTCTCCTCGAGCTCCTTCTCTTTATAGTCCTTGCTCTTTCGCACCGAAATCTTCCTCATCAAATTGCTCGCCGTGCTCCCCATCTTATCCACCTTTTCCTTACTCCTACTCCTTCTCGCACTAGACGCATCCGTTGTCGACCGATCTGTTACATCGTCATCAACATCGCTTTTCGCACCATCCAAGCCCGAAACCTCCTTTTTATGCTCCTCCTCCTCTTCTAAGTCGCTTTCTCTACCGGCGCCGTACCCAGCCATATCATAAAACATATCCATCACCCCGCCCCCGCCAGGCGCATCCCCCTTTACTACAATCCTCTCATCCTTCCCAAACGTATGCAACGTCTCGATCCTCTTGCCCTCGTCCGCAAACCCTTCCACCGCAAGCTTGACCCCGTGCCGGAGTCCCCAGACGTGTATCTCGACAATCTCAATCGGTCTGTCCACATAGATCTTCCTCTTGGCCGGCTCGCTACCGGCGTGGGCCCACCTTTCGACGTAACCCACGTATCGAAGCTGGCTGGGAATCGAGACGCCCTTACCAAAGTTGGGACGCATGCGTCGCTCGGTGAACCGCGCCAGGGCGTCGGCGGCGGTCCAGCCGCACTCGGAAATGAGGTAGCTGCAGATGGAGGTGCCGGAGCGGCCTTTGCCGGCTTTGCAGTGGACGACGACCACGCGCTCGCCTTTTTGACGCGGGCGGTCGAGATCGTGTTTGTTTCTGTCCGCTGTGTTTGTATCTCCTTTCTTGTTGTCGTTGTCGTTGTTGTTGTTGTTGTTGTTGTCCTGTTGGTTTCCGTCAATTGCGCCACTGGCAGCCCCCCTTTCGTTTGTCGTTTCCGGCGTCGCCATCTTCGTAGTACCACTGCTGTCCCCAGACGATCCTCCATCCTCCCCATCCAACCAATCGCGCATACTAGCCGTAATCAACGGCACCAGCCTGAACGGCGGCGGGTGGTGATCCGGCCAAGGGTAGTGTCTAATCCGGTTATACACGGCTTCGTCAGGATATCCCGTGCCCTCGGCGCGGAATTCCCAAATGGACCAGCCATCACCGTGTTTCTCGTCGAGGAAAGAGACCAAGCGGTTAAGCGGGTTACGGTAGGCTAGTTGGGGGTAGGTTTGTGAGGGTCCAGATCTGTCGTTTCCGCCGCCCCAGTTAGCCATTCCATCCCTGCAAATACAGAGGCGGAAGAAGGGAGGAGGAGGTAGAGGTAAAGGTAGTACCTACGTTGCGATGATATTCGAGGTAACATAACATAGATCTAGTCCTGTATCCTCGTGTTGTTGGCGCGGACCAGCGACGAGCTGACGCAGCAGGGAAACCATGGTCGGTATCCTTTTTAACCTGAACAACGTCCCAACAGATTGACCTGTCTATAGGTAAAAAAAAAAAAAAAAAGGGAACTTCAATCCGAAGGAGAAAAAAATGACGGCTTAGAGGCTGCTGAGTGACACAGCCGTTGGCGGAAAAGAAGGTATCGTTTGCTCAAGTGGTTCGGTGACGTGTTATGGGATGAGAGTAACAGACTAAGGGAACAGCTCAGTTATGGAGGCGCAGCACATCTGGCGCCAGAAAGGCATTTATTTACACAAACGTTGGAATCTCGAAACCTGGCAAGATCATACACCGTTTCCTAGTCGATCATCCAAGCTATTCGATATAATCCAGATCCGAATGCGTATGGGTCGAAACCTCGTCTACCAGCTGGATGGTGAAGGCTGTGAGGGAGGCCTGAGAACCCGCTTGGTTCAGGCCTACCTATTGTGAAAGCGGAAGCGACGTCATTGCTGGGAGCCCCAGCGACATGATGCTGGCGCTGTTCGACATGGAGGGGCCCGGAGGGGGTCCCTGAGGTGATAGGGGTACAAAAGTGGGGCAGCTACTGGTCGAGGATAAACTTGAACCGACTCGTGGAATGTTGGTATTCGTACACGACCCCTACGACCAGAATAGCTGGCTTGATGACAATATGTTTCTAGGTAATAATCATACGACTAGGATATGAATTAACAGAGAAGCAAACCAGGTATACACGCATTGGTGCATTCAGCAGCTAGGAAATTCAAACACCCTTCTTCAACCACTTCTCTCCGCAACCAGAAAGAGTAACACTGCAACAAACTGTCAATGAAAGCCTAGTGATAAACTGATTTTAAACAATTACTGAGCTTCATTCCGAAGCCATTACGCACTATTACCCCTTTCCGTGGCATGTTGCCTTCCAGCCAACAGGTAGTTCCCGGTACGCGACCCCTCCAGAGTCCTGTTCTTCCCAACCGAAAGGTATGACCGATCCTTCGCTTCTGGGCCAAAGATTTTCGAACTAAAGGAAGCACCGCAGGCTATTAATCTCGGCTGTTGTCTTGCCTAGGTCGCGCTAGCATGCGCATGCGCGAAGCAATCTTGTCATCAATGCCCAAACATCTCGAGCTTCGGCGGTAGCCGAGAACTTAAGAGGTCTTCTTAGGGGCAGCGGCACCGCTGATGTACTTGTTGATATCAGTAGCCTGGTGGAACTGACGGGCAAGGCCCTTGACGGTCTCCCAAGCCTGACGAGCAGCCGGAGGGGTGCCCTGAGCGCCAATGAGGTTGTCGATGCGGGCCTCAAAGGTGCTGAACGAGTTCTGGACGTGGCTGCTCTGAGCAAAGCGGGTGCGAAGGAAGACGGTGTAGATGACGAGCAGGATCCAGGAGCGGCGCTGGAAGATGATGGCAGAGAGGAGGATACGGATCCAGAGGACGAGCTCAATGTTGGCAACGACCGACATGGACGAATCGTAGTACTGCTTAACGAAACTGCCAATCGCGTCGGACATAGGGTGCTGAGTGTACTGGGGCTTGGCGCTGGGCGAAGCTCCGGCGGCAGGGGCCACCTTGGTTGGGGGCATGATAGTCGGGATCAAGTTCGCACGAGTGTAGGTAGCGACATGGAAGACCGAGTAGATGGCGAAGGGAAGCATGGCGATGGGATACTGGGGCATGAAGAGCCAGACAAGGGCCAAAACTGAGCTTCGCGGTTAGCATTCGTTGAAAGGGTCACCGCTTGCAGGAAAAGAGCAGACATACGGAGGTACTGAACGTTCTCGTCGGTGAGGTAGCTGACAAAGTTGGCCGGCTTAGCACCGGTCTTCTGACGAGCGCGCCATGTCTTGTAAACCACGATACCGTATGTGAGGGCAGCGGAGAGGAAGGTGGTGCGGTAGCAGAACTGGGCCATACGACCATAGTAGTTCATGCGCAGCCACGAGAAGGCGTAGCGGGTGACGCAAAGAAGAAGGGTGGCATGTCTGTAGTGATCAATATCTTGTCAGCATACGTTCGAAGCAATCGAAATATATCCTGGCGCGAGAATCGGCTGTTCCGCAACTCAGTTCCCGTGAGATACCGCCTTGCTGCCCCTTCTGAACTTTGCTTCGTCCTGATCGAAAGCGGGCGGCACGAGAGGGAAGCGGGACAGCAAGCCAATCGAGAATCAAGACGTACCCAGCGAACCAAGCGACTAGGAAACCAAGACAGTCAGCCATTTGCGCTCATAATAAATCTTCGAATCGCTACAACAGCGATGGAGGCTCAAACGGAGAGAGAGGGTTGGGTGCACACGTACACTGCAGGGTCTGTGCCAGCTTTTGAATCCTCTGCGCAAGAGGCAGGTCGGCGGGCGGCGGGGGAGCCATTGTGATAGAAATGCTGTACTGGAAGCGGGTTGCTTAAAGTTTGATGTAGTCGGTGTCCGGCGCGGTAATTTTTATATCGCTCGGTCCGGTGGGTGAAGTTGTTTGGAGAGCTGAAGCTGAAATAACTTTGAGAGCAGCCGGCGGGAGAGAGCGTGGCTGAGGTGGTGAGCGGTGCGTATGGTGGAGTTCTCTGGGAAAAAATAGGGCGGTCGTGTGCTTGTGCTCCAGCTCCCGCTTCTTCAATGTCCACGTCGACCCAGGTCGGGGAATTTCTGCCGCAGGTTCGATAGTGTGGCCGGTGCGCCTTGCTAGCTGTTGCCCCTGCAGGACCTGGTATTGCACTAACGTAGCCTGGATATTTTTTGGTGGCACGTTAACCTGAACTCGTCGAGACAGGCGTTCAAGATGATAGCGCAAACAACAACTTCCAGGTTTCGTAGGGCTGGCTGCGACTGCGGTTTGTAGGACTCCTGTTTACCACTAGCTTCAGAAGGGGAAGTTGAGATGGCGTACTTATCACTGTTGACGAGCGGTACGATGGCGGAACACCTGAAAAAGACGACGGATAATGAAGACCGAAATGGACAAAGATGAGCAAAACAAAATCCGGAAAGGTCTTTCCACGATTGATACGCGATTTTATTGTGAAATTTCTACCCAGAGGCTGTTCTACACTAACAATATGGCGTCGGTCTCGGCGGAAGAGCTGGGCTGTGTTCGTTTGTCGTCATCGCGCTTTTACAAGAACCCGCCAGAATCTGGTCAGGATCCGGGCTGGTCCGATTTCACATGCAAGACGTCAACCCCGATGCCCAAATCTGGGCTGGCCTTTCGTCCTGGAGGTTGTTGCGACGGTCATGGGTTGAGATGAACTATACAGATGCTGTATATCCTTCTTATCAATGAAGTCTTCGTACTCTTGCTGTCGTGTCATGGAACATATTCTTTGGACTGATAGATTCCGTTCAGTTGGTTTGCATCTCGCGATGGCACCGCTGGTAGCTCCCCCCTCAAACTTCAGGGCTGTCGGTTGCCGCCTGCGTCATTCTTGCCGTGGTGAGCTGAACTTGGTTTTTAATGGACGGAAGCTTGGGCCAACTGCCCACCCTCACATCCAGCCACGTCATTGCGGTGGCTCAAACCTGCTTGTTGTGGTCTTATTCAACCCTAACCCTTCTCAATCACCTGCTTTCTTTTCAAATGACAGCGACGACATAGTACTATGACTGTAGATATCGACATTCAAGATATGACAGTAGGAGCTGTGGAAGTTGAGCTCAAGCGGTCCTGATGAGACCTTTTACTGAGAAACTCGCGCAGAAACTTTTATATCTTACCTCCAGTTTCCCCGAAGGTTACCCAATAGGACCAACTAGGAGCTCCCAACCGCCGACATCCCCATTTCAAATCAGGGCAGCGACGATATCATTTATCCGTATAATTAGATGAGTCCGTTCTTCGGCAACGGCCAACTCGGATCCCTACTGTCGTCTCTTCTTCCCGGCTGCAGCTGCTGCTGCTTCTGTAGCCATTGTTGTTGGTCCCCCATGCTCTGACCCTGCGATCTCACACTCCCCGTACTCGCCGCTCTCCGCCTCGAAGTCGTCGTCGATGGTCCACGCGCATGCTTGCCGCGTGCAGAAGCAGATGCGTTACTGGCCATTCTCTCATCAATGCTATTATTCCTCGCACTAGTCGCCGATGCAGTCCTCGAATGGCCGAGTGGATGTCCACCACCACTCGTACCGCTCATCACCGACGTGTTGGTAGGCACGGTTTCCAGGGGCCGAGCCAATATGTCTCCGTAGACGCTTTTGCTGCACTCAGGAGCGTACCGTATTGAGATGTTCCTCCTAATGTCTTGTGTTGTTGGGGGAGTGGGTAGGGGAATGGTTGGCGGCGGGCCAGGCGATGGGAGGAGGATGTCGCTAGAGGTACTATATTTTCTGCCAACGGCCTGTCCCATCTTTCCCTGGGAGATATCGGCCGATGGTTCGAACTGGGGTGTCCAGGGTGTTGGTGACGGGAGATAGGCTTGCGAGGGCCGTCGGACGGGAGGTGGTTGTGGCCCCTGGGTTGGAGAAGGTGTGTGTGCTTCTTGGATGGTCTCCAAGTGGATAGGTCCTGGTGGCCCCGTCGGACTAAATGGGTCCCCACTCTTGGTCGGGCTGGCCTGGTCGTTGACGATATAGCTGACAATGGCACGGTCAAGCGCGTCGCTTACGTTCTGGTCTTCTTCTTTTTGTTTTTGCTTCCTCTTCCGGTATCTCACGAAGAGGTAGAAGCCGGCGAGAGAAAGCACAGAGGAGCCAATGATGGCGACGACAACTGCTATAGCAGCACGGTTGACCGATGACGCGGCTCCCTGCACAGCTTTGATGTCGGGGTTGTTGAGAGCCTGCGGATTGTTTGGAGCCTGGCAAAGGTTAACGAGACGGCAACAAGTTTCAATGTCAGGGAGCACTCACTATTGTCGAATTTGGATCTGCCGTGATGGTCGGCCCTATGAGGTCTGTTGTAACCGAGACAACGGTTGCTGTGACCGTGACCGTTCCTTGGCCCAGCTTTTCACTCATACTGCTAACGGTGCTCGCGGCCGAACGTTCTGCAGCTATCACAGCATTGGATGCCGATTCCTCGGTCGACGCTATTGCGATTGAGGCTGAGGCTTGAACAGATGCTAAGGCGCTGGAAGCCGACGAGGTGAGATGATCGATCGACTCCTGAAGCCCGATGATGGATGTTGCCAGGAGGCTTGAGAAGTATATCGCGTTCGAGTTGGCTTCTTGGAGGGCACCGCTGAGGGAGCTTATTGTTGCGAGTAGGGAATTATTACGCCGGCAGGGTCCTACAGCCGTAGGTGTCGTTGTCGGGAAGGGTGAATGGGTTGCCTCTGCTGCCACTGCAACACTGATCGCCGAGGTCACGGTCGCGAACACGGGCTGTGAGCCAAGATCTTCATGGCCGCTGACCGGATGCCTTGCAACAACGGGTGGATGATGGTGTGGCCATGACGAGAAAGGATTCTGCCCAGTCTCGGCAGACTCTGCACTTGCCACATAGTCAAGGGTGGTCAATGCTGCCGAGCAGCAGACAATAAATCCAAAAATTAGGCCGTATATGAGATGATCCCGATTTTTCATGGTTCATCTTGACAGACAGAGGGAGAAGGACAGAGAACTCATTGTTCTGTTGTCTTGCAGTTGAAACAGAGCAACTAGAGATGAACACTGGGAGGAAGAACGGTGGGATGGCCATACGGGGCAAGAACCCAACGCCAGAAGATTATCCCGAGTCAGACCATGATGACTTACACGCCAGAAGAACGGGATGGGATGTCATGGTCCTGTAGGCGCAAACGTTGAGGGTCAAGCAGCTAGAAGAGCACGGATCCGGATGACTGAGGGCCATCCGGGTTTCTGATTCGGCAAAAGGTTTTGATCTAGAAACAAGGTGGAAACGACTAGACCAGGTCAGCCTGGAAGATGCGATACAAGGATCTCTTGACCACTGTCACTCGGCAGCTGGGGGTCCGTTGCGGACTTGCCTCCCCTCCTCAAGGATTTGCCCAAGATCTTACACAGAAGTGAGTTCTGAATCCCCGAGTCAAAGCTGACGAGGTACCTATATTCCAGGTTCTTCACGAACAAGATCGCACCAGCAGCTTACGCGGAAGTAGGCGTAGGAAACGTAAAGATCCTCCGTCGGCGCCACCTTAACTCGATCTTTTGAAGGATCAACCTGTATCAGTATGCCGAAATGACTCGAGAATTGGATGGCATGACTTGACTCGAAACAGCCGACTTCGATGATGGTGGCAATATCCCATACGATCTTCAACGCTTGAGCCTACGTTTTTCAGGAGGATGGACCGCAGATTAAGGATTGTCGTTATACGGATCGGAATACAGCGTCTAATCCAACCCAACAAGTGCAGGTAGTATACCTCACAGGTCGGTTGAGGTGCAAATAAGGTTGAATGTTCCAAGATTGCCGCCAAGGATTCTCCATTGTGAAAGCGCCCGTGACATCTGTCTGGAACTTTCCTAGCAGCTGCGGGCAGCTGCCCTGCCTGCCTAAAGCGCAAGAGGGTCCAGACCGTTCCATACGGTACAGCTCACTGTAGAATGTCCGCGGTCTGGAACGTTGCCCGCTGAAGAAATGGGACCTGACAGTGGAAGGATTGACACTTGTCACCAGCTTGATAGGCGCTGATAGCGGCTCAAGAAACCATTCGAAGAGACGGAAACTGGAAGAAGAAAGATACCTATCGACATATCGAGAGGAAATATTCTTCACTCAATTCATTTCGCGTCCTCTTTGCTCTTCCGATCCCCCCCAAGTGCTCCCCTCCCTCCTAGATCAACATCCCAATAGACCGCCGCCAGAAAATGACCACTATCGGATCCCTCCAGCGGCTGTCTGCCACGTCCCTGTCCAAGCTGATCCTGGCCGAACAGGCCTCGACGGCAGCAGCGGCGGCCGGCACGGAGAACAGTCGCTCCACTTTGGCCATCATTGACGTGCGGGATGACGGTGCGTAGCTAGTTCCCGCTCCCGGTCTTGTCCTCCGCAATGAACCTCCTCCACCTTGTCTCCGCAGCATCATCATCTACACCTGTCCTACTCCATACCAAGATACACCCACCTTACTCGCACAATCCAAAAAAAAGGACATGGAGTATATCATCATGCGTCATCCCCCCGTACTAACAACCATTTACAGACTACATAGGCGGCCACATCAAGGGTTCCCAAAACGTTCCCTCGCACAAGCTCGACGCCATGCTTCCTACCCTTGTCCGCCAGCTCCAAGACAAGGAGACGGTCGTCTTCCACTGCGCGCTCTCGCAGCAGCGCGGACCCAGCGCTGCCTTGCGCTACATTCGCGAGAGGGATCGTCTGATGCCGAAGGAGGTGGAGACTAAGCTTGCTGCTACTGTTGAGGAGGCTGTTGGGGCTGATGGTGAGGGAGAGGTGAAGAAGAAGCAGAGGGAGGAGGAGGAGAAAAAGAAGCCCGTCGACCAAAAGGTGTTTGTGCTGGATCGTGGGTTTGTAGGGTGGCAGGAGGCTTTTGGGTTGGATGAGAGGTTGACGGAGGGGTATAGCAAGGAGTTGTGGAGGGATGGGTACTGGATGTGAGCGTGATCCATGAGATGGCTGACACTTATAAATATTGAGCGAGCAAGCTTGGGAGTTGGGAGTACGAGAGGAAGGGAGAGAAGGTTTACTGGTTAGCGAAGCGGGAGTTAATTGGGTTCATAGACTTGTTGTCAACAGGAGTGAACTTTACTGAACATTCCTCTACCTGATGAAAAATCACGGATGAGGTCTTTGCTGACAGGCCACAACATATTTTTTGACTCTGCGCAGACAACAACAATAGTAGCACATAGACTGTGATACACGTGTAAGGGAAGACCTTTGCCATTGACCCCAACGTTTATTTTGGCTGAATTTTCAAATTTGACTCTTCTGCAGTAGTCAATATAACACCCTCCCTAATCCCAATATGCCCACTACGTTTTTTCAGGAAACTCCACAGCCCCTCTCCAGACCTCCAACCAGTCAGTCTACCTCAGTACCGCAACTCAACAAAGCCTTTATCCCAGTACGTTGTGGGGAACCAAAGGAACGGTTCATGTTTATGTTACCCCCAAAAGTAGCGAAGCAACACTCCAAAATGCACGACACTTTTGTTTTACCAGTAGGTATCATGAGTGCAACGAAAAGGTACCACGCATTGGGGCCAGCCATCCATTTTGGGAAAGGAACAGTGCAAAAGATCAAGCTGAGGTCTTGGGTAGCATTGTAGGTGCAGTCGAACGGTACGTTGTGGTGGTAGGTAGTATCCCCAAGATTCGTTTGCCCACTTTTCTTGTTCTTTGGGCTTTCTGGGATCGTATCAGTACAGATATGTGGGATGTGGAATGTGGGATGTAGTGTAGGTGACTTTGTACGAGTAAATGCCAAACAATCATGCAACGGAGGGATCTTTGGTTGACGCTACTGTGCATGTATCAATAGGGTCTATTGGCCCCTGGCAAACACCTATACTCGGATCTAAGCGCATACGGTTGAGTTGGCCTTCAACTACTGATGGACGAATGCCGAATCGGGTATATATAGACTTCTTCGAAAGGGGTTCTGGAAGGTTATGGTTTCTTGGTAGCTTAACCAGACCAGCCTCCTCCACGGATACGCGATCTACCATAACAGTGAGCTCAAGAGCATGAGTGAAACGTTACGGCCTCGGTTACATCACTTGCTCATCTCGTTATCAGATTCCCTTATAACGAGCTTCAGCTGATCTCACGTACAGTAAGTAGTGACTTTAACATTATTTGGTGTCAAAGCAAAACGAACAGCTGAAGAGACCGTTTGCGTACAGCATGTGCTTTGATGATTTTAACTCCGATGTAACATTGGCAACTTTGAGATGCTCATTGACGAGTCCAAGGTACAAAGGTCTTTGGGACCCTTCACACATAATTTTTGCATGAAAGGCACATCCTTTCCCAATATGATCAAACCAATGTTCACAGTAGGATGAAGAAACTTCGAATACGCCACGAAATCGGTCACTGGAATGACGAAAGACATCAACGGTTGGGTGGAAAGTAGCAGACAGGCCACCACCATTGGACAATAATGCGAGAGTGGTAATGGAAATTTGGAAATAGGACAATACAACAATATTACCGAATCTGCACTTATACCCATCCCTTCCATCCCTGATTGTGATGAAAACTTATGTGGTTCTCTGATACATATAAGTAGTCTGACAACTTTTCTAATATGCGGTTGAGCCTAACAAATTGTCAGACTCTTGTCGACGTTTTCGTGCATGCAACTCTGTCGTGTTTTAGTAGGTTACCACAAGAATGAAAGCACGCAAAAGCAAGAGGGAACTATGTATGATTTTTTTCCAGTAGCAATAATCGCAAATGAAGAGTGAAAAGGCAAGGGTAAAAGGGAGTATCTTGAAAATGATGCTTGAGTCCTGTCTTTTTTGCTTGCTGCATAATAGCCTGAAGATGGGAAAAGCGAAGATGTAACTCTCAAAGCATCGGTGTTGCCGAAGGACACTGTGGATACTTTAACTTTTCAGTCGTTGGTCACTTCACTTGCGTGCTATGTATATATGGACACGAGTGACGGCAGCTAATGAGACGGATGCCATCTTGCGTGGATAGCGCCGGCACACATGCCAATTGTTCTGGAGTGCCTTGCTCTATACTGTTCAGATCTGGTCGGAATGCCCTCAGTCGAGATCTGTGGCAGGTAGCTATGCAATCTCTCTAGTCTCAGTTTGCTGGTGCATCAAAAAAAAAAGGGCCGAGGCTGTCATCAACGCGATGATGTGCATAAACGCATCTTGGCTGGCTGCCAGCAAGCCACTCATTGGACAGCCGAAGCGAGAACGGTCGTGCCAGCGAACCGTCACCTCGGAACGCGAGAAAAGAGCGACTCTCAGCTCACGATTTTCCCCCGTGGGTTAACATTGGAATGTAGGTACCAGCACTGACAGGGTAAGCTGATATACCATGATGGTACATGCAGTGCTACCCCTTGCCGTATCGTGGCCAGTCTTGATATTGACAAAAGTACCTTGGTCTCATTGAACTGGTTTCAACAGTCACAATAGGTGCCGCAAAGACTTGGCGGGCTAACTGAACCACAAAAGGGCCAGTTCAGAGAAATCATGAAGTGTGCTTGACTGGCTTGGAAGCAAGCGAAGCGCTGGGTGGAGTAAAGCTCAAGATACTAAAGCTCTTTCGGTTTAGTATTGAGGATGGAAAGGGAGTCGTGAGTGCGTACCATCGAGATCGAGACGCCAGCTCCCGCAGGGCCCGGTTCGACCAGGATAAGCTGGTGGAGCAAGGCCATGTCAAAGACGACAGAAAAATGAAATGGATTCCTTTTCTTCCATAGTTTGCGGGGTACTCGGGATAATGGTGGAATGTTTTGGATCAAAAAAAAAAAAAAAAAAAGAAAAAAAAAAAAAAGAAAAAGAAACGTCAAGGTGTCATTTGCGCAGGATGTTGGCAAGATGGCGAGCCATGATGATTTTGAGAAGGGAAACATCGTCAAGAACTATGCATACTAGCCAGTGACCCATCAATCCCAGCCATGTATTGCGACGACAAAACAATGGGGAAACGTCTGGCATGGAGAGGATTGATGGCCAAAGGAGAATACCATGGACGGATATCAGTCACGGTGTGCAAGGGAAAGGGAAGCGTAGGAACATGATCCATCCACACCATGACAAATTGTGGGATCAAGGATCCATAGCTCGAAGATCTCTTTCGGGTATCGAGTCCCTGGTGATTTCCAAAGAGAGTTAGCGAGGGGAAGGTACGAGATATTTGGTGTAGTTGGTAAAAGCCGGAGTGTGAACGCTCCTAGCAATGATGGCCGGCGGCGAGATCGATCGCAGATCAGGGCAATGGCGACAGGGGAGATGAATTGGCTGTCCGAGATTGAAAATGGAGGGAAGCCACTTGGAGGTACGTAACTGAAGTGGAAAAGTTGAGATTGGGTGGGTAACTTGAAGCTGTTGGACGGGGGAAGGCGCGGAAGGGTTGGATGTACTAGAGGTAGTTACCTAGGTAGTTTGAAATATGAAGTTTGGCAGGTGCTTCAATTCACTGCAGTTTGGCTTTGACGACTCAGCTTATCGCAGATCCGTATAGCGCACGGTGCCCCCCACTTGCCGCCTTCGGTTGTTACCGAATGCTCTAGTGTAGTGTACCCTGGACCCGACTTCGGTCGATGACAGCGGTTCTGTTTTCCTACTAAAGACGGGAACATCTTGATAGTGGATTATTGCCGACTTGTTAGTGCTGAGAAGAGCATTTGTCGGCACAGAGACGCATCGTCAAAACATGCCTCAGGTTGACAAATACCGACGTGTGTAAGACGCGCCCATGTTGACAGTGCCTGGAAGGAACCGCGAAGGAAGCATAGCCCTACAGGAAACCGACCAATCAGAGGCCATTTCTCGCTCCTGATTGGGCAATTTGGGGGACAGCACACGACGGAGCCAGTCTCTATTTGTCAAGGTCTCTCTTCGGCTTGTCTTTCCCCTTCCAGGTTTCTCTTCCTTTGCTTTATTTGGGTGCTGAACTCGGCGAAACTCAACAACAGCTTCACCCATCAGCATTTGGGAAATCTTTGCAATTTCAAACGCCTTCAACGTCGTGATGATGTGACGGGACATAGGGCCTACGCATCTGTTTGCCTTTCCAGGCCACGTGCAGGCCTCAAGGATGCCCTGTCCACCTCAGCTGCCTGCAAAGTGGAATCCCACTTGGTCTGCATCAGTATGTACTCTGCAAGACTCCTGCCTTCAAAGCACTACAATGTAACCGCCACTGCATACAAACAATCAATGTTGGCACCTGGACTGCATGGAAACAAGCTGTCGAAGCTGGTCCCGCATAGAACACCAATCTGATACTACCTAGAGGTACCTTCACCTATAAGCTTACTCTCGGCGTTGAAACATGCATCATGAATGACCAGGCGGTGGAGAGTAGTATGATTCGGCAAGTATGAGCAACACTTGAACAGCCCCAGTTCACCGTCCCTCAGCGCGTCGTACTGTCCAAAGTTGGGTACAGATTCAACCTCTCCACAGTCTGTCGAAGATCAAGATTTAAGCGTGATGCCGTGCAACGCACGAACTTGGCGATGAAGCTTGGTCCGGGCGAGTCAAAGAGGAGCCTAGAGTTGCCGTTCTTGCCTTTCCCCGATGTGCCCCATTGAGCTTTCTTCCTCTCCTTGTCCACTCAGGTCGAACACTGCCCGTCCATCCACTTTCAATGCCACCACTTCTGCAACCCCCATTTTGCAACCCCCATCACCACCCTTGTCGCCGGTCCTCTCTGAGGCTCATTAGGATTCCCTCTCACCTACCGAGGCTGCAACTAAACCCTTTTGACTCTGGCGTGACCGGTGTCGCCGATCCTCGCCGAGAGAAAATGCCAGCATGGCTTCGGTCTAGGGTCCTCCCGTATACTATACCACAATCAGATGCTCCATACGAGTTCCATAGTCCAGGTATCTGCATCTACGTGCTGCTCTATACCCAGACCTACACTACCTCTAACGCAATGCGAATGCCACCCTAGTCGGTGTTTGACGTCGCATCGGACTCTCTGCTATCAACCCAGTCAATGTTTATCACGTCCTAGCTGATCACCCCCGTGAGAATGAGGATGCGGGGGCTTAAGTCTTACACAGTATCAACCCCGTCCATCAAGACTCAAGTAAAGCACCGTGACATCCCTCACTGTGATATACACGCGGGGGCTGGATCAGAATATATATCAACCAGAGAACCGCCCTCATCACTGATGATCTCTTCGTCGACATTCAAGGCACTTTCCGCAATCTACACCCTACTCTGACCTACTTCACATTACTTGTGCCGGCTATCAAAGTCTTCTTCTCAGCAAAAAGCACAACATGGAACAATCAACCGACAAGATGACAACAGAGACAACCTCCACCGTCGAAAAGACACCGTCCCCGAAGCCGGCGGTAAACGACAGGAGAAAGCTCCAAAACCGCATTGCCCAGCGCAGGTTTCGGCGTACGTACTTGCCTCGTTGATCAAGACTACCAGGCGAAGCATGAAAGCTAACAAATCTTTACAGAAAAGAAGGCAATGGAGGCTAGGGCTGCCAGCTTACAAGCAGAGGGCATCTGGCACGAGTACTTCAACCTCCATCCACAATATGCCGGCAACTACGAAGTACCATACCTGGGACCATCTGTGCCCACCAGTCCGACCGATGTTCCACAGCAAGGATGGCAACCAACTATCGAATATCAGATCGGTGCGTGGGACAGCCAGCTCTTCGGCAGCGATAATTTTTGCCCGAGCAACCCCCCAGCCGATATCGTCGCTCCCATGTCTCCTCCCAACAGCTCAGCTTCATCATCTGTATCACCTGACGGTTCGGTCTATGGTGGGGAGGCACCCAACAAGACAACCTACTTTCCACTCCGGGATCAAGAGGGCTATCCATTTTCCATGCAACCAAATCAACTTTTCTGCGACGGCATGTTCTCTGGCGCTCCTTTGGACATCAACGGCTCGATTTCCAGCACTTCACATCACGGTCTTTCTAACGACGCCCCCCTTGGAGAAAACACAGACACTCAGCTCCAAGATCAGGTGGCGACAAAATGGAATGTGCATAAGCCAGCCCAGTCCACCAGCTCATGCACCTGGACCTCCAGTGATGGCGAACCATGGGAGCCGTTACTACACACAGCAGCCAAGAATGGCAACTGTGGCATCATCCTCATGCTGCTTGATCATAATGTCGACGTCAACGAGCGCAACAGCAACGGCATGACAGCGCTTCATGTAGCCATTGAGAATTCTCAGGAGGATGTCATCATGCTACTGCTTCAGAGAGGTGTCGACGTTAACGTGGAGGACAACAGTCACCGGACTGCCCTCTCCATGGCCGTCAGCAACAATAGCGAGTCTGGTGTTCGGTTATGTCTGATGCATGGAGCCGATCTGAAGCTGGCCAAGGCTTCTTCCTTTGGCGATAGCCTAGGAAACCATGGTGGTGGAGTTACGGTGGATGTATGATGCGAAATCAAAGGAAGAATGGGCACTGAAACACCATAAACAAAACCAATTTTTGATACAAGATTCAATCGAAACATGTTTCCTCATATGTCTACAGTTTGTCGAAACGTGCCGCGGGGGTGCAGTTAACATGTAACGAGCCTCACTCGGCTGTGGCGTTTTAAGGTCCTGACTGGTGTTCCTTTTCACTAGGTCAGACACCGGCTGAGAGCATTCCAAATCCTGCGCGGTCCCTTTGCGAGATGCTCTACCTATTGCAATCACGTGTGCCTAATATGTGTAACACGGATGTAGCACGGCACACACACAGAGAGAGAAGACTGTATGTACGAGTATCAGGGAACTCCTTCCAAGTTATGCTCCGAACGCATAAACTAGTATCAATGCAAAGGATGACCTGCTCATATACTCCCCTGACTGATACCGAAGGAGGCACAAACTCGCTCGACGTCCTCGAGTCCCGATGGAAACAGTGAAGGGAAATGACAACCCCAAATCTTCGCGCCCACCATCCCCACGCATCCCGGAGTGATACCAAAAAGACCTCACATCATGAAACTCGAGATAGCGCAAGACGCCAATACCACCTGAAGGGTTACATTGCCGCGCCGGTGCCGCCCAGTTTACACGGCAGCTCCCCTCCCTCCCTCCTCCTCCCACTTTTCCCGCCCTGTGTCTCGATGCTACCTTACGGCATCCTGTTTCGAACCTTCTCTCGGGCTTCTTTTTCCATTTCGTACTAATCATTTTCCCCGAGTCCACTTCAATGGCGCCCGAGACTTTTGTAAATGTCTTGCTCGCTACTAGGCGGCTACTGTTTGGCCTGTGTTCCACCTCACGATGCCACCTCGCGGGTGACAGGGACCTCTGATCAGGATTGGAGTGGTACGGATGCATCGCTGACTGATTGAAGTGGATACCGAATACACGCTCAGAGACACTCCTTCTGTCCGACTCCGCGGAGAAGAGGTTGGAAAGGTAAATTAGGTGGCCGTTAGATGTTGAAAGAGGACATTGTGATGATGGTGAACAGTCTTTGCAAATCCAACAGGAAGCAGTGGTATCAAAGAGCTGACGAGAAGGATGAGTGATTGTAGCAGTCATCAATGACCCAATAAGCAAGACACAATCGTGCTCTGAATGGTGTCCAGCATAATGCGAGAGGTCGGACAACGCTTGGAGGCATGTGAGATCTCGCACTTGATAAGTATTTACAAATACTTGTTTACCAACCGCAGTCTACCGATTACCTGTACAGTACTCGAAGGATCGTAAGTCCAGACACATCCTTCTTCTCCGTCACGAACACCCAATTTAGCGACACATCCTATCAAAACCCCACAGCCCCAATTGCCAAAACATCGCCAAGCAAATAGATCAAAAGGCACACAACATACTGCAGCAAATACGACTGAGCTAACGTTCGGAATTGACGAGGGCCAATACCTATGTAAGTTTGAGACCAGGCCCGTCGGTGTTAACAGAATATCCAGTCGGGGAAATTACCCAAAATGTCTGAGGAGGAAAGTGAAACATAGGTAGAGATACTCGGGGTACACTGCTTGTACATCAACCACATCTACACTGTCTCCGCCAGCGCCGTTAAACTTTGATTATCATATGCGTGATAGAGGTATTATTGATAGGCGCCAGCTCACGTCAGACTCGCTGCCGAACAAAAGGAAGATACAGGATACCTAGACATGGTAATTAGAACATTACTATTGGCGTGATCCCTTTCTGCAGAGATACAAGCATACCTACCTAGGGTACTGTAACTAACAGGAGGCTTTGTCGATCATTCCCGAGAGCGTGGGGGACCACATGTCGAAGCAAGTACCGTGCACTGCAGTTCAAGGACACCTACCTCTACCGGGAATTAAAGTCCTTTGCCAACCACTCATGCAATTTGCATGGACTGGATGGCATTTTTATCAAATTCTCGTGAGTGCGTCGAGCTGAGCCTCACTTTGACTTAAGCGCAGCTGCGGGCTCTCAAGGTCAGTCACAGTTTTCTTGCAAAGGTACCTCTACCGACCCTACCGAATTTCCACAGCAAGTGCGAACCTTCCCTACACTACGTACTGCACCGCATCACTAGAGGTAGTAGAGGTAGTAGAGATAGTAGAGATAGTAGATTATGGTGTCTCTTTCCTCAACAGCCCTTATCAATGATCAATGTAGCGAGTGGTCTTCACTAGTACCGTAGGTATGAAGCAACAATCTTTCCTTCCTGCCCTCCTCATACCGAACTGACTTAACATGATTGTTTCAGTCTCAGCTGTCACCGTCAGGTACATCTGTTAGTAGCCCAAACCTTGATTATCATGATGGTGAGATTGATCGCTCTACTACTCCTTTCAACAGCGAAAGTTTCTGACGACCTAAAAACGTGTAATTCCGATACACTGAACTGAATGACCCTTTCTACGGTATCACTTAGCCATCATGTCAACGAAAGAAACGAGTGCAATGCTAGGCGGTACATAGATGGATACACTAGTAGGTGAAAGGAAAGGAAGTCTTGCGTCTTCAAAAACTAACAGTCTCGAAATCAAAAAGCCACTCAACCAGTCGAACAACAAAAGTATACCGAAACCAGAATACCTCCAGAAAACACTGCGTTATAAGCAAACTGAACTAACAAAAAGCCAGACATCCCAAGCGGGTTACAAAAGGAAACAGAGTACCTACCTAACACCACCAAGATCAAACAAACCGCCTACCCTCTTTCTCTACACTCTTCAACTCGACGACCCAGAGCTCAGCGACTCCGTCACTCAAGCACAACTAGCCCTCTTGAAATCCACCCTCAACTCAGGCGGACTCTGCTCAATATCCCACTTGGTCCCCACCTCCCTCCTCCACTCCTCCTTGTCCCACTCATACACCTCTCTCCCGACCTTGTCCAGCCCTTCCGAGTCGCTCCTCCACATCTTTTGCTCATTCCTCAACCACAGCCTCAGCATATGTCTCTTGTTGTGTTCCCCTTCATCCACGAAGCTGCTTCTAGCATGCAACATGGCAAAGTTGTTAAAGATCTGCATGTCCCCCTTTTGCAGCTGGATCTCGAGCGCGTGTTCCTTGGCCAAGAAATACACCATGTCGAGCGCCTCGGCTTGGACCTCGCTCATGGCCGGGACCAGGGGGTGGTGAGGCGAAAAGTGCGCGCCCGTGAGCGGGCGGCGGGAGAACTGGAAGCCTGGGCCATGATGTTCCTTTCTTCTTCCATCGACACTGCTGCTGGAAGAAGAGGAAGAAAAGTTATAGAGAAGCGGCCGCGTGTGATACTGGTTCTTGTAAAACTCGTCAAACGGCCAGTCGTCCTGAGCCAAAATATGGATCACGTCCGGCCGCAGACGCGCAATCTCGTTGTAGATGGTGGCTGATGAGGCTAGAAATGATTCACCGCCATACTTGGCCACGCCCAGAGCGTAAAGCGACAGGACGTCGCAGAGGTCGGTGTGGAAGGGCTGGGCGCGGTTGACGTAGGGCGAGTTGGGCATGCTGCCGTGTTGGGCGACGTCGCTTTCTTTGCGGACGGCTTGGATGTGGAGGATCATGCGCCCATCAAAGTCCTGCATCCCGCGGGTTTCGGCAATGTAGCTGGTGACGCCGAGGTAGAGCAGAATGTTGTCCGTGCTTGAGTACTTGTCTGAGTTGAGACCGCGGAGGACGACGAAGCCGCGGCCGTTATGGATGATGTCGGAGACTTCTTCGAGCTTGGGGCCAAGGTCGGGAAGGGGGAAGTTGTTCTTGGAAACATCGTCAGGGCCAAGGTCGAGAGCTATAGAAACAAGAAGTGTTAGCTGGAAGTTCGGATGCATCACTTATAAGATAGATGGCGATGTGATGATATCTTACTCTTGAAATACTCCAGTGCGCTCTCAATCTCCAGAATGTCCTCTTGGCTGAGCTTGACCACGTAGTCATCCTCCGACTTGAAGTCAGACCCGGACCAGACACGTTCAGACGTGATCTTTGCAGGCCATCCAGCAGGAAGGGTGGTGGGACGGTTGAGGTTCTGCGCTGCCAGGCGTTGTACACGTTCCTTGAAAACTTTGTAAGACGGAATCCAGTCAATGTCTGGACGAATGATCGGGTTGGTGTCCTTCTGTGGAAGTGCCAGATTGCAGGCGCGAGTGGACTGAAGGGGGCAGGTCATTGTGTTTGAGTAACTGAGTGTATCGAAGAGTTGGGTAGTCTCTGTGTCTCAGAATATGTAAAATAGAAGTTCTGATGTTCTTCAACTGTTAAGTTGAAAGCCGGTGAAACTGTGATGATGATGCTGTGTGCTGTATTTCATCTCGACAAACTCGTGTATAACCTCGCCCTTATATATTCAGACTCCTCAAGGCTTAAACCACCTTCAAGGCTCATCTCAAGGTTCACTTTGCTACCTAGAAGTTCTCAAAGCCGAATTTTCCGCAGAGCCTCAAGCTCGGTGCGTAAAGAAATCTCGATCATGTCGTCATCAGAGCCTCAAGTCCTCTCCCCGGACACCGAAAACCACATAGCCGCATCGAAGCAACCTGAAGTGAGTCAACAAGGTCCTCAGCTCAGTGTGAAGAGCTGAGGTTCCTAAATCGCTAGGCTCAAAGAGCCGCATCGATAAGAAATTGAACAAAGATGATTGGCGACTTGGGCTTCAAACACCGAGAACTGAGTCTGAGCCTCACTTGCTCTCCACCTGGTTCTATGAGGTAGTCATAGGGCAGACCAATGATCTGCTTCGAGCAGAGCCTCAAACAACCAAGGGTTCGTCTTGAGCCGAACAACCGCATGCAGATAAGCACGGTTCTTCGCACGAGTCCTACGTCGTGCAAATAGGGCTGACGGAACGGTGAACAGAGAGAGTCGCACTTGGGATACGAAACGTAGATAGCCCCTTGCGTGAAACAAGAATAATTGACTGATTAACGGGTATCTGATTGAGCCAACCACGGGATATCATACCATGGCTCGTCTTGGAAAAAAAAGTTGAGACCTTTGACATTATACCTTGGCTATACTCCTACTAAGCATCCAAGCGTCTTTGCTACACCTATGATCTTGAGTCCTTGGCAATTCCTGGATAGAAATATCCAAATGGGACTCTAGCCGATGTCTGTTCGGAGTATTGTAATCCCCATCACAGCCTTGCAACGGTCCTTTATTTAATCTTGGCGAGCGGTAGCGGACTGGTTTACCTAATCTTTTATTTGGTCTCATCTGTCTTGCCTCAGGCGAGCATGGGTCTTGAATAAGTGACTTGTGGTTTGTTTCACCCTTACCTCAGGCTGCCACCCCGACTCATAGGCTGCCATGCCAGCTGACTTTTGACCGCAGTCACCGAAATGAACGACACTAGTACGCATTGGAGTGGGGGTATCATATTTATAATGCTTTCATCACGATCTACACCATACTTCAAGAAATGAGTTACTTTTTAAGCCGCCATACGTGGGGATACTGGGTGTTGTCTGTCCAGTTTCTGGTACTGGTGCTGAGAACAGAGTCCCCGTTGTATGCCACCATGACAGGAAAGCGCTGTCCTACCCCCACCCGAGAGTTTCGGTCACCCAGTCACTCGTACGGGTCCTTTACATCGACAGGGGACGTGTCCCAGTCTTCGATGAATAGCTGATGATACCAATGCCCGTCAGTCTCGTATTCATGTTTGGAGGGGAGATTGCGAAGATCATGTTCTGTAGCGGAAAAGGTCAGTGATCACTGTATCTCATATTGCTCAATGTATTAGACATTTCAAACGTACCTCTCTTCTTGAATTCCTTTTGTATTCTCTGCATGAATTCAACTTCTTTGGGCCCAAGCTTGGCCATCGAAGAGACCTGGGAGGCTTTCCAGTCAAGGCCCAACGGTACAGATCCATTACACGCGTAGTGGAAACGCGAGAGGATGATCTTTGCAGTGTGGAAAGCCTGCTCAAGGAACTTGGTGTTAGAGTATTTGGTCTGCCTCAATGTCAGTATACAGTCATGTGTACTGGTACTGATCATCTGTTACCTACCGGCATTGTGTGGGTCTCGGCATGTCGGACAGAATGTGCCGCCAACCGTTCGATGTGGGTGAGCATGATGAACGAGGCAAGAAAGGTTTCGAACCAAGTCTCAGGCTTTGCTGGAGAGATATTCCTCTCAAACAGGCGGATGAGCTTGCCTCGGAGATTATTCAAAACAAACTGAATTATGACCTGGTCCAGTTGAGTGTCCATCATTGGAGGAATTGGGATTTTGCCATGGAATTTGGTTCCAGGCAGATTCACGCGGGAAACACCGAGTTCATTGTTCTCCAGTAATTCCCACGGGTCTTCAATCATCCTACAAATGACCCAGAGATCAAGGGCCGTATCAACAAGTGAACACTGGTCCGGTTAGCAAGACTGGAAAAGTGTATTCGGGGAAGAAAATTTACCTTTTTAGTTTTGGCGTATTCGATGGCCATGGATACAATATCCCAAGTGAGACCACCATTATCCTTGAGCATGTGCAGGTAGTCTTGTTTGGACGAGTAGAAATACTCCATTATGTGATCATGAACCTTTTCGTATTTGGTCAGACAAAAATGGGGCATCGGTATATTGTGCTTTTGTCCCGTCCTTCTGTCCGTTGGCGTGTAAGACAGTTTGTCTCCCGGCAATGGCTCGAATTGGGAGGCGTACACCACCAAATGATGTTTGCCAATGTTCTGTGTGAGCTCCAGCCTAATGACGCCAACATCAGGTTTCGAGAAGTCTGTAAGCCTGAAAACCGTTTCTCGCTTAATGAAAAGTGGTTCATTGACCGCTGGGCCTGCAAAAGATTGCTTATTGTTAGCAAACATTTCAACTTGGATCGGCTTTGATCGAGGATTTGGACATGCCTGCACGAAAGAACAGCATATCCGCTAATGCCGACGTGAAGCAGGGCATTCGCAGAACGCCCTTGTAGGTCTTTTTTGTCGCACATTCATGACAGCTTTCAAAGGGGCCTTTCTCGTGAAGGTCACACTACGTTGAGATTAGTACGTACGAATCAAAACGGTGATGAGGTTGTAACTTTACCTTTCTCTTCTTCTCCTTACACCAATAACAAACCCCATTCTTTCTAGCCAACGCACTGGTTCTCTTCTGCTCTTCGGTTCGTCGAACCTTTTTGACGATTTTCTCCCCAGGGTGCAAAACGATATGGAGGCCTTTGAATGTCCCTTCTTGGTCTCTCATGACATCTTTCCTAACAATCTTGGCTGAACCGTCTTTATCATCATCGTCATGAGTAAGCCGCTTTTTGGAGGTCCTATCACCTATGTCGCTTCCGGCAGTATACTGAACGAACTGGAAAGTCGCTGACTGGCTCTTGGGTATGCTCTTCGGCAAGCTGGGTTCAGGGGTGGGCGGTCCAGAGTTGCCAGTCGACTCAGGAGTAGTGGCACTTGTTGACAAAGACGGGGTTTGTGGGTCGTCTCTCAACTGTGGCGTACGTGATGTTGAGTACGGTATCAGGCTTCCACATCCATCAAGAGGAGACTGGACCCCCACAGAGTGGTCGAACCCAATTGACTCACGATCCACATCATGCCCGTCATACCCGTCGCAAGGCTGTGTCACCCAGTTGTAGAGATCCTGTTGAGAACCGAGCCACTGATTCCCTGCATCTCTCAACTCATCAACGTACCCCTGGATGAGATGGCTTCCATTTTCTTGGTCCGGCCAGCCACTATGTCCTGAGGCTCCAACAGGTTGCCATGGCTGGGACGATGATACAACATCTGCCAAGGCCGGTGCATTGTTTATGCTTGATGACAAGTGGTTAAGGTTCAGATGAAAGGCGCCGTATGAATGCTGGTCCTGTCCAGGATTTGCACTGTTCAAGTTTGCTATGGGTTGCTTCGCCACGAAATTCCAGCTCTGAACTCTGTGATGATCCTCGGAAGTAGGCCATCGATAGCCTGGAGGCGCTGAATAGAAGCCGTCGTCTTCCCCGCTTCCGGAAGGCCCTCGAGGCAGGCTAGAGTAGGCATCAACGCCAATCATCTGGGGTGGATGAATGATTCCGCATGGTGATGATGCCAGTCCTGCATTGGGAGATGCATGACAGTCGAGAGCCTGATCAGGTACGATGTCATGAGGCTCCGGATAAGCTTGGCTCGAGGGGTTGGGGAGTCTCGGTGCTGATGCCAGAGCAGGGAGTGGGATTGGAATCGAGAGAGCTGCCTGATGAGTCGGCCTCGGCCCAAGAATACGAGAAGAGGAAGGGTAAGCGGCGTCGGGTGAATGGTTGAAATCGATCCCTTCCCAATTCAAGTCTGACCAGAGACCAGGAGGAATGGGAAAAGAGACGGAAAAGAGGTCTGGGTTTGAGTCGTCATAAGGCTCTGCTGACCCCACGAGGGAGTTTTCGAAGAAGGACGAATGGGGAAAGGGACCCAAATGGTCGGCGGGGGTTTGAAATGCCATCTTGTCCAACTTTGGGCAGGTGGCTGTTCCAGCTACATAGCGGTTATTGAATTAGCGTGGATAATATGGGACAAGGCTGCGGAACCTCAAGGAGGTAAACCGATGAGGAGGTTGGACTGCAATCGCCGAGTCAAAATGGTTGCAAGGGTGTGCATCGTGGAACACCCAACTGACATACCTGGACACTTCACTTCTTTATGATTCCCCCGGGGTCTTCGGTCCCAGCTTGTTATGTAGGCAAACGACAAGTTGGAGAGCCGATGCTTGAGTGTTGGAGGCTTAATGTGTTACCTAGGACTCCTTCCCGGACACTCTTCAAGATTCGACGTGAATGCCCGGTTTCCCAAGAGGCACAAAGCGAGGGCGCCACGCGGAAAGTTGTGGCTCGTCTCGTCATTCCCCCCAGCCAGGCTTCTCGCCCGTCATCGCGGTACCTATGATAGGTATTCGGCACATCCACATCATATTAGGAAATTCCTGCTCGCCGCAGTTCCTTTCTGGGTATAGTCTCATGCAAGATCCGCCTTACGGTCTCAATGGAACTGGGCGGTTCGAGGTGGTGTTGTCGTTCTCAGGTTGGAGGGGTTGAGCTGCCCGGATTGGTTTGTTGAAATGTTACAGTGCATGTCACATACCCTGGGCTGAACTGCAGAAGTTTCATGAAGGTGGGTGGCAGCCGTCAGCGGTTGGTAGTGGCTGCTTCTTTGACAACTTCCTGCTGAGGCGTTATCCACTTAACAGAAAAATGTGGCTTTGACTCCGGATTATGGCCATGAGAAAGGATATTTCTTGTACAGCTCCACAATCACCCAATCACATCACCGAATTCCATCTCATCTTCCCGTCGTTTTCTCAACCTTCGATTCCTTACACAGTAGGTCATTGTTGGCGGCTGAGGCTGAACTCATCACCAAGGTACTATGGCATATTGGTCAGCCATGTTGTCGTCGGATGTCGAGGTTTTCAACACTAAAATACGTCCACCTTCTTTGACACGCATTTCCGTCTGTAACTACCAACAACCGTTGCCTCGGCCTGTTCACCAAGTCACCGAAACGCTTCAATCTGGAATCCAAGGGAATTTTGATACGGCAATGTCCACGACTACATGCGTTTGCCGTTCGTTGGACAAGTTACACCGCCCAAACGATCCAGTCGAGGCTGTCCCGCATACTTGCATAAGAAAAGGTGCGACGGCAAGCGAGTCTCAACAAAGCTCAACAGAATAGGCGGAATGCCTGGCTGATCTGTTCGTCACAATCATCGGTCAGGCTATCAGCCAAAAAATGTCAGCCAGTGGGAGGTAATAAGGCTCGCTCACTGTCCCTCTTTCCCCACGTTGGACTTTTGGGTCGGATATGGTAGTAGTTGCTCAGTGGGAGCCTCAACTATTCTTCAAACGATCACTACTCAAAAGAACTGTCATGATCAGGCTTGGACTACCGTCAGACGTTGATGCCATCACCAATGTCATCATCAAGACAATGCCCCTCGACCCGCAATGGGACTACCGTTTCCCTCTGCGGAAAGAATTTCCCGAGGACCACTACAAGTACACGCGCATGTTATTCGAATACTTCTTAGACCCTTCGTTTGATGACTGGACAGTCATGGTGATTGAAGATGTTGACCCCGCCGGCAGCGAGAAGCTCAAGATCGCCTCCATTAGCGTATGGGATGTCTCGTATCTGAACAAACGCAAAGATGGACCACACTATGTCCCCCAGGACCGCAAGTATTTATCCAAGCCCACCTAAACCGTCAGCTTTGCACTAACCGCTTTGGAAATAGCTAATCGTGAGGTTGACAAGCGAGGAGGCAGCACACGTAGAGATGCCAACCAGCAACACTTCAACGCCTTCCACAATGGTCAGGCTAAGGCCTATAAGAAGTACTTTGGGGACATTGGGCCGGAGCAGCTTCATCTTCAGATCCTGGCAACCTTACCAGACTTCCAGAGACGCGGCCACGCGACTACGCTTTGCAGATGGGGTATGGACGTCATTCGCAGAGAGTCGTTGAAGGATATCTCGGTCATGGCGAGCCCTATGGGATATCACCTGTACACACGGCTGGGGTTCGATCACCTTGCTACCGTCATCATTCAGGTCCTCGGAGAAGATGAGAAACTTACTCTTCAAGCGATGAAGTATGCCTCTATCGTGGATGGGAAATTGGCAAATCTGTAGCTGCTCATACGGCTATAGCCGCTAAAGTGTAAAGCGAGGGCTTAAGCCGTCTTACTAGAGACAAGCTGCAAGGCTGGTGTTGATTTCACACAAAGTATGGTAGCGATGACTTATCTCTGTTTTTTTCTCACTTTCCCAGCCAACACGCTGTGAAATCTCAAATTGATACCGCAAACCTTGACTACAGTGAACCCGCTTTGACTGTGATAAAATTAAAGTCACTACTCAAGGAAACGAAACAGACGGCTGAGTGAAAACCCAACACAAAAGAACTCATATTGGAATTGCTGATCAAGTGGAATATCGACATGACTTTCTTATTGAGGTCAGAAAGAAGCGGCTACCTGGAATGACAATTCAAACAAGGGAGGGAACTCATAGAAACGGACCTTTCCCGTGGCAGGAAGGAAGTAAGTGTCCAGGTACGATGTTCTAACTATAGATCGCGACTTCTTTGTCTAACTGTTTCGTTTCAACCAGGGGGAGGGCGTTATATTGATGCTTTCTTCGTTAAGATCCGGAGACTTTCACTTCACCATCTGTTCTTCATCGTCCATTTCCTCTCTTCACCTCAAATCGTCAACGGATTCACCTGGCTTCAACGCTTCCTATATAAAGCCACTTCACAATCTCGAATAGCGCATTATCGACTACGATCAAACCTACAATTACCGCCTAGAATCATCCATCTTCTCTCCCTCTTATCAGTGGAATGGAACATGGGTGGAATTACATCTCGCTCTTCGTCTTCTCCCTCATCCTCATTCTCGCCAACGCAGCCTCGGTCCACAGCGCCAACACCCGTCGCCAACTAGTAGCCGCCATCGAACCCAACACCGTCCTCGTCGAGCACCACGATCAGGGCTATCTTGCCCCAGCGATACCCTTCCTCAAACCATTTACAGCCACAACAGCTCCAGCAACAACAGCAACAGAAACAAACAAAATAGAAGCAGTATACCTCCCCCCCTCCTCCTTCCCGCCCGAAGCATCCTGCATGATGGCCATCTGGTCTCTCATAGTCGACATCCCCACCCCCGGCCCTGCTCTCTCGGCCGCCCTCCACCAAGCCAAAGACACGCTCGCCCCTTCGGCCATGGCAAGCCCTCAATGCACCATCACGCTCCCCGCCACATTGTCAAGCGAGTACGGGGTGTACACATCCAGAGTGAGTAGCTGGGTGAGCAAACACAGCGAGGAGCTGGATACGTTGGATAGTGTTTGTGCGGAGACGTCGCGAGATATGAGGACGGGGCCAGGGTGTACGGCGCCGGTTGCGGTTTTTACTGGTGCTAGTTCTGTTGGTGCTACTTCTACTGGTGCTACTTCTACTGGTGCTACTTCTACTGGTGCTACTTCTACTGGTACTAGTACGGCTGCGGGTGGCGGAAGTGGAGGTGGAAGTAGCACTGCGAAGGCTACGGGGTCTAGTACCGGGGTGATGACATCAACCAAGACGGGAACAGGGATGACAACGACGACGACGACGATGGCTACTGTTACCAGTTCGGTGACGACTTCGCTCACGGGGTCGGCGACAACTGTGGCGGGGGCGACGAGCTCGCAGTCTGTGTCGGGGCCGCAACAAGCGGGTGGTGCGGCGAGGGTGACGGGTGTGATGGTTGCTGCAATGGTGGTGGCTGCAATTTTGGCGGTTGTTGTTGCGCTGTGAAGAAACTAGACAAGTTTATATGACCATGGATCGGGGAAAAGACCACTGGAGGGTACGGCATTCTGTTGTATTATTGGCCCATACATGGCGGGAATAGTCATTAAATCGTTAGGTTTTCCTATATAAATACAAACTCTCTACAACCACGGCGTCGGCTTTGGCAGTGTCGCCATAGCAGTCGAGCACTTGTCCTTCAACGCGGCTTTCGCCTCCGGGCTGGTAGAGTTGACGCAAGGAACGCCAAGGTCACCGCTGATGCCATCGCAAATGACAACTGGCTCACCACCGCAGGGGCTAGTGACGTTGAAGTTCTTGAACTTGATGTTCTCGCACACGGCGTTGGGGCTGCAAGTCAGGCGAGCAACAGCACGTCCGTACTTGCCCGAAGTGTATCCGGAGAAGTTCTCGAAGTTGACGTTGCTGATGTTGACCTGGGAGGGGTACGCAGAACAGGTAGTAGCGTTGACCTGAGTACGTTGCGTCAGAAGTTGCTTTGTCTTTCCTGTCAGAGAGAAGAGACTTACATTAAAGTAACAAGAGTCCAGAAAAGCACTATACTCATTGTTGGCATTCCAAAAGTTGCGGAACGTGACGTTATCAATGAAGCCATAGCCGACGTCAGGACCTGCCCATGACTTTAAACGAGCACCGTGCTGGCCGTTCAACATCCACAAGTTCTCGATAACCACATCCCGGATGAAGCTCTTCTCGCCGGAATACTGACCAATCGAGCCCATCGACTGTCCGTGAGTGCCATTGCAGTACATGGTGTTCACGTACAAATCCGTAGCATTAGATTTGGGAGAGAAGCAGTCGTCACCAATGTTAACCCAAGCACGCTCAACGCTAACGTGCTCGACATTGAGTGAGTCAAAGAAGTCCGAGTTCTTGGGAAGAGCAGTGGCGTTGTTGGACTCGGCCGTGCAGGCCACGTCCTTGAAGGAGATGTGCTTAGAGGTGACAAAGAAGGTGGTCCAGCAAGGCGAGTCCTTAAAGTGAATACCCTCGATCTCGATACCGGTAGTGTTCTCGGCATAGAACAGGATCGGACGCAGGTACGTGTTGCCGGGGTCGAGAATCTCCGAACCAGCGAATTCGTTCCACCACCGCTGACCGTTGCCATTGAGAACGCCGTTGCCGTAGATCTTGATGTTCTTACCACCCCATTTCCAGAACATGAGGCTGTTCTGGAAGGGATGGGCAAACGCGTTCTTCTGCCAATAGGCCGTGTCGTTTGTGAACTTGATTTCACCCTCGAGGTGGACTTGGACGTCGTTGAGAAAGGTCAGGTCGAGCGGCTTGCCAATGACAAAGGTCTTGTCCTTGGGCAGATAGAGAGTTCCGCCGTTGTTGGCCTGTTTGAGACCGCGGAGGAAGTCGTCGGCAACGTCATCAGTGTCATTTTGCGAGGCCCGGATGGAGACTGTCTTCCGACAATGGCTGCTGCGCTTGACTGTGTAAGGATGTTTCTCCTTGAACTCGGAGAGGGAGCGAGGGATGCCGGCGGGGAGCTCAGGGGCAGGGAATGCCGAGACGACGGCGGCCACGAGGGCTGCGAAGGCGAGGAACTTCATGGTGGCTCCAGAGAGGGAAATTGAAGGCTGGAGGTCGCGATACCACTCTGTATCTTTACCGAGGACGGGACCATTGGCCTATTATATAGTCGTCATCACACCGTTTCTTGCGATTCTCGACACCGATGAAAGCTTTGAGTGACGGTCGATCCCACCTATCCCATTGTCTCAGTAGTATGGAAACAGCGGATAAAGTGATGTTCGCATGGTTGTCGGCACCGGCTCCCTGGCCAGCCAGGTCGTAGTCGAGATAACATCAGTGCAACCATCGTGTACCGTTCTGACCGGTGCGTTGGGGAAGGGGAAAAAGCCCGATACCATTGATGGAAATTGGGATGCCGTCCACCGGAGAAATCCATCTCCAATGGTCCCCCCCCCAGGGTCCCTGAGAGGCGCTGACAATTACTTCCCCGCATTCCGCTAGTTCCTTATAGCCCCAGGCTACCCTACCTCTACCCCACAGCGGGCTCTTCCTTATCGGTTTCGTGCGGAGTAAGATTGGCGATGATCCGGGGAAGGGAAGTGGAGGACGGTGCCCTGAATACCTAGTATGGACTCGGATAGATCAAGGGACAGGGAACAGTTATTGAACGGAACATACGATAGGTATCCGAATTGTTTGACTAGTCTTGAATATTGCAATCATAGCTTACTATCCTTCCAAACAGGCTTCCTCTTCTCCACAAAGCTCGCCACACCCTCTCTCATATTCTCCCCCTTCTCCAGCTTCCTATACATGCCTCCCTCCAACACCGCCGTCGCCTTCTCCGGTCCCATCCCCTCCCAACCCAGTCTCAAGCCCTCCTTACTCGTAAGCACCGCATCAGGTGAATTACTCGACACTTCCTCCGCCAGCTTTACAGCTTCCTCAACCAGCGCCTGCTCGCCGCTGACAATGAAATTAACCACCCCCCACCTCTCCATCTGCTCAGCCGAGTACCTATTCCTCCCCAACAGCGCCATCTCAGCCGCCCTCTGCTTGCCCACCGTGCGCACGAGACGAGGCAATGCGCCAGCAACGGCAATAACACCTACTTTGACCTCCGGCAGCCCGAACCGCGCGTTGGAGGAGGCGATGACCATGTCGCAGTTGATGACCATCTCCATGCCGCCGCCGAGGCAAAGGCCGTTGACAGCAGCAATAATGGGTTTTTTGCCCGAGCGGTTGGAGAGCCCACCAAAGCCGGCATTGAGGCCGAGGTTGCCGACGCGGGAAGAAGACTCGTTGTTCGCAACCCGTGCGGCGGCGGCGGCCGCCTTGCGAGAGGCAACAGTGCCGTAACCACCGCCGATGCCGGTGTTGATTCTGGCGTCATCCACATCGCTAAGATCCCTCTTTGGAGCAGTCTCCTCGGTTAGATGGGCGGCGCTCTCGATCGCCTTACGCCTGTTATCGACCGTTCCATACCCCCCTCCAATGCCTGTCGTCAGCTTATCCTCGTCCTTCATCTTGCCATCCCTAGCGCGACCCTCCTTGACAATCCCCTCCGCGAGCGCATCCGGCTCTTCCCCAGATTTCATACCCTCCGCTTTCCGGAGTGCTTCCCTCCTCTTTCCCAAAGTCCCATACTGCCCTCCATGCTCCACCCCATCCACCAACCCCTTTCCTCCTCCTCCATCATCCTTCCGCTTCTGCTGACCTTGGAACTTGCTATGCAACTCATTCCACTCCTTCAGATCTGCGCCCGCGCAAAAGGCGCGCCCCACACCCGTGATCACCGCGCACCGCAGCGCCGGCTCGGCATCGAACCAATCCCACAGCGCGGCGAGCCGCTTGTGCTGGGACGTGGGGATGGCGTTGAGCTGGGCCGGGCGGTTGAGCGTGACGAGCAGAACGTGCGGGGCTGGGAAGGAGAGGAGGGTGTTGGGAACGGAGGGAGGAGGGGTTTTGAAGCTTTGGGTTGGGGCGGACATGGTAAGTTTTGTCGTACTGTATTTGTGGTGGGTGAGATGGCTGGAGTGGTGGATGACGTAATTGGATTACTTTGGCGAGTATCTCAGGGGTTGATGTTTACTTGATGTTCCATTCAGTGGACGAGGTTGAATGCTGGGGTGTCGTGGTGGCAATGAAATACACGTTGGAAAACATAAACCGAGCAAAACCATGTGAAATTCGAAAATCAACAACTAAGGATTTTCAATGGACTTATATGTTAACGAAGGACAACGGCCAAATGCCGACTGAACCAAACCTTATTGGATCACTGTATCAAAGTGGCTGCGACTCAACCCAGGACAAGTGCGGGCAGATGGCGCAACCCTTGGGTTTCCCCTCGCTGCCCGGGTAGATCTGGGGGCATTTGCCGAGGCACATCAGATCAACGAACCAACACCAAGACCGCGTACATTTCTCTGAAAAAAATATTCAATTAGCGCTTCCAACGCCTCATGCTTTGTTGGCTATTCTTTCCTACAAGCATGTGTTTTTTTACGATGTACATACCACAATATCTCTAGGCCTTGATCCTTCGTGGATTGTTTCATGGCCCTCAACAGAGGCCATACAGGACCGAGGAACAAACCCGCTGTCGTTGGCTCCCAGACATTCTCTTAAGCGGGCAAACCGCGCTTCTCGCTCTCCGTAAAGAAAATCACCATCCTCCACAACTTCTTCACTAGATCCTCCGCATCTTCATCAAGAGCCTCGCCCAATGTCTCCACCAGCTCGGCGGGCTTTTGGTGCTTGCGCAGGTGCTCTTCCACCACGTCAACAAGGAATTGTTCTTGTACTCCAAGATACTCGACCACCTTCTTCTCCACAAAAGGCCGAAGCTTTTCGCTGATGATGGACTCTTCGAGGTAATCCCACTTGACGTCCCAAGCCCAGAGCCCGTCCTTGTCCGCAGGGATCTCCTGCGCCAGAGCGCGCACGGCCTTTTGCAAATCCTCCTCCGACATGGCCTTGGTGTCGGTGATGGGCTCGAATTTGATGGGGACAAGTTGCCGCTTGGTGGTCTGCTCCTGTTCCTCGTCGTCTAAAAGGCCCTCGACTTCGGCAACAGTCCTGCGGGCGCCGGCGGAACGCTGGGCTGCCTTTTGAGCCGCTGCGCCAAAGGAAATGGTAAACCGCTGGGGGGCAGCCGGCGCCGCAGCTGGCCGCCTCTCCATCTCCTCGGCCTGCCGCTCGAGGAAGGAGTCGGCCATACCCCTGGCTTGTTCCATCTCTGCTTCGGCCTTGCGCCTCTCGTCCTCCTCGGCCCGCCTATCCATCTCATCCCGTGCCTGTTCGTCGTTGCGCTCCTGTAGTCGTTTCCTGACCCAGTGCGCGTGGTCGCGGTAGTACATGTGGTGTTTACGGGCTGCCTCACGCTCATCGTCCCAGCTCTTCTCCCTCTCGAGTTGTTCTTCCTTTCTCCTGGCGAATCCTTCGGTTTCCGTCTTCTCGCGCTCCTTCTCACGCTCGAGAGCAGCTGCACGTTGGCGTTCACGGTTCACCCATTTCCTTTCGGCCTCCAAGTAAAGCTTTTCCTCCTCTGCCTTCTGCTTGTTAACTTCGCGTTGGTATAGCTCGTCATCATCGGCATCGGTGTCATCCTCGTCCTTGAAGTTATAACCGTTTGATGTGCCGCCACCGACGAACTCAACACCTCTGCCTTGTTGCCCACGAGGTCCTGATGGCGCATTAGGCACACCACGCGGGCCCAGCGGGACGTGGTTTGAGTTCGCCGCATCCGTAGGCGGAGGTGAATCCAGGCGTGAGATGCGAGGCGCTCCATTCCTTTGACGTTCCCTTTCCTCGAATTCTTCTTCCCGGCGTAGACGCTCAAGGTCGCGCTTGTTGCTCCTGTCTCTGAAAGCAGCGATCTCGGCGGCAACAGTTTCGCGCATCTCGGCTGGAATATCCGCCAGCTCATCCTCCTGCGCGAGCGGAATGTTGATAACCTCAACGCTATCTCCGGCAGCATTTGTTCCGTCGGCCATAGTAGTGTCTCCGTCGGCATCCTGTCCAGTGCGAAGACGCGGGTAAAAGAGGTCTCGAACAAACTGCTTGAGCGCAACCTTGGCCTCACCTAGTTTCGCCTCAAAGGCCGCATCCTCCCCTCTCTCCTCCTTGCGGGCCTCAAGGTACTTTGTCGTGGTGACGTCAACCTCGACCTTTAGCTTGACCTTGTCGATATCGGCGGCGAAAGCCTCATCGTCGTCTTTGGGGGGCTCGTTCTCGGTCGGTGTTTGCTTTTTCACAGGGACCTCGAGATCTTTGAGTAACTCCACAGCAATCGCTAGCGAATCGGGGTCCTCATACTGTGCAAAACCAAACAATGCTCCCTTGCAGTCCGTCAAGTGGGAGTGCCCCGAGTCCCACCTCCGCAGCCTGCCGACCGTGTGGAGCAGCTTCTGGACGCCTTCCTCGCCGCCGAGGCCATCGGGAATCTTGTGCAGGAATATCGTTCGTAGTCTCTCCTCGGGTGTCGGCGGGACAAGGTTCTGGATGCTCTCTCGCAACTGCGCGCGGGACTGTTCGACGCGATCGGAGCCGAGACCTGGGCGGTTCGCACTGGTCGGGGTATGCGAATCCTTTCGGTCGTTGCCCTGGGGCATGCCGGGTTTGTTGGGGAGCGAAGAAGCGCCCAGGCGGATGACGGGGGCATTGAAGTTGATGTTCAGGTTTGGGGGTGGTTGGAACGAGGCAGGTAGGCCGCTTGGTCGATTAGCTTGAGTAGCAGGAGGAGGCTGCTGGACACCAGGAGGTGGTGCCAATCCGGGGGCAGAGGACATGCCTGGTGGAGGACCTATAGACAGGAGTAAGTTAGATGGCATGGCCATATGAAAAGGGAGGAGCTGTTTCGGGGCGGGAAGCTTACCTAGACCGGGTGGCGGGACCATGCCCGGGGCCATAGGCACACCTGGGTATGCGGCAAAGGTCGGTGGGGGGCCGTAGGGCGGCGCTTCATACAGAAACGACATTGTTAGTATGTGCCTGGCGCAAATATGACAAGGACCGCAATCGCAGGCGCGCATAGAAACTAGGGCGACGTCAACAATGGGACATACCTCCATAGGGATTAAACGCCATGATGAATTTGGGGAAAGTTGGCTGTCGAAGAGGTCTTGGGGCTGAGGTGGGTAGTCGTAATCTCGGAGTTGGAGTTGGTCTAAACTCAAAAAGATCGGTACAGATCGGTTCGAGATGCCGTATACGTGCTGTTGACTCGGACGGGATATAGTCGGTTGATAGCTGGTGGGTGTTGGTGGTGCTGGAAGGTGGGAGTTTCCAGTTCGGATGTGCATGGGAAGGGAAGGAATTGTTGTAAGTGTTTGATGCCGTTCGCCAAAACTTCAATCGCCCCCGGTCACTGGGTGACTTCCGCTTGCGTGGACGCGCACCGGCAACCGCAGCGGTCCACTGGTTGACTGGGGTGGCACTTTGACCACCCTGACTGGCGGGCGGGAGCTCTAACGAAACTTCCTGGAGAGCTCCACGCTCGCTGCAACCGCGACCAGCTGCGACGCTGCACAACTGTGGCGCAAAAGACTCAACTGATGGGCTTCAGCCTCAGAAAACAAGACCTCTGCCAGCTGGCTGGCGCAGAAGCCCGGGCCACAGTCAACCGGCAACTCGGCTGAGTGGACCGGCGCGCTAAGTAGCAGCAGATGGACGCCGGGGCCCCGAACCGTGCCAGTCGCTTGGTGGGAGGCTTCGAGATTCTGAAAATCGACCGCACGATAAGCCGCTGCCCTCTTTGCGACCGAACGGAGTAGTTTATGACCAATTGAGTGAGTTACTTATCCACCCTCTTGCTTTCTCGGTCTCTATACTTTGCTTTCGTCCATCAAAGTTACTAACTGTCACTTCTCACCATGTGAACAGGCCAGCATCATGGAGCTCCGTTCAGCACTCCAGTCCGTCTGCCGCACGACGGCAGCGGCCGCCTCTGCCAGCGCCCGGTCCAGCCTCGCCGGTCGCCATGCCTTCTCTACCAGCGCCCGCGTCCAACTGCAGCCACCGCCCAACCCCTACGTCTCGGGCAAATCGCGCATCGAGACTCTGCGAGCGGCTCTCTCGAACCGGAAGCCCGCCGCCGGCGCCGCCGCTGGTGGTAGCCCTGGCGCTACCTCTTCATCCTCTGCTCTCCCTCCCCGTCCTCCCACTGCCAACGACAGCCCTTGGTCTATTGTCGATGCCATCAACAAGGATAGCAGTAGCAGCACTTCCTCCACCTCCTCCTCCGGCGCCCTCTACTCCTCCTCCAAGCCCTCGCCCATGCAGACCTGGAACGAAACCGATTTCGAGACCCGGCACATGGCTCCCCAGCAGGAGCTCAACATTCGTCTCCGCCCATCAACCGGCAGGACGTTCTACGTGTCCGGACATCAAGATTTTGCGGGCGCGCTGAAACAGCTGCACAGGACGGTTGCGGCGAACAAGGTGAAGAAGGACGTGCGGTTGCAGAGGTTCCACGAGCGTCCGGCGCTCAAGAGGAAGAGAAACTTGAGAGAGAGGTGGAGGGCTCGCTTCAAGGAGGGCTTCAAGGCCGCGGTCAACAGGACCTTTGAGTTGAAGAACCAGGGATGGTAAACAAATCCCTTGGGGGGGGGGGGGGGACAGAGAGTGGAAGCTTGGGAGAAATTTCGCGATTCGAGGGGAGGGGGGGCTGAAACGGATAGAGATGGGACGACGACGATGACGACGACGGTGACCAAATCAAACCTAGATTGGATGGGGGGGAAACAAAACTAGAGGTCGGTCGCATCGATGTATCATCACCAAGCCAAAATCTGTTGAGATCCGAAAAGGAACCCCGCGAAGACAAAAACTTGTACAATATCCAGTCGCGGATTCCTGCGATTAATGAATGAAAGCCTTAAAAACAAGCTAACCAGGTGATGCTGTGGGTGATGGGATTGGTCAACCAAGATTAGTAGCCTTACCACCGCCAGCATGAGGGGGACCTGGATATCTTAAGACTCAAGAACTCATGTTGATTCTGTTGGACATGGTGGTTGCCTAGGATGCGGTATATCTACGAGCATGACCCAGTTAGTACAGGTGCAAGAAACATTCCAAGTTGATATTCACACAATCATTCCATCATTAGTCAAAGCAAAACTACCTCCTTTACTTTTTGTAGCTAAACAATGGCAAACTCAGACACAGTTAGGTACCCCTGATCACCTTACTCCCACTCCCCAAACCCTCCTCCATCTTCCTTCCCTGGCGTCGGACCTCTCGCAATCTTCGGCCTGCTCCTAAACACAGCATCGTAATCCACATCCTGGCCCGCACTAAGCAGTTCCTCCGCCAACAACAGCGCCGACTTTCCTTCTTCTTCTTCTTCCTCGCCCATGGCAGGGAAATATCCGCCCTTTGACGACGGCGGGGCCAGCTGCTTCGACTTGCGTTCCGACCGTCTCCTCTCCATTTGAGCCTTCTTTTGGGCGGACTCAAAGTTGGCCATGGAACGACGCGTGCGGGTCATGAGATCTTCGTAGGTTGATGCCCCTCCTCCCCCTGATCCTGACCCTCCTGCGCCGTTATGGCTGTCGCCTGGTGTACCTGATGTGCTTGCTTTGTAGGGGCTGGAGATGGTATGTGAGCGTTTGTGAGACGCAGAACGAACAGGCGAGAAGTATGTATCTTCTGCCTCATCTACGTCGCCATAGGCGTCATCGTTGTCGGCAGCGGCCTGTGAATTGCACTGAGCAAGGGTGAGGCGGGTGCGTTCAGCCAGTGAAAGTATGTACCGTGGTTTGTTCAAGGGCGAAGGCGAGGCGGTATCGACGGACGCCAGGATCTGGTCGGCTAGTTGTTGTGGTTCGGGAGACGGGTGAGAGCTGTATTGTCGGCGAGTTCCCTCAGTCGGTGGTGTGGGTGGCCGGTCACGCCTTTCTGGTTGCTTCTCCTCAATGGAGATCAAAGATGGCCTAAGGCGTGGGGGCGAAACTGCAGACTGAGGCGGTGTTGGGTTTGTAGCTTCTTGTCTTTGCTGATTCCTTGTTAGACAAGAGGAGCCCTCGGCTGCCTCAAAATCGTTGGCATGTTGTGATGAAAGAGTCGCTGATCGTCGCGACCGTGTTGGAATTCCAGCGAAGACGGCATTTGAATAGGCCAGTGGTTCTCCATCGTCGTGGACACTCTTCGGCTTCTCCAGTATAGGTTGGTATGACATATCTTCGGCTGCTGTAAACTCCCGTTGACAGGTTTGAGCAGGTGCTGCGGCAAGGTTCCTATCTTCATCATTAATATTGGAAATCACATCCGTATCAGACTCCTGTCGTGGCGGCTCTCTTGGCTTTTGTAACCAGGATGGAATATTGGTTAGCTTAGGGTCGATATTAGATAACTCGGACTTGAAGTCATTGAGTAGTTCTTTGTATTTGCCTCCTAGCTCAATAGGTGTTACAGGTTTGAGGAGAGTAAGCCTTCGCACACTTCGTCCGCGGTGCAAAGCCTCATGTCCCCTGAGTCCGAGATCGATTCCCTTCGGATTAGGCTGTGGGGCTGACTCTTTGGTCGTAGAGTCCTTGCTGGTTTTCCCGAACATCTGCTGACGGAAAGTCTGCCATCTCTGGAGTCTTTCCTTCTGGCTCTTCACTCTGTCGTCCAGCTCGTCCAGCAAACTATCTGACTTGTCTTCAAGCTCCGAAATGCGACCAGTTTGAACACGTTGCCAGACTCGATCAAAAGGCGCCGACAAGACACCGTCGATTCGGGTGTTTTTGTCACCGTGTAAGAGTGTCTCCAACCACCGCTCATTACCCGACCAGTTATGTCGCACAGTCCGCCATACATCAAGCTTCACATCGTTGGAGATCTCTCTCCCGGCATTTTGGCGTCTCCTTTGCGAAGCTTGGACTCGCTGTCGTCGATCAGCAACGGTTTGCTCTTTGATTCTCAACAAGTTTGAAAACTCTCTGTATCGCTCTCTCGTCGCATTCTTGTCTCTCAAGGTACGGCAGAGAGAGGCTCTATGGGCGACTATGAGAGCTGTGAGCTCTGATCGGTCACCAGAGTAGCCACGATCCTCGAGTGCCAGTGCTTGCGCCAGGGCGGGATGTCTTCTTCGTGGGTCATGTAACTGCTGCTCTGCTACCACTTTTTTGAGTACAGCCGACGAGAAGACGGCCAGAATCTCCTCGAATCTGTCTCCCTTGCACTCGTCGAGCATTGTCTTGCGCACTATCGCATCCCGGCCAAGCACGCCGTTCTTCTTCGCCTGTTCTAGGCTCCGGACGAGAGCGGCGCGCAAATTAAGGGACTGGACATTTTCGAGAGGCGGAAAGAAGGGCTTCAGCTTGTTTCGAGTTTCTTCGGAGTCCCATAGGTTGAAGAGCTGATAGAGAGCCCACTCAACGCACTGAATGCGCTTCTTCTGACCTTGCGCTGCATCCTTTACGCTGAAGGTGGCCGTATTGATATCGGGCCAGTCTGGGAGCAAGTCCAGATCCAGCAATCGAAGGTTGGTAAGAAATAAGGAAATGTTGGAGACATGGGAAGCATTAGACGTGTTTGTAGTAGGTTTGGTTGTCGATGACGGCGGGCCGGTCGCGCTAGTGACGGAGCTGGTGTAAGTGGTGTGACTGGCGTGACTGGTAGCCGAAGCGGTGCTCCGGGAGAATGGTATAGGTTTGCTCAAGCTGCTGCTGCTTGTCCCAGCCGAGCGGACAGTCTTGGTGCGAGGGACTTTGGAAGAAAGACTGGCCATGGTGACATTATGCGTCCATCCGTTGTATTGCACCGAGGTTGTCTTTCGCTCAAATGTTGAAAGGTGGGAAGCTGAAAAGGGGAAGATTCGAAAATCTGGAAGAAGGCCGATGAAACTGGGCGAGTACACGTAGTAAGCACCAAGTACTAGCAAGGGCAGCAGCGTGTTGAGGTGAAGCTACCCGTAAACAGTGCAGTTGTGATAGACGGAAAATAGCGTGTCGCAGTGTCCGAGACCTTTTCTTTGGCTTCTGGAGTACATGCGCTACTGTAGTACTCGTATAGTAAGTCAATAACAAAGGAACGGAAGTATCAAGAGGGCTTGAATTACTTTACAACGAATTGAGCCATACGTGTAATGGCTGCCAACTCAGACGTGTTACCGCTCAGCTGTAAGCTAACGACCGGACAGTATCTACCTTACCTTTGTTGGTTCGCCAACAAGGAAACTGGCAAGTTGAACAGCGGGCATGCGAAGTCAGGTGCAGTGATTGGTTGGCCGTTCCTCTGGGTGCCATTAACATTAACTGTTGCGCATCGCGTAGGAAAGTGACAGCTGTTTCCAAAGTGAGAGGTTTGTCAACACCGTAAGGAAAGATGTTTGGAAACAACAAAAGCAGTCTCGAGGCGATGAAGATGCGACAAGGGAGGTGGGGGGAGGTTCCTTGAATTCTGATGCGGGATGGAATGCGCGAGCTTGGAATCTCCAATCAGAATGTGCGCAATTTTTACCGCATCGTTGTGCCGGGGGTTAGGGTTATGGCATTGACTTGGTTGAGGCCAGTTGCCCGCATTCGCCTTTTCAGCTTGCGATTCCTCACTTTTACCACAACCAAGATAAACACATGGAGTACACCAGCGCCTGCGAAATGGACTGTCTCAAGTCTACAACCTCTTTGAACCATCCCACCATTTTCATTGACGCCTACCGGCTAGTTGAGCGTGAGCCTCCACCTTAACTGAACGGACACACTCGCAATTCTCATCTACCGCCTTCTCGAGCGTCCATCGTGACTTTCTTCTTGTTCTAGGAACTTCCGCGAATCCTCTGCTGTAATTGACACAGAACTCCTACCCATCATGGTCTCTCCCAAAGTTCGACGCCGTTGCACTTTCTCATGAAGCGTAACCCCCACTCACAACCCTCACTCAACGCCCTTTCCATCGCCGACAACAACCTCTCGTCTGCCTCTGCCCTCAATCAGCACTTGTCAACCCGCGGTGTCGGTTGAGCGCTCTCGGTCAGAGACTCGTTACTCTCAACGACCCGCTTCTCTTGGGCGGTAGAGGTAGCGGAATACGGCCTCATCTCCATCGTCTGCTGCATGGTTGGTTGCACGCTCTGGACGCCGCAGACGATCCGTCTTGACTCCTCCTTTCGAGTCTTCTCCATCTCATATACCTCATCGCTGATGCAAGGCTCGCACGAGATGCAACTGCACCCGCAGTATCCAGCCTTGGATCTTCCTCTGGACATGTTTGAATTGCAGCATGTCGTCCCTCTGACGATGGCGGGAGATTGGGCGCAGAGGTTCCATAGGGCGATGAAGGGCCAGAAAATGAAAGCGGCAATGAAGAGCAGAGTCGAAACAAGTGTCAACAGGAAACTGCTGTTTTGGAGCGTGGGCGAGCGCCGACGGGCTTCTAGTGGTAAGAGGTGATGGTAGTAGACTGCCATGCCGAGGGAGGTGAGACCCCACGTGATGCAGGCCACGACGATGACGAATATCTCGGAGAAAAGCATTGTGATGGATGGCCTCTTCTTTCTTGGCTGGTATTTTTGCTGGGCTCCTGGGACTGATGCCAATGCTGATGCTGATGCCGATGCTGATATATGGGTATTCGAGAATGAGGGTGCGATGCAGGTGAGATCTTGCTTTCAAGAACTCTCTCGACTGGAAAGCAGTGGCAAAGCACACAAGATATATAACAGCGACATCAGCAGCCAGAACGATAAAACCGTTGGCGAGGCTTTTATTTTTCCTTCCCTTCGCACGGGTTTTGTGCAATATCGCAACGGCCGAGGCAAGATAGGTCTCGGAACGGGAGGGTCTGAGACACTGCGTGGTACGCAACCTGTGCTGAGCTTTTACCCTCCATACCACGTTTCTGGCACTTGGACTCAACGACGTGCTTGGACAGAAGCAAAACGGTCTCCGAGACAGTTTGATCGATTTGTACACTCCCTTACATCTTTCTACTGACGGTACTATTGTGTAAGACTGATGCGAGACTTTGCTAATTCGGGCGTCAGCTCAGAAAATCTTTCCAGATTTGGAACCTAAGCAGCTTTAGCTTTGTTGCTTGCTGAGAAAGCAACGGTATCGTGCATATTGGCAAATTACACAATGGTGTTGTGCTTAAGCAATCGCGACATTGGGAATCGCTATTCCAAGTCCCAACTTTGGGGGGCTCAGCTGACTGGGTAGGGCTGACTCTATGTGCAAGAAGTCTGTCTGGAGTTGATACTTGCACATTGATCTGCGCTGTTGACACACGTACCGGCGTTGATGCCGACATGCGGCCCCATCGGGAGGCCAGAAACAACATATGCATTGCAGCAAACATATCCCGAGGCCCTTCATGTACGGCGCCTGGCGCCGTGTTCGTGCAACCTAAGGTCACCGTTGACCCAGATGAGTTTTGCCAAACAAAACAAACTCCATCGTCCCTTGGTTCCAGTTTCACCTTGTGGAACGTCAGTCACTGACCCTCAGCTACGGAGCCTGAATCCAAGAGTGATTGGACAAACACGAGCGTCCAGCCCCAGATTCCCATCTCTTCGGTTCCGGGTGAAGCATAATAAGACCTTGGGCCGATCGTTATGTCCTCTACTGCAAGGTGCGCAGAGCAACACTTTTTGTCGCCAAGGGACATATACTTTTTCTTGCTTGGAGAGGTTGACTTGCACACTCTTCAATCCTCCATCCAGGCTAGACAGGCATGATTCTGGATGCTGGGGAGGTTATCATTCCAACCACATACATATCAAGCTCGCCAAACAGTTAATCCCGATATTTCATATCCGCTTCCCCAGAGCCCACGGGGACTGCTGTCGGGTACTTTACACCACATGCCTCCCTCCCTCTCCCCCAACTCTAATCCTCAAGTCGAGTCAATTAGAGGGTTAGGGTTCTACGTAAGGGAGAAAAGCCGCCAAATGAGGTGTCGGTCCAGACTCGGGCGCTGGAGGGTCGTGGCGATCCACAATTTCGGCAGCTAACTGGTGAGCCCCACTTCAGGCCGGGGGAGATTGGACGATCATCCAATGTCACAGCGGATCGCTGCAGCATGCGGTTGCCGCCAAGCAGTGGCAGCCCGCCAGGGGTAATTCGATTTTGGCTCCGTTGTTTGAGCCCTGTTTTTGAAGACCCAGTCGACTCCATCATCACGAACCAAGAATCGGGACTCCCATCGAACGGGGATCTCATCAAAGTGGAATGGAGGAGAAGCGAAGTGGAGAACTTGGATACGTAGTTCTACCACTCATGTCAACCTCATGCTTCCCGCTCGTATTTAACGAATAATATGCCTCGAGAATGCTTGGTTCATTTTGGGTCCTCCTCGTGTTTCACTTTCCGACAACAAATCCTGCCAAAGCATGGTTCGACGCTTGATGATTGGGAGATCCGAGGCGGCATTCCTAACGTATGAAATCTATCGATTTGATCCTCTGTTGAAAACATCTCAAGATTCCCATCCACATGTCCATGGGTGATTGATGGACATGATGAACAAACGGTGCGCTCCGGATCTAATACAGTTCCTTATTCTTGGAACTGAAACTCCTGATGAGTTGGGACGGTGAGAACCGTATTGTCTTGAGGATTGGTGGCGTTTGATCAACCGCGAAATGAGTGGACGGTGGTATTAATCATCTGGGCCTTGGTATACCTTGGCGCACGCAATTGAGCCTCCTTCTACACTAGTGTAGCCCATCTTGTCCAAATTGTCCATCCCAAAAAAGCTACTCAGGCTTCTCAGCTTTGCACCAGTCTAGCAAGCCCTACCGTGGTCCCAAGCAATACACCAAGTCACAGTGACAATGCGCACCTGGAAATGGATTTCGGAGTCGCCAGCAGCGCGGACATTATGGTACCTGATGAGAGCCAGGCTCACCTGGAAATGGTGGAAACCAAGAATGGAGCAGATGGAGCAAATGGAGGCCATTCGCGGGAACTGGGAGGACGGGACTGTCCTGATACGCCGAGGTCCCAACACGGGGTATTAAATAAAGCCAAGCTATGCCGGCGACAGCCTATTGGCTCGATGCCATTCCCAGAGGCTTCCAAGAAACCCCAAGATTCTTGTCACCAAATGGCTGGCGCTGGCTGGCGTCTTGCCTTGTCTTGGATGGGGGCTATGCACCGGCCAAACAACATTGTTCCCCGAACCGGTTTTAGCCACCCTTCGTGTTTCTCTTTGAATGTGCTGAACTCACTCCAAGTCTTCTTCTTTAAAACATTCATCGCTGGCTTTTGTTGTTTCTTCATCAGTCTGTCGCTAAACTCCCTCTTCCGCAGCTCTTTTTTTGCCCTTTTTCCACACTCACTGCCATAGCGCTCGTTTGTATGGCATTTTAGTCCTATTATTTTTTGATTTTATAAGAAGTCCATTCCCACACACCTCCCGTGTGACGCTTTGCCACCTGAATACATAACGATTTATTTATCTGCATAACCGTCAACACCAAAATGCGTTCCACCATCATCATCACTGCCCTTGCGGCGTCTGGCACAGTTAATGCCGGTGTTGCCGGCACCAAGAACACCAAGCGTGCTTCCATCACCCCCATCACCGCCAAGGGTAACGCCTTCTTCAAGGGTGATGAGAGATTCTACGTTCGCGGTATCGCTTACCAGCCCGGTGGCTCTTCTGCCAACCTCGTATGGACCTCTAAACATCTTACCATACCAAAACTCTGTTGACTAACACAGACGTTTAGGATCCCCTTGCCGACCCCGAGATCTGCCTTGAGGATATCAAGAAGTTCGAGGATCTTGGCATTAACGTTGTCCGTGTTTACTCTACCGACAACTCCAAGTCGCACGAGGAGTGCATGAACGCCCTCGCGGACGCCGGTATCTACGTTGCCCTTGACGTCAACAACCCGTTGTACTCCATCAACCGCGCAACCCCTCACCCTTCTTACAACGCCGTCTACTTGCAGAGCGTCTTTGCCACTATCGACGAGTTCGCCCAGTACGACAACACCTTTGCCTTCTTCTCCGGAAACGAGGTCATCCACGATGAGGCCGAGAGTACACTCGCCGCGCCCTACGTCAAGGCCACCGACCGCGACATGAGGGCCTACATCAAGGCGCGCAAGTACCGCGCCATCCCCGTCGGCTACTCGGCCGCCGACGTGTCCAAGAACCGCATGCAGACGGCCAAGTACTTCAACTGCGGCAGCGACGAGGAGCGTTCCGACTTCTTCGCCTTCAACGACTACTCGTGGTGCAAGAGCGACTTCAAGACCTCTGGCTGGGACGTCAAGGTCAAGAACTTCACCGACTACGGCCTGCCTATCTTTTTGTCCGAGTACGGCTGCACCATCAACGGCCGCGACTTTGGCGAGGTTTCGGCCCTCATGGACCCCAAGCTCATGACCAAGGTCTACAGCGGTGGTCTCATGTACGAGTACACCATGGAGGAGAACGGATACGGAATCGTCAACATTACCAAGGGCAAGGACATCACCGACCAGACCGGCGCGCGCATCGAGCTGCCCGAGTTCGCCGCCTACAAGAAGGCCCTCGCCAAGTACCCCGCCCCCACTGGTGACGGTGGCTACTCCCAGACGACCAAGGCCCAGGACTGCCCTCCCAAGGATGACGACTGGCTCGTTGACTCGGATGAGCTTCCCGAGATGCCCGCTGCTGCTAAGAAGGTAAGCTTTCCTCTCAACTATGCGTTGGATCATGAAGCAACCTGAAACTAATTGACCAAAAATAGTACTTCGAGAACGGCGCCGGCAAGGGTCCTGGTCTCAACGGCGCCGGCTCCCAGTGGGCCGGTGATGCCTCCCCTACCACCGGTTCCGGCAGCGGCTCCGGCAGCGGCTCTGGCTCCGGCTCCGGCTCCAGCTCTTCCGCCACCGCTTCTGCCACCCACAACGCTGCTGGCTTTTCCGTCGCTGGTCCCGTGAACAAGGGCCCCTTCGTCGTCACCGGCCTTGCTCTCCTCTTCACCCTCGTCGGTGCTGTTGCTTTGTAATTATAGCAAATAGCGACTACCGAGAGAGTGTTAAGATGCGTCAGCTGAAGAAGCATTATGTACATAGTACTATACCACAAGAGGACATATAGACAAGAAAGTCGGGAGGATTGCGGTGATTTCGGGCCTGTTGAATTGCATTTTGATTGAAAATAATACCTAAATTAGTCAATCCGCGTTTCGCGATGCATTCACATTCTGTCGTTAGTTGTTAACTGTGTTCGTGTGCATGTTTCAATGTGTTGTCGTTTGTCTAAGCCGTTGATCTGCCGCACATCAGGTTGATCAGGGTTCGGTATGTATCGACAAAACTGTCGATGATGTTCGGCGATTGTCAGATGTGCGTGTACATCTTTGCGCGGCGCAGGGATTTGAATCTCTCAACATGACTGGCTGCAGTGGAAATGATCGGCCTGGTGAGATCATAATGATCTATGCCAGCTTATTCTGACTTCACTTCCCGACTAGGAATACATCAGGTTGTATGCCAAAGGGAGTCTATCGTCTTGGTATCCAAAAGATAGGGCATTTGTGTTTTAACCAGGGAGGTCCCAAAATCTCCAAAGTTATGGTGTTGCTACTAGTCGATTTTGGTTTTCACGGCACGGCAAGAACACTCCATGCAGTACCATAGACGCGCAAGCACTTCTGGTTTGGGTAGCAAGATGCACATCGGTAGGTAGGTATCCTAGGTGGTCTTCAAAATACCTTCCACTATCACCAACTTAATATCACCGACTGATTCCAGCTCGACTTCCTTCAAAGCATCAAGCCCGCCGTTACAGCCCACCAATAAGTGAGCTGATGCGGTCGAGGTAGGCTGACGGCAGCAACAAATCGGGAACAAAACATACTGTCTCGGTACCGACCGGGAGACAGGAACACAGCTGGCAGCCACGCTCCCACGTTATGCCGCTTGGGCACTTGCCTGTTTCGAGGGAAAATCCCCAATTGGGTTTTGGATCTGGTGGTGAGTGGGTGAGCCTCTCCCTCTTGAAGACAAAAGAAGAATTTGAAGGTATCGGATGTTACACCACAGAAGACTGTCCGTGTCATTGGGTTGTCGGGAAAGTCGTTCTTTGGATATTCCATTGGCGACGCTGCTCCACTCCGGTGGCCCTTCCCTTTGAGATGCCGTGTAGTGTGTCGCACAAGTAGAAATAGTGGACGAGCAGCCTCCCTTCCCTCCAGCTGCCTGCTGCTGGACTGATAAGTCGAGGAAGGGGTGACGAAGCCTAACCTTACCTCTACCTACCAAGGCAATGAAGGTGACAGCTTATGAACCGCAGCCGGCTGAATATTCCTGGGAAGAACGAAGCAGGAGAAGAGGTGAACTGTCAGGAAGGTGCATGAGAAATGCAACTTCCGTGGAAGAGATGTAAACGACTGGACAGATTCAAGCCGCAACTTCCCCAAATGTCGTGCGATGATCAACATCGAGGGAAGGTGCATCACAGCGAAGTCCGCTTGAGAGAATATCAAGAGGCTGGCAGCGTTATTGCTGAACATCGCTTCATTTATCCCCATCTTTACTCTCTGCTTCAGTTTTGGGTTTCTCTTCTCGGTGCAGAGTGGCATTTGTACTGGAAGAGGTGCTATTCTATCAACGACACGCCTGTCCGGGTCCACATTCTCACCATCACCATCTTTAACTTATGTTTCCGATCGATGGTGAACGCCCATTTGTACTAATGGCGCTCCTATCAGCGGCAAAGCTTGTCATCCTCATCGGCGTCTGTAAGTTCAGCCTCTGGACCTTTTGATTCTCGGCTTCTCGTGTAATCTTGGACTTTTTCACCAACTAAGCCCAGCTTTAGTTTGCTTCGTTGTCGCCGTCGAAGGCCGTCCCGATGTTCACCATCACTTTGGTTTCCCCGACCCCAGCCAGAGGGCACCCTCAGCGCCTGTCGCTCAAGAAGCACCTGGCAACGACCGCGTGTCCAAGTACTACCTACACGTCCATGGAATCATCGCTGCCCTCGCCTTCGTCATCCTTTTCCCTCTTGGTTCTATCCTCATTCGCTTGCTTCCAGGCCGTTTGGCCCTCTTCGCCCATGCTACTTGGCAGCTCTCTACGCTAATCGTTTATCTGGCCGCCGTTGGGCTCGGTATTCACCTTATCAAACGAGATCCTAACACGGTATGCATCTCGCTCCCTCTTCCTCTAGTCTTGGTCTGATATGCCTTTTTCTGGTCGACGAAAACTGACATTTTATTATCATTAAACAAGATGAGAAATGGACGCTTGAACTACCATCCAATCATCGGCATCTTTATTCTCGCCCTCCTTTTCATCCAACCCTTGGTGGGCATTTTCCACCACAAGGAATACAAAGTGAATCGTCGCCGCGGAGTCTGGTCAGCCCTTCACCTCATACTGGGAAGGATTGCCATTACTATTGGAATGATCAATGGCTATATAGGCTTAATCGCAATGGACGACGATACAAAAACGAAAGTCAAGGCAATCTACGTTGCTATCGCGCTGGCAATCTGGCTCCTATGGACTGCCATGTCGATATGGTGGGAGTGGAAGAGGCATAGGAGAGAGAGGGCAGAAAAGGAGCTGGAGCGTGCCCTGGCCGAGGACGGGACAGGAGTTGGAGCCGACCGCGGAGTGAATGACCAGAGCGACACAAGGGCGAGGGAAGCACTCAGGAAGGCGAAGAGGTCAAGAGGTTGAGGTCAATAGGGTTTGATGTCGAGTTGATGGTGTGACAAGTCCGTGTTGTTGGAGATGGTTGGAGTCTTGCCCTTTTAATATCCTCGAAGGAGTCTTGGTATTGTACGTCCCGCATCCTTTACAGGAACAGTCAATAAAAATAGCTTTAAGAATAATTGTTATCCACCGAATAGAAATATCTCACCGGGCCAGTCCGTGAAGATCACTGTTGTTGTGTACGATCAGCCCGCCACATTTCGCCTAGTTAAATTACTTCATTTGCTTCATCGCACCATCCGACTTGGTGTCGTCCCCTTGTGGACCCAGCACCATGGCCCCATGCTCCATCACCACATACAAACATAAGCTGCGCCCCAATGTCAAGACCATGAACCCTGGGAAAGTCTCATCAATCATCACCATCACTGACGTCCCTGCCGTCCATCTACAGCGCAGCAAAGCAAATCCCTATGATCACAGACGGCCAACCAAATAAACCATCAAAAGAGAAATCGTCCGAATCCAAACCGGACTAAGCCAAGACGGAAAAAAGGACTGGGATACGGATCGCTCGTGGGCACACAGCCACACGGCGATACAATATTCCCCCCAAAAAACCAAACAAGGAAGATGCTCATCGGCAAGATGCTCAAACTGAGTCAACAACTCAACAAGCTCTCCAAACCCATCCTCGTCTACCTCGCCGCCCTCCAAGACGTGCCCGTCAACCCCATCCACATCGCCACTGCTGCTGCCGCCACTACGACGACGACGACCACGTCGTATTATGTTGCGAGTACTTGCACCGAGAGTCCGACGGCGGTTTGTCACTATCATCAGATTCCCCAGTACCACCCAGGAGGAGGAGGGGGAGGGGGAGGGGGAGGAACGTGGCCGACGCCTTTTCCTTTGGTATACTCGCCATCGACGGCGTCGTCGTTGTCGTCTGTGATGGGATGGGAAGTTTGGTTGTGGTGGTCTGTGGGGTTTTGGAGAGGTGAGATGGAAGGTGCGGAGGAAAATGTCCCGCTGAGCATCATTAGGAGCCTGGTGGCCTGACTACCTTAGATCTAGTCCACTCTCCTCCAGGTTGCTTACTCTAGGGGAAGAAGCGGAAGGGGTCAAATCTAAGGGAAGGGGGGAGGGGGAGTAGGATAGACAAGCGTGAAGAGCACCTTCTCTAGGTCTTCAATCACCTGTCGGCTGAGCTCATGCTTGATCCGCTCGGATTCCATGATGATGGCGAACCCTTTACGGCAGGTTGAGCGGATGAGGAGCTCGAGGCGGTCGAAGCGGTCGAAGCGCTCGAGTTGAGAGGTCCAGGTGCGATCCTTGGTTGTGAGAGTATTGTCTGCGGCCATGGCCATGGCCAGAAGGTCGGTCGACCTGGCTGGGTCTTCAATTTGCTGGATTCCTATGTTTTTGGAAGTGAGGTTCATTAGCTTTTGTTTGTGGGAGGTGTGATGGATGGTCTGGGTTTTCTGGCGTTATGCGGTAAGGGGCGTCTATGGTACGGTTTTGTTTGACGTATGTGCTGCGTATTCTTGGATTGTGATGGATAAAGGACCAGGGTTTTTCAACAAGGAGCGTGCATTGACGGTTTGTATTGGCGCTTATAGGCATCTGGGTGACGGGGATTGGGCTTCAAGTACTTGGGTAGAATCTACGTACCACATTTCGTGATAGATCCGGCACCTGTTGAAAAGGGAAACGTCTTGTTAGCACAGAAAGACAGAGCAGTATGACATTTGAAAGAAACGCTTCATACCATGACTAAACGGCGTGAAATCGGTCCAAACTTTCAGGGGCGCCTGTTGTCGAAACGTGATGTCGATCGTGAAGGCTATGTACATTAGGCTGTTCAGTCTGTCGGGTTTGATCAGATCCTTGGCTGCCGTACTATTAGCGATTGCGTACGCTTGAAGTGTGACAGCCATGCATCACCTACCGTGGATAATGGCTCTTTCAGGCTTCCCAGGCCATCCCATCTGCAGACTGAGCAAGTTGATGCCTTCGTGTTCCATGACCATATCCCTCCATGATTGTATGTAGAGCCACAGTCTGTGGCTGGGCAAACGAAGGTATGCGTTGACAAGTAACTCCCGATTGCGTTGGCGAATGTCTTCGTCTATCCCGAGGGACCACGAGTCAATCTTGATTCTCAGGGTTTTCATCCTTACGACTTGATCGATGTCCTTTTCTACGGTATCACATGACCCACCTAATTCAGGAGATCGTCAGTGAATTTCTATAAAGTTCTTGCAGCTTTGTGCCATACCTAATAGTTGGTAGTCATCGAAGGCAGCGTCAACTTCCGATGAGCCCCATGTCAGTGCAAGTAGTTCCATGAATGTCTTGAAGAAACGTCGTCCCAAGAGCCGAAGCCGAATCGTTTCATGATCCTGGATTAACGTAGGCATCATCCAGAACGCAGCCTTCTTCAAGCCCAGAGAACGTGACACAACTTCCAGCTTCTTGAGTGTCTTGAGTCGACCTTCCTCATCTTCCCCTGCCAATATCATGTCAAGCGGAAGAGGGGGGGTAGTCAAATACCACTCCAGTGTCCTTGCAAATGCTTGCTTGGAGTTAAAAACAAAACTGGTGCAGTGTACACAATTGATGAAAAAGATCGAGTTGATGGTGTTCACATGTTGACTCCCGATCGGGAAGAAGGGAAAGCGGAACTTGTCGTTCTTAGTTTTCCGTCCGTCATAGCCCTCTTGAAAGACCACGCGGCCATCCACGATTGTGCTGTAACTGTTTCCCGCCTTGTGTACAGGTAGATCAGCCAACATACCGTTGGAAGAACTATAAGGATCCAGAAACAAAGACCGGGTGAAATCCCTGCCCTTTTTGATTTCAGGATTTTGGTCTTCGTGTGGCTCAGGTAGCAGCACAGAGCGAAGGACAACCATAATCTTCGGAGAGACCGGCGCAAAAAAATGGAGTTCCAGGTAGGCAAGGCATTTTTCCTTGTTCGATGTGCCGTCTCGGCCATATTCGCTCGGCCCTTCATATATCGAGTAGCTGTTGTCGGTAAGGATGAACTCGTTCTCCGCTTCAGATGGTACGCACAAAGCCATGTAGAACTCTTGAATATGACTAACGAACCAGATGGCATCACCATAATACATCTTCTCGCAAAGCTCATCTACCCATTTCGACTCCGTGTCCATGTCAAGGTTGATGATTGTTTCGATATTATGTAACCATACCTGCATAGGGGTTTTGAATTGCGGATGTTCGTTCATGTACTTTCGAAAGAATTCCTGGTCGTCTTCAGAATATGCGTCTGGTCTGTCGTGGCAGAAGCGGGTGTATAACCCACGACTGCGGTACTTCATGAGGTAGAGAAACTTGCGAATCAAGTTGCGCTCGTCTCGGGTGAGAACAACTCCGCCCTCTTTTGCTGCATATGCCTTTGTGATCTTGGTGAAGATAAGTGCTGCCTGGGCCTCCAGTTTGGAGAGCAACTTCTCGACTCGTCTTTGCTCCCCGGTGGGCTTCGTGAAGTCGTCGTACATGTTGATTTGCCCGAAAATCCTAGAAACGGGTTTCTCGGTGAAAACGGCAGGGTCCTGGGTTAGGTTGAGGCTGTTGAGTACCAGATCTCCCGGATACATGCCCTTCTCATACTTGGGCTTTGGCGTTCCTTTTGGTTTTTTGAACACTTTGGGGACCCTGTGGGCAAAGTTCTTGAGAAGGAACTGGGGGACAAAGTGTTGGTACTGTCCATTTGGTGCGGCGGGTGTCGCGATTTTAGGCTTGGGATGTGACATGATGTGATGAGAGGTGATGTTGTTCTTGAAAGCGACGTCGAGGTGGGAGAGGAGCTTTGACTTGGGAAAAAAGTGTGGAAAGTGTGTAGCGAATGTGCGTCGTTACCAGTTTCATCGGAAAGTCAGGTCGTCCATGAGAATATATTTGACGAGCTCAGCCACGGCCGTCCTCGTTAGAGTCGTGAGAGTGACATTCTCAAATGCAAGCGCCCGAAATGACCCATTCGCGAGGCCTACAGCAGCGGGGTTGGTCTTGTTGGACCCCAAAAGAAGAGAGAGTGCGCTGATTGGCAGCTTGGAAGCCCTATCTATCGGTCTATCGGTTCGTTCGCATTGTACATACATAAATTTGCCGAATTGGGCTCACTCTGCTTGCGTTGATGGATTTGCATGCTTCCATCGCGGGCAATCAGAGGGACCGGCCGATGCAAGAGACGTTGCGTCGCATGAGAGGCAACAGGCGGCGTGATGTTGCAGACTTCCAGTTCCAAGTATAAAATGGCGAGAGATTCCGTGATCATCCCAAGCATAACAAGTGTGTCGTCCGGTGTAGTGCTGTTGATATTTGAGTTGGAGAATGGAGGTTGTGTTTACTATTCGTGATTGCAGGCGGAAAAGAAAGCTGAAGGAGAGGAACAGCAGGGACTTGCTTTGCGCTTCAGCCTTTGATGTGTAGCTATAGGCACTAAGTTCTGTTAGACTCCCATCAGTAACAAATCATTGGGCGTGTGGCTCAGTTGGTAGAGCGTTCGCTTAGCATGTTCTTTAGCATGCGAAAGGTCCTGGGTTCGATTCCCAGCTCGTCCACTCTTTTGCTAACTTTTTCTTCTGGGCTCGCCCCCTTTTCGATCTCCCTCGGGGGGTTCTGTAGGTGTATTTTTTTTTGATCTATGGTAATTCTGGATTCTGATCGTACTGAAGCGGTAATTTCTGAAGGACCAAGTAAAGAACTAAACCCTATTGGATTGAATGATGCTAGCTGACGCGTTGGCTTCGTACCCCATGTTTTGCCGTCCACTCTCCTCTATTCCTCATCGTTTGTGACACTACTCTTTCGGACTGTAGATTTTTCTAACTGACTCTGACATCACCATTTGGCTTCTTATTGCATTTCTGAAAGACCATTTGGCATGTGGCCGCATGTGTCCGTTGCCGCCCCTGATCTCCACATCCCACGTTTTCGCGCCTTGACTCCGGTGTCCGCACCTGTTTGATCTTCCCAGGGATCCGTCATAGCTTCCTCCCATGGAAAGTTAAAGGCCTCCAGAAGGGCACACGCCGTTAGATTAATGGGGCACTGAAGTATAAGGACGTTTCTGTCCTCAGGCAGGGGTTACAAGCCTATTCAATTCGGCCTTATCGTTGAGGCCCAAATGAAAAGACCATTGGCAAGGCAGAAACGAAGATTATTCATTTGGCAAGACTATTTCTGTTGGGTTTGGGTATTGCTATTAATTTCCCCACGGCATACGACCCCTATTACCGTCGTACCGAACATCCCATAGTGATCAATTACTCTCCAGCCCAACTTCCTTTCCTGAAGGAAGATGCTCTACCGGTCCACAATTTCCTTTTGCCGTTTACCGTCCGCTGTCCGTAAATCGTAAGTGAGTGTCCTATGTCCATACCGTTTCCATAACCGTCATTACTCGTCGCAGTCATTCATCCTTTACCCAAGCCAGTTCGTCATCCTTGAGGTCCTTAATCCGTATCAAAGAAACTGCCCTCCCTTCCCTTCGATCCCTTTCCCGCCGTCCCTGAATCCTCTAACTTCATCACCACCCCATCCCATCTCCTAACCTCCTCCCCGTAGAACCACCACACACCCGCCACTATGGCCGCAATAACTGTCTGTACCACTGCAAACCCAATACACATATCTCTCAACCCATGCCCTGACGACAAAGCCGCACCGCTACTCGAACTCGAGATCCCACTAGGAACCGCAATAACCAGAATGCCGGCAAACAAGGTCCTCCAACATGCCACGCCGGCCGCCATATCGTTTTCGTGTCTGGTAGCAGTAGTCTGGTTGTCGGGGGAGGACGTTGACGCAGTGCTCAGCCCAATCAACGGACGGGAGATAGCATCAAAGACGTACGCCCCTGCAGCGAGGAGACCGAGGACGAAGCTGATTGCTGGAAGGTTCGTACTCGAAATCTTGCCATTGTCAATGCCCACGTTGGTATGAAGGCCAAAGGTAAGGATGCCGATAAAGGAGAGGAAGGAACCGGCTGTGATGGCAACCGTGATGACCTTGTTGTTGAACTGCGTTGAAAGAGAGGACAAGACGGGAAATCGCGACTGTAATCGAGGTATGAAGAACGGTAGGAGCGTCAGGACGGTTGCCGTAGCGGTGGCGAGAAGCCAGGGACCCGTCATAAGAACGCCGATGGTGGTTGTGGTGTAGACAGAGTGGAACAGAAGGGAGAGAGTCGAGCTCAAGGCCCACAGTGATGAATATGGAAAGAGGGATGTGAAAAAGAGAATTACTGTAGTAGGTGCAATGAAAGCACGAGGTGCTTCGAGCAGGGTGATCGAATCTGCCGATCCACTGGTGTAGGAATATGGCTTCATCTTCACAATGTAGTCGTTGATGGCATCCAAGATACGGTCCCGTCGAATACCCTGACACATGGACTCCTTGTACGGACTTTCACTACCCTCATCAATTCGAGGTAGTGTATCAGCGCGGTCATATGCTGTCTCGGGCACACCGAGGGCAATGGCCGGGACGGCAAGGACAAAAAAGCAGCTGAGAACTGTGAACTGTAACTCGAACCCAGTCTGGCCTCGCGATGTTATCCCACCAAGCAGTGGTGGACCCCATGTAGTTGTGACGACGATAATGGTGTAAATGGAAAGCCGAAGGTCGCGTTCGTGTTCCTTGAAAGCGTTAGTCATGTACATAGTAATCTCGATGAAGCGCTGGGTTGCACTTACAAAGAATATATCGTAGATAGAACTCTGGACCAGCGTATCAATGACACCCCATCCCAAACCTTGGAAAACCCTTGCGGCCAGGCATTGGCTGTAGCTGGTCCTCACGCTGGTGTTCCATACGGTACCAATGAATAAAAGTACTAATGAGATGAGATACAGCGGTCTTTTGCCACATATTTTCGATGTAATAAGACTGACGAGCCCAGTAAAAGCGGACAGAATCAAGGGAACGCCGGTCAACGCCGCGGCGGCAGTGTATGATACACGATACCCATCAGCTGCCTGAGCATTTACACTGATGAAGGCTGTCTTCATAACTCCAGTTAAAGCTACCATCAGTAGCAGAGCATAAAAGCTGATCTCCTTTCGCCAGCGATGCCAGTTCTGAAAACGTAAGCTTGTGAACTTGTATAGTGAGTGTCAAGAAAGCTTATGAACTTACCAATGGGTCTTCAGGATCATCACTTGGTTGCGGCGACAGCTCAACTCCACTGTGCTTGCCTTGCCCATATTTGATGGTCCTTGTAGTCGAAGCTAGAGATGTCCATGACGACTGTGTGTGTAGTCTTGAATGCCCAGATTTTTTTCCTAGTGATGACGCCGTTTCGGGCCGTGTTTCCGAGATCGTGTTCAGCGAAGCTTGTAATTTTAAGGGCGGTGGTTGAGTCGGCGGCGGGCTTGGAGAGCTGAAAGTGCTTGACACTGATCCAGATCGGCTGTGTGTTGTGCTTTTCCTTGAGTTTGGTGTCGGTGGTAGCGGTCTGTTTGGTGCCGGCGGTGTGCTTGTAGAAGGCATTGTCTCCTGCGGACTTGGCCTGAAAGGTTCCTTGGTAGGAAGGGGAGGTGGAGGCAACGCCATGCTGAGACCGACTATATCCCGGTTGTCCATTGCAAAATCCCAAGCCGAGTACTCTCGACGACCCAACTTGTTGCGTTCCAAAGCACGACCCAGCTGCTTGTTACCAAAGCGAGTGTTGTTGTCCCGTTGTCGCTGTCCAGCAGTCGATAACGAAGCAGTCGAGTGACACAAACGAGGAATGGACTGGCAAGAGGAGCAAAGAGGGAAACATGAGCATGGAAAGGGTCACTAGACAACGGTATTAAGAGAACGACGGGGCATGTCACACACGAGGAGGCCCACACATGATCGGGCACATTTCACGCTTGTGAGACCAAGAGCCTTGCTCATGACGTTGAGCCCTCCATGCCAGATATTGACGCCTACGTCTAGTATGGCCTTTGACAACTGGGGCTAGTCAGTATGAGAACCTCGAGGAGGAGGGCCCGCGACGATCAAGTGCGCCATGAGGGAGCATCGGCTAGTAACACAAAGGCGGAACAGTTCCGGACAGAGCAAGACAGAGATGCGATAGGATCCCTACTTGTTGACAGGGTACATGATTTCCACCCTGCCGGGAACTGATTCGTGGGGGAAAGGTCGAAAAGGAATGTTGAAGCTTTTTCTTGCCCTGTATTTGGCTCCCTCTTCTCAAGCTCCCAGCTTGTTGGTCTCCCGCATCCACCTCGATTTGCCTTCAGAAAAAGAAACCTTTCAAGCGAAAAACAAACCGAAAAACACTTGGCATGCACAGGACACTTGCTACTCGTGCAGCCGAAAGAGCCAGATGCCATATGCTTTTCTTTTCCTTTGTGCGGCAGAAAGGTCATCAGCTCAGGTCGCACCGCCGAGTATCCACGCCGCACCCAGGAGTCCCTCACGAACGATTCGTATGTAGCTGGTTCATTGTCCCCCAGTCGGGTACAGGAAGCAAACTCAAAGTCCAGAGCTTCAGGGATAATAGGACCCACCTCGATCCGTGGGTAGGTATGTTTTGAGTTGCAAGCGAGTTCTTGGGTGGTCGGGTCGGCAATCATCCAGGCCAGCGTCATGACACCGCTGGACACCCAAGCAGTCGGTTGCGAACTCAACCACCTTATTTTCAGCGAGCTGAAACAGGACTTGAAGCGGGAGGGGGCGCGAATGTCTCGGGAGCCACGGCGTCGACCTGTTCCGCACCGACTACCGCACCGACTACTTTTGAGCTTTGGTAGTGGAGAAACGGTTCTACTACCGGTTTGATCGCCAACTTAACAGAAGAAAAGAAAAAGAGGGGTTGAGTTCACACAAGGGAGACTCATTGGTGACGCTTCAGACCTGTCGCGCATTCAGGCAAGGTGCGCCAACCACCATCTGGCATGTCTGTTGGTAGAAACAAACAGCGGGAAAAATTTACGAAAAGTTTGAAAAATTGAAAAATGACATCGGGTTCCAGTTCTTCCAACGAAAACAGAGAAAAAGAAAGAAGCACTTTGTGTCACGGCACCTGCCCGTAAACTTTCCTCTTGGCGCTCTTCCCCCGGCAATTTGCCTGCGAAAAACGCAACAATTCGTTCACGAAAAATAGGACGAGGAAAAAAACCCAAAGCTGCACGGGAAGGTGCAGCCTCGTAAATCGCTACACGAGAACACAATGCATCGTTACCTGCCTCTCCCGAGTGTCGGACAGCATCGGACCAGGTCATAACATGGCTGGCTCATCTCATTGTTTGGTTGAACAAAATCAGAATCTCAACCAGTTCGGAGGCGCTCTCCATCCTGCACCTGGACAACCAGGACGCGGAACATAGCGAGCTAGTGTAATAGCACGTACAGGGGTGTGCCACAGGGGCTGTGGTTGGGGTTCCTGAGATGTAGCTGGTGTCGGGTGGTGGGTGGTGGGTGTTTACGCCCGTATACAAAAAGCCCCTTCAAGGAATTGGACTCGATTGTATCGAGACAATAGGTAGGTGAGCAGCAATGCCATTTCCCTTATATCGCGCTTGACGCCCTGTTTTGATCTCGCGGAGGGACAGTATTCTTATATTCTCTTGAACGCACTTACACGAGGACACCGCGTCGGAAAGATGCACCACCTTCCCTTCCGTCGCTCCCCATCGCTGGTGGACTCGAGGTTCCATTCCTTGTTTACTTCGCTCAGGGGCTGGTCCAGAAATTGTTAGTGCAAACCCTGGACAATGACGGAATCAAGGGCACCCATTTTCACTTCCCTCTCCGCTTTACACTACACTACTCTCTCTCCCTTCTCGGTCCTCACCATCAGTGAAATCCTTCCTCCTACTACACTCATACACACTCTCAGCGCAACGGATTGAACGCCTTTCAGTTCAAACAGCAGGATCAGCTTCTTAGATCCAGCCTCACCAGCCCGCCCTCTCCCTCCCATGCCCATCAAGATCCAACAAGTGTGGTTACACATGAAAGAAACAGATTCCGTCCGTATCCAACCATTCATCCACACGAACAAAGGGCTGGAACCGCTCATCGCGGGAACCCGCTGCCTTCTTCTTCATGTCCCTTGTCCACGGTATGTGTATAGATACGACATCCAACATATCCCTCTCTCGAGGTACGTACCAATCGCCAAATACATACGGCCGGGACCTTTCATGAAGACCGCACGGAGAGAACCGTTGAAGTACCTACCTAGGTAAGTGTTTGTTGTGCAATATCATACAAAAATAGCATGTCGGTTTTGCTGCTGGGTTCTTTTACATCGTCGCACGATACTGTACCCGCTGAACTACTTTACTCGTTCGTTGGCTGCAAGTCAGTCAGTCAGTCAACGTCGGGTGGCCGAGTCATTCCGAGTGTAGAAAACGTGTTTCCAGGGCCCAAGTTCAAAAGCGGGCCTGTATTTTTGCTTAGTTCTCAACGCCCCGGACTTGCCCTCCCTCATTTCATCCCTTTGTCTCGTGGAAAAGACGATGGCGTAAACATGTCTTCTCGAATGTGAATCCTCAATTGGTGATGGTTTCGATCGTCAAAAGCTGATCCCAGGGACATTGATGTTTCATGACATGTTGATGTTACGCAACATAGTGTTGAAGATTGAGAGTCAAAAACCCTTTCCATCCCTTTTGTGTCTGAACTCATGAGATTTCAAGCGGCTTCGAGGAGTGTGAGAGAAAGATGATCTCAATTGAATTCACTAACTGGCTGCGATGCCAGACACTAAGGAAAACATCTAGAAAGAAACAAAAATCTCCAAACTATCCTTTTCGAAACTCCATAAAACTCCTCGAAACCCATAACTGTAATAGGCATAATCGCATCTGTATCTCTCGGTGCCTTGTAGAGCCCCTAATTATCCTGTCTGTCTTATCCCATGTCACTTTCTATCCCATCTATCCCGTGTAGCTCATCTTGTCTATCGGTATTCGAGTGGTCTAGTTCCGTTCCGTTGGGAGAACCTCAAGCTTCGTGTCGGAAACAAAGTGAAAGAAGTGGGGATGGCGTCTTTTGACGAAAAAGTTCAGAGTCGAGTGAGTAGAGACCGAAATAAGCCACTGCAGTTGGCAATCGTCTTCCATGTTCACCCTATTGGGAGCAAGAAGCCGATCATGCCCGACCGGTCATCTCCAGGGCGCTCATGTGGTTCCAATGGAAAGTATTCGAGTCACCGCCAATGAGCATCGAAGGCCAGAAGATCATCTGGACTGGAATTGAAACTGGGCCGGTTGGGTCCATGAAGACAGCTATAGCGAGAAATAGTGTTAGCTATACTTCGTTTAATGTGGAAAAGAATGTTGGTGACCCATAGCAACTCGGTTCCAGAATAGCCTTGTCGATCCAACCTTGCTCGCGAACACATGGGCAAAAGCGCCAAACGGCAGGAGATTGGGGCGAACGAACCGTGGTGAATCGGTCTATCACACCTCAACACCTCCCTCCGTCCAACCTTCGCCCCATGTGCAGACCGGCATCATTTGGAACAACCGTACTACTTACCTTTCCCTTCTTTCTCTTGGTCTCCCCACACGCTCAATCTTATTTCTTCCATCGGGGAATAGGGAATCGGATCAAATGGGAGGAAAGGGGAAAAGGAATAGCAGCTCGCGATCATGCAAAAGACACAATGATAGCCGTACCTTCATGGTTCCCTCCCGCACCTTCGCTAACTTCTTCGCTCTTCTGCATCGTGAAGAGCAACCTGCTCGACCTAACCAGCACCTCGTCGAACTCGAGCTGATAGGCAACCGGTTGTTCTTCTTCATCGAACGCTTCGTCGGCTGGCACAAGCAGCGGCTGCTCGCGCCGGTAGTGGCGGTTGTTGATGTAATCGTCGGTCGCCTTCTTCGTAACACGGAAGCGGACGCCCACGTTCCGCTCGGGGTCAGCCCAGAGAACGGTCCTGGCTGCTTTGGCTTCCGCTAGCCTGGCGAGTCTCTCCTCGGGAGATTCGGTTGCTTTTTCTCGTGTTGCTTCTCGCTGCGCGCTTCTATTCGCATTGGCGTGAAGGTCTGTGGTTGATGAGGACGCCGACGACGCTACTGATGAGAGCGTGGATTTGGTCTGATCGGATAACCAACTGCGCCAGACACGCATAATGCCGTCGCTTACATTGACGTTACTGAGGAAAAAGCCGGGCTTCGGTCCAACCTTGACGAGGTTAGTTGTGCAGCAGAGCTGGGAGAACAGCTCGCCTTCGTCGAGGAAGACCTCCTCGGACGGTCGGTGGTCGGCGGCATCTGTGGATGGCTCTCCGTTGTTGATTTGCTGCTGTTGCCGTCTTGGATAGCGTAGCCTCGGTCGGCGATTCTCCTCCTGAACGACGGGTCTGAAGTGCGAGTATAGGCCCTTTAGTCCGGCAAGCGTTGGCTCGGGTTCGGGCCCGTTGGCTTCCTCGTCGCCATTGGGACCAGCACCGATCTTATCTGTGCGGAGATAATCGCAGTATAGGTATGGGGTCGAGAGCTTCGCGCTTGGGTGGTAGCATTCAAGGATGAGGCGATGTTCTGGAAGGGCAGCGGCCTGCAAAAGGCGCTGGTGGAGAATGTGCAAAGCGACCGAGTAGAAATGGCTGTTTACACGAACAAGCGGAAGAAGAGCGCGAGTTGGAAGCAGGTCGAGGATGTCGTTTAGAATCTGGTTTTCGGGGTGGTGTTAGCGGATGATGCTTGGCGCTAGTGCGATACGGGGCCAAGATAGGGGATTTTGTGTAAGTGATAAGGTCTGGATAACATCATGATAACATCACATACCTCGTTGGGCAACGAGTCCATGGCACTTGTAGGACCCATCTGGTCGCTGTCTGAAGGATGTAATATCGACAAGGTGTTCGAATCGGATGGAAGTAATATGAAAGGCTTGTTGAACAAAGCCGTAGGTCTAAAGGGTGTGATATCGCTAAGTGCTCGACTGTCTGAAAGAAGCTTGGGAAAAGGTAGGCCGGCGTGACGACCAGAGGACCACGATATATATATAAAGAAGCCTCCACAACAGCTGTTATCTCGAGTATGTCACTAAAAAAGGTCCGTGGCAGGTCCTTGTGTTGTGGTGGTCATGAATGATGCCAAGTGTAGCGTCGTAGCTTCGTTGGTTATCGTGGCCCAACGAGCCGTCCGCGCCCGCGGCGGAAACGCCCGCAACTGAGAGCGGTGACGTTATGCGCCCTGTCTTGATAGCACATATGCATGGATAATGGCGTCTGTACATACTAAGCCCGGATCCGCGAAACACGAGCATGAGGCCGAACGAGTGGCCAAAACGTCTGCTCAGTGTCCAGGATGCGACCGAGAAGTCAGGATATGGATGGGCTGATGGGCAGGATTATCGACTAGAGTCGAAGGGGGTCTAGGGCTTCTGCCTGCGACTCTACGGCCTCTACGCGAGTGCTCAATGCTCGGCAGGTTGCAGGGACACAACCGCACATTTGACTGGGCAGTGGCAGGGCTGATGCGACCCGATTTGCCCAGAATTGTGAAAATATCTGCCGAGGAAAGGGCCAGAAACATCCCACGCATGAAATCTAGAGATGACTCGGCCGAAACCGTATCCCCGACCCCAACAGACAGTACGTAGGTACTTATCACAGGCGGACAGAATGTTTGCTATCATCTCCATGGAGTAGTAGCGGTGATCCGGAAAGTTTTCTGTCGCGGAACCGTGAACTTTTCGATCTTCTGAAGGTTGTTGGGTTGGGTGGGTAGGTGGGTTAGGGGGTGACATCAGACATGTTCTCTGTCAAACCCCCCCAGTGCCCTCCCCATAAAGCTGCCGGTGCCTCCCGCCAAAGTACACAGTCTCCTGGAAATACCTGCAGTACAAATGTTATTGCTATTGGGTATAGTGTATTCACTAAGTGGAATGTACAAGAGAGTGCACCCCCGTGGGCCCTTCCTGGGTGGCACGGGAGCGCCGAATCTGAACGAGACAGACACCCCCCCGAGATCCTTCCAAGATCGGTGGCAGCAAGTGAGTCTCAGGGGTCCATGCTTCGGCGCGCGACCCGGGGCGCGCCGGGGTTAAGGCGGATTCAACACTGCATGTTGCGGCCGCGGGTACCTTAGCAAAACACTCCACACAAAACGTTTCTCCTGTCCTTGCCCACAGGGCATCGTCACCCGGGTGCCACTGGTCAGCCCCAGCCCGTAGGGTAGTTCGATGGCCGTTCGATTCCCGTTCGATATGATCAAGGGCTCAATCATAGCCTAAACCGCCTTACATTTACAGTTGGATACAACCATTCGCGCAAGAAGAGTGAGAGAAGGGAAGAAAAAGGAAAAAAAAAAAAAGGGAGAGAAAAGTTTCCGTCTCAAATCCTTTGAGCCGACACCACCAACCAGATTAAGGGGCTTTATCAGTTCAAACATGTGGCATGTTGTTGAAACGAAATCCAGGCCATATAGTTAATGCTCGGAATGTTTGTTAGCGCGGTTCTTGTGGCAGGGGTCTGCAAAACTTCCAGATGCGGTTTCGAGACGTTGTACTCTTTGTCCAATTCTCCGTGTTGAAATCTGCTTGTCCCGTTGGTTTTTCTGTAAAGTCCCGCGCCAACGGTCTCTCCAGGGGTGAACTGTAGTGTACTCAAACAAGAAGAGAGTCATTCCCACCGCCAAACGCATGATCTTGTCTTGGCAATCCCATGGCCATCTGGGCACCTCTCATCTAGATGAGCGTCCAAAAGTTGAGAAATGATGGCATATCCGCCAAAGGACAAAATACCAGACAAATGACATTGTGTTCGGAGTCAGCGTGATTGGTAAAACTTGAAGTATATGATTTTCCTTTGGGCTACTGTAGATGGCCAGGAAAATGGCAAGGTCCTCGGTTTGGCCGAAAAAAATGTGGGTTTACCTTTTTGATTTTAATAAGTAGGGTACCTACTGTAGGCCTCGCTAGGTAGAGGCATCTTTTCCGAAGCACGATGGGGAAAAAAGACTACAACTCAAAGTAATACCTGCGTATACCCCGCTCGCCCTTTCAAGTTTGATTTATCCTATGGCGGCAAGAAAAGTATGTATTATCATAAATGATCTTGTCGATTTCATACGTATCGATTTCGCAATGTTCGGTTGTCAAAAACGTCAAAAGTTCACTGCCTTGGACGAACGCGTGTGGACGCCCATCTTGGATAGATGTATGCCTAGGCGGAATACACAATAGGCGTTTGGCAGCCAAAAAAAGGACCGCTTTTGGCGGTGAAATATGTTAGCAAGGTCAGGTAGGAGTCGCGAATTCAATCGCATCTAGTGGTTAGTGTGGTTCGCAGCAATGTGATCAGAAACCTTTTTCATGGAAAACAATTGGTACGACAACTGGTGAGCTAGCTTTGTTGTTCAATAACACACCAGATGACGCCTTGACCAATGGTTTATATGCTCTGTGGCAGTTGTGCACGTACAAGCTATGCACAAACGGTATTCATATATGTGAGAAGGAACGGTATAGTAATTCAAAATATGACTGCATTTTTATGATACAGATTAACCTATGCTTGGGAGATTCAGGAGGGGAGAAAGCACCGTTTGCGCCGTGATACCATAACCGTAGACCCCTAAAAAAAATAAAAGCAAGGCACACAAGCCGAATAGGTTCATTCTCCCGCGAGGGCGTACACCCACATGTGTCCTATCCTTTTTTTCTCCTAATGCCCGGACCAAATCCAAAGACATCCCAAGTTCTTCAGTTTCCACACCCTGGAAAAAGACCCTCATACTCTGGTATTGGGGCAAGACAAAGTTGTAAAATAAACCCAAAACGCCCGCTTATCCCGTATGCTTATGATGCTGAATACAACCAAGGAAATTGTTGCGAGGGATGGTTGCCCGCACGATGTCGTTGAACTAATCGCCGAATTGACCTCTAGGTCACGATTTCATAGTCGAAGGTTTGGAATCATTTGCTGGTGTACCAAAATTCAGGACCATGTTATCATCGTCATCGTCATCATCGAATCCAGTACTGTTGCGGAGACTGGTTGGTGACCACAGGCCTATAGATGTCTTACGTCCACGACCTATTGACAGACTCGAAGGCTTACTCAAGCCGAATGATGAGACACCACTTCCAACCGTAATACCACCTCCACTTCCGTTGGTGGCACAGGAAGTACCAAATACAAACCTAGGAGTGGTGGAGGAGCCACTAGAGCCTCTGCGACTGGCGCTCAGGGAATTGCTAGGCACATCCCCTCCCCCTCTCACTGTTTCTTGGTAGGAGAAATTCGACGTGGAAATAGAGTGAGAGTGAGTGTAACGGTTCCGGGCAGTGGCGATACTAGCAACGGAGATGGATGTAGACCGCGACAGATTCGGTGCTTGGCCAGGGATACGCAGATGGTCCGTGTTGGCAAACAACTTGAGATCATAGTAGTGATGGATGGGTATCATTCCCTTCTGGCCCGTGTTCGTTCGCTGGATGTTCTCATGTATTTCCTGATCAGGCTTCCGAACCGCCATTGTAAGTGACGCCATGGCAACGTCTGCGAGGACTGGTTGATGGGTAATGGCGCCAATCAGTGCATTGCATCCCGCACCATGCGATACCAAGATAACGATAGATTCGATCTCCACGTCGTCGCTATCTTCGGATTCCTGGGCCTGGGTTGACTCTCTCCGGCCGAACCGAGAGACCGTCTTGGTGACCATCTTGGTAGGGTGCTCGGCCTTGGAGTACCAGTCAACTAGCATCTGAATACCTGCACGAAACCTTGAATGCATCGAGGTCCATTCTTCGGGGAAGGAGCCACCATCGCCCCATTCAAGAGGAGCCCGCATCGAATCCCATTGGTAGTCAATATCACAGCACGCATCCCGAGCATGTGCGACATAACCCGGAGGAATAGTGCTATTGTTGTTGATTGCATAATGGGGAACTGGGGGGACGTAGCCCATGGCTGGGAAAGGATGACTGGCCGATTGCAGGGCAGAATCGGGTTGGGACTGGCAGGTACTTTGGCTACTGGCGCTCTCGCTCCTAGGCACAGAACTGGCCACACCGGGCAGGTCATCCTTTTCCAGAAGGTCAATGGAGCTGTGCGTGCGCTGCGGGGTCGGGCTCCAAAGCTGCCCTTGGAGATTTGAGTGATTGTAAGCGTTGAAATGAGGGTAGCTGCTGTAATCTTCGCGTCTGAGGAGATCTGCCTTGGCGCTTGCAAGCATCATGACAGACTCGGGTGGCGGGCTGATGAGCTCATAGTAGCTAGGTGACAGCCACTCACCCAGAAAAGCGTCCAGCCGGAGAACAGATTTACGGATGGCCGTCCCTTGAACTACTTCTATCTTTAAGGGTGCTGGGCCAGAAGCGGAATTGGACGCGGTTGACGGCCTGGCTCGGTGTCCGTGGGCAAAGTTCCCTGAAAGCTCTTTGTCATCGCCACCCGTAGAGGGTCCGAATGGGGTCGAGTCTTGTGCTAAGCCGGCACTGATGGCAACGGAGGTCTGGATGCATCGCAGAAACGGGGAGCTGTGGATGACGACCTCGTAACGTTTGCGTGTCGGTTTCGCCGTGGGATCGGTTTGCGCTGCAGCCTTGGCAGCTGTCTCATCCTCCTCGACTCTCTCTCGGATAATGTTGGCTATCCGAGCTCCAAGGTTTTTGGCTTGGTTCCAGCCACCATACGTGAGGGGGGGATCGTAGGGGGTCGGCGACGTGAGGTGCCAGTCTTTGTCGGCTACATCGAGGCGCAATCCGTGCCTGTTTAATAGCATGGTCAGTTACGTCCGGACAAAGTTGGGGACACAAAGGCCACAAGATGCCATGCAGGAAGCAACGCCGTGGCCATCAAGGTACACAAAAATCCAGCTTACCTCACAACGAAAAGGTATGCTGGGGGCTTGCCCATATTGGTATCTTGTAGACCTTGGGTATGTTGATGGCTAAGACAGAAAGCGAGGTATCGAGGACGTCGAAACAGCAGCTGGTGCTTTATATGGGCCTACGGACTCTTGTTCCGGACGGACAAAGGAATGATGTATGTCTGAAGATTTCAAGACTCGAAACTCAGGGTCCGATCTCGCGCGGTGGTTTGTGTGTAATGGGTGGAACCCGGAGGATGGAGCAATGGAAGCTGGGATCCAGGCTCTTTCAGAGTACCTAGGCAAGGCGTCCCGTCCCTTTGACGTGAGGAGGGCAGGCCCACGATGACGATGGGTTGCGGAGAAGTCTGTCAGGGCTGAACCGAGGCCTCTCGAACTAACAAGAGGATGGGCCCGTCACGATCGATGTCTGTGCAGTTTTGAAATCGAGGCTGGGGCTGAGTACTGTGACGGGCGAAGAATCTGGATCGACCGGTGGAAGACGGCTAGGGAGGACTGAGAGCAGGCGGAAAGTTGGAAGACTGGAGCGGACGGAGATAGACGGTACCGGTAGTTGGCCGAAGGTTTATAGCTGAGCCAACGTTGGAGACGGGAGGGGAACTGGAAGGGAAGGAAAGGCTACAGACGCAAAGCAGTCGTAGAATTAGTCACCTGGGGTCTTGGGTTGTGATGCGAGAACGGGCGTCCGATTTGGGATGTCTGGCTGCGAGGTAAACAACAAGCCTCGTAAGTAATCAATGTAATGATGGCCGGGCCACTTGCAGTGTTTTCTGCAGGCGTGTTGCAAGGTTCCCGTCCCTCTCGGTCGGGCTCTAATATTTCTTAGTGTAATGTTAATAGAGTTGACGCACACACAAGCGGGGCTGCAGCCAGTTTAAAGTAGCAAGCCGGCAGGGTACCTAGGTAGTGTAGCGGCTGCTGGGGTGTGAATTAGCGCGCAATGGTGGAGGAAACATGCAGCGTCAAAGAATCGATGGAAGCTGCCGGACGGGAGTTCCACTGCGAGTCAGACTTGAACAAAGGCGTGCTGGGAGAAGGAACCATGGAGGTGACAAATGCAACTGAAGTCTACCTAGCTAGCTGGCGACTGACCTTCTATGAGCCAGGTGATTGCTCGTTTAACTCCAGGACGTGCCACGCTTGCGAGAGAGGGAAAGCTCTGGTCTGATTCTCGTCTATGGATGTCGTCGACTAACTGACTGACTAGGCGCTGTGACGCAGGTGTATGGAATACGGACGAAACTGAGAATGAGTGGCTGTTTTCGAGCGAGTATTTGAGGTGAAGAGATTGTAACTCATGTGAACGGGGAGAAAGACCCACGAAATATACAGCATAGGGGACGGTTAGTAATACGTAGAGATGGAACTTTTCACCGGCTGGACCCATGGTACTTCCCCCTCTTTGTCATCCAACTAAACGTAAATCTCGGATGCCGTGGGGTTATTACCAGATGCACCTTGTCGTCACTTTATATCACATGCCGTTGTTCCAAGTCGTATTGATTGGACGTGTGACTTTTGTGGTAGGAGGATCATGATACCTCCAAGTGACAGATTGTGATAAAACTGCCTCTGCGGTAAAGAGACAACAACAACTGCAGTGACGGGCTTGAAAATACCTGTATTCACCACTCCGACGGGAGATGAGCACCGCGCGCTTGAAGGACGTCCGTACGAGAATCAATGTCCGTACAGGTCGATGCCGATAGAGGCAGTGACATGGCTTCTGCCATACAATTGAACTGAGAACGTGAGCTTTGAGCCTTTGAAATATTGGCTTTCTTGCTGATGACAACATAACACAAAAAAAAAAAAAAACTTGCAGAGATGTGATCCTACATACACTTTGGATGTGCTTGTGTCAGATGATCGTTTGAAGTTTTCGGGCAGGGAAGCCTTTTTTTTTCAGCCAAGCCTGGCTACCTAGCTTGCCGTCCAGGGGGCAGCGGCACCCCTCCATTGCTGGCGGGTCGCCGGGGGGGCAAGAGTTGTCAGGATATCCCTGGAAACGGTTCATTACACCAAGGATTATGTAAAGCCGCCAACTGCATACCTAAACGAACGCGCCCATGACGGTTTGCAGGCACCGCAACGCAGTTGGGATTGGCCCGGTTTCTGCGCTCTCAGGCTGTGTTGCACAACCTCGACACGCACGCTTCAACCAACACCGTCTCTTTCACACAACCGAAACCAACGACACAAGAACCGAGCGGCCGACTGCCTTGATCATGGGTCGCAAAGGGACGACGGACACGTAAACACTGAAAAATCAGAATACCATCCAAACCGCCCCATCCACACGATACTTTTCGACACTCGGCGACACTCGACCGAGGTACCGTCACCGATCCCGATATTTCGGATCCGGACCAAACAAAAGATGAAGCTTGGCAATATTCTCCGGCTGCCGGCCCTCTTGGGCGCGATGCTGCTCGGCACCGCCGCCGTTGTTGAAGCCGAACACACAAGTAACTGGGCCGTCCTCGTCTGCACGTCACGGTTCTGGTTCAACTACCGCCATCTTGCCAATGTGCTGTCCATCTACCGCACCGTGAAGCGCCTCGGGATCCCCGACTCGCAAATCATCCTCATGCTTCCGGATGACATGGCATGCAATCCCCGCAACGCCTTCCCGGGAACTGTGTACTCCAACGCCGACCGTGCTGTCGATCTCTATGGCGACAACATCGAAGTGGATTATAGGGGATACGAAGTCACGGTGGAGAACTTTATCCGTCTCTTGACGGATCGCGTGGGCGATGAGATGCCCCGGAGCAAGAGGTTGTTGACAGACGATCGGAGCAATATTTTGGTGTACATGACGGGACACGGAGGCAACGAGTTTCTCAAGTTCCAGGATGCTGAGGAGATCGGCGCATTTGATTTGGCGGATGCTTTCGAACAAATGTGGGAGAAGAAGAGGTGTGATCTCCTACGCGTCCGCTTTGCGCAAGTGCTTCGACGATGCTAACTCCGTTCACGCCTAGATACCACGAGATCCTCTTCATGATCGACACCTGCCAAGCAAACACCATGTACAGCAAGCTATACTCCCCAAACATTATCGCGACCGGATCGTCCGAACTCGACCAGTCGTCCTATTCTCACCACGCCGATAACGATATTGGAGTCGCGGTCATTGATCGATACACTTACTATAACCTCGAGTTTCTCGAAAACGAAGTCAAAGACACTAGTAGCAAGAAGACAGTCGGTGACCTCTTTGACAGCTACACATATGAAAAGATTCACTCGAACGCGGGAGTGCGCTATGATTTGTTTCCCGGAGGGGCGGAGGCAGCACGCAGCCGCCTTGTAACAGACTTCTTCGGTAACGTACAAAACGTGGAGGTTGATGGGTCTAAAAACACAACTCTAGAAGAGGACTTGCTTGCGCTGAGCAAGACCATTGCGGCACTGAGGGAAAAGGCAGGCGAAGAAGAAGCCATCTCGGTTGGGAAGGGAAACGCGGCCAGAAATGAGACCAGGAAAGAGACCAAGAACGAGACCCTATTGACGCACAAGAGCCAGTTCGCCAAACCTCTTACAGATGATGACTGGTTGATGAAGAAGCTCTCTGCGCTGGGAGCTGTTGTCGGATGCGCAGTGTTATGGCAGATGGGGTCGTGGCTCGAATCTGCACAGAAATAAGGCAGTAGGGGAGGTGGACTCTAAGACTTACAAATAATGTTATGCTTTGTTTACTTTTCGGCGATCGCACTACGGTACAAGCGTGTCCTTGAATTCCCTCGGCCACGCTGAACACAGGTCGAGATATCTGAGCTCAACCCCGAGCCCCTGACTTTCTTTCAGCATCTATCTATGGAAGGGTTAGGGTTGGCACCGGAACATGGTGGGGCAGGCAAAGTTCGTGCTTTGGTTGTCCTCCCGTCGTCCAAAATGGAAAGTTCAGTTTCAACCATCCACTCACTTACATCGATCCTGCAAAAACACCACTAGGCCTTCTGAACCCATCCCGGCGACTAACTTTCACCTTCGGGAAGAATCGCCATGGTTTCGCTCACAACTAAACAACCTTGACTAGTTATTCTGTGATCACATAAAATAATAAAGTAGTCGCGGCGAAAAAGATACCACCACCATGAGCGACGAGCCCAAGCCCCAACAAAAGGTACGCTGCCAAGACGGTCCTTGACATGTTGCTTCTGGATCTTCGTACTTATTGAATGCAATCTACATATGACTCAAAAAACAAATTTACGTGGCGTTCTTGCACAATGGTGAATGGTCTGCGGCCAGTGTAGACTGTCAGTAACTTCACTACCGCAGCTACTACCATAGCCAATTGCCAACCAATCAGACAACATTCACCATGTCCTATCTTGTGACCTGTTGCTAACATCTCATTGCAGTTTCTCCCTCTGAGGGAGCTCAGTCTAAACTCAAGGCCTTTCGTGAAGCGTGCCATTGCCTTTTCATGTGACGGCGAGCTGGCCGTAGCCGCCGACGATTCCGTCCATGTCTACGTCCCAGAGTTTCCAGACCTCACTAAACGACGACAGGAGAAGGAGAAGCTGGCTCAAGCACAGGTTCAGCACCATCAAATCTTGGTACCTGGCTCGCACACCCCGTCAACGTCCTGGTCTGATGATGAGGAAGGCCAGAGCAAAAGCCGGCGCAACAACCCGAGAGCCCAATTCTCCGAAGGCAGCAAACACATGCCTGTCTCCTACCCGCCACTAGATCCACGAATCAACAGGGAGCTTTTCCAGACGCAGAATCTTCCGTTTCCTTACGACAATCAAGCAGCTGCTGGCGGTAACGACGATGACGACTCTGATAGTGAGGACAACGTCTCAGATGCGCTGAGCTCTGCTGCTGACTCTGATGATGATGACGGTGTCGGCGCCCATCAGCGCGCAAATCAACCCTTTGGCGCTGGCTTCGGGCCCATTACTGGCGTGGGCAGTAGCATGAATCATGTTGTGCGGATAGCCTGGTCGCCCTCCGGGTTGGGACTCAACCGGCGACCCATACTCGCCATATTGACGGGCTCTGGCACATTGGCCATGTACGGAGACGACAGCGCTGTGGCCAATATTCTACCGAGGGCAAACGAGGGAATGCTGCAGCGTAGAGAGCTGATTTCGTGGAGTGTGCTTTGGGGCGTCGGCGAAAGGCTGATGGTGCCTGGTCAACAACTTGTCTTGACAGAGAACATCCATGGGTTTGCGTGGGCAAAAGAGATTGCACCGGGACAGGCACTTCTCGCTACGATTAATGATCAGAGAGAGGTAGCACTTATTAGTGTGCAAAGTATGCTGAAAGTCGACGAAACCAGGAGTAAAAGCAGCATTTCCTTGCTGGTCGAATCCAAGGAAAGCTTGGTGTGGTATGTGAATGAGGTGGCGAAATTCCAGTGTTCAGGGCCTCATCCAAAGGGGAATGTGAGTATCTTTCCAGTCAGAACTCTGCATGGGAACTCGAAGCTGACGCGGTATGGCAGGTTATGGATCCAGACTGGGTCCCTTTTGGTACATCATTCGGCATTAACTTTAGCCCGTGGGTAGAAGAAGGTGATGGATGCAGTTGCCTTCTTTCCTACGTTGATAGGAACTATGTCGGCTTCCGTAAAGTTACGCTTGCCTCTAACTGGAAGCGAGGAGAGCTGCCGGAACTCAAGTCTGAGGAGACGGACACTTACGGCAGATGCCTACACCTTTCAACAGACTCGTTTGTGGAGTTTGAAGACGCTGTAAGCCACACCGCCACTGATTATCTAGGCAGTGTTTTGTTTGAGGCTAACGGTTATGGACAGGTTTGGAATGCAGGCAGGGTCAAATACTGTCGTGGCTTCATCGTCACGGGCTTTGACTACAAGCCATTTGAGGTAGCTGTCGTTGGCGGTGAGGAATACAGCTGTGAGTCTCATGATTCTAGTGATTGTGGAACGACATATATGGATGAAGCTGTTGACCAGCAATCAACGAATCCTATCATCGGTGAGTACCCTTCCATTGTCAGGCCTTGAATTTTTGCGTCCTTGCTGATATCCAACATAGACCTCGTCATCCACCGTCCAGACCTTAAGAAGCAGACACCCGTTCCGCTGTTTACTCTTATTCGCATGTCGGCAACCTCTACCAATCTCGACTGGTATGAGACGAACGTACCTGCTCTTCCTGGTGAAGTTGCTACGTCGATCAACGAGGATAGTGACCTTGTTAATTCGCCGAGCGAGACTCACGAGCCGCAATGGGTGACTCAGGTTTTGCAAAAGTTGGCTGTCAGTGTTCCCGCAGACATGCATTTTAAGCGGGGTTACGGAGATGATGATGATGTATCAGTGGCGTCTGACGAGTCCGATGAGGACGAAGATCTGGACGACGATGACTTTTATGGCAACGACGATGATAACACCATCGACATGACCAACAATGGGAAAGATGCAATGGCGGTGGCGCCAGAAGTTCCGGAAATCCACCCACATCGGTTTAGACTACACGGTCTCACGGTATCATCCGGTGGGAACGTCACGGCCATGATTGCCAGTTTACATAGCACGCAGCACCCGGAGCGCGGCGGTTGGCACACGGTCCGATCAACTGTGTTTTTCGGAACCAAGCCGCGGAAAAGAGGGGCTACATTGCCTTACGATCAGGCCGATCAAGTGCAAGAGGCGACAGAGAAGGAGAAGGAGAGAGGCGCCGAAGAAGCCATTGATCCTGCCCTCCGTGGGCCTGAAAGGCCCTTGACTCCATCACCGGTGCCGACACGGAACTCTGTCACCAAATCAGCAGAACCTCAACAATCCCAGTCTAGGCTGACGACCGAAGCCCGTCTTTTCGAATGGCTATACGGCGGCGGCGATGAAGTTCCCGGCGTAACCATCAACCATCCCTCTAACCTCGTTAACCTCAACGCTCCTGAACACCAGTTTCCGCAGAAGCTCAATACCCTTTTTGCGTACGCCATAGCCCGCCAGAAATGTGACCTCTGCGGCGCCAGAATTTTGCCACCTGTCACCAAAAAGCAGCAACACTCACAGCAACAACAACAAAAAGACAAACGCAGCGGCCTAAGCGGCTGTGAGAACGGCCACTTCTTCAGCGTGTGCACGACAAGTGGACTGGCGATCCAAATGCCCGGAATCACGAGGAACTGCGGCGCTTGTGGATCGAGGACGATGCGGGCAGAGATCTTGGCTCGCAAATGTATACCTCCTAATCCCAAGTTTAGTGATGAAGATAAGCAGCCCGAGCAGCAGGTTAAGGACAAAGATGGCGACGTAGAGATGCAGGAAGGGGAAGGTGATGCGGATGCCCGTCCTCTGACCGAAGAGGAACAGCTGGATATTAAGAGGAAGAATGCTGAGAAGAGGATCAGGGGAGAGATCATCGCCATGTTGGGTGATGGGATCTGTGGTGGGTGTGGTGGCAAGTTCTTGAATTAGTATACTGTAACTCGTACGACACTCTTACCGTCGAGACGGCTGTAAGTGGAGACATTGCTCTGAGAGGAATGGGTGTTAAAGGAATTGTATAGTGTGAGGTCGAGGTAGTAGCCTGGTTATTCACGAAATAGGCAAAATTATCCCATCATCTGCCAGGGACCAAACTGTGCGATCCCCATTGAAGCGTCAGACATGTAGCTCTCTTGGCAGCATTAAGGAATCAGTGTCATAAGAAATGAAATGAAAATATCAGGATTTTCAAGACATATATACCTACAAACAATACCAACTACAGGTTGCTCTAGGGCGACGTCGACATCAACATAAAGGATCACGCCGCAAATCCCATGATTTTCGCAACCTTCGCGTCCCACTCCTCATCCCACCTCCTTGCCCCCTCCTTCACAGCCCCTTTCCTTAACACCTCCAACTCTCCGCTCCCTTCCGGGCTCAACAGGGTCCTCAATATGATGGACAACTCTCCATAAGTCTCGAACCCCCTCCCATTCACTCCCTCCTTCACCAACTCCCCAAAGCTCTCATACCCACAAAACGCCGCCACCGGCAGTCCCGCCCCAAACATATCCACTACCTTCATCGGCAGATCCACGCCCGAGCTGCTCATATGCAAACACACGCCCAAATCCGCGCAAGCCAAGAGCTTCGCGTAGTCCTCAAACGGCAAGAACGCCGTGACAATGCTCACATTCGGCAGCTGACCACTCCTCGTAAGCTCAGCAATCTGTGCCAAGTACATTTCCTTCTGCGGACCTTTGCCCGTAATAACTGCCAACACGGGCGTGGTCTCCGACACGGGATCAGCCGCGTACGCAACCAGCGCATCAAGCAAGATGCCGAAGTCCTCGTCGCGCGTCCAGGATGTGCTGCTGACAATCAGCTTCGTGTTGCCCTCCATGATGCTGGGTACCAGATCCCTCTGCTCAACGGGGAGCACCCGCTCCAGCACGTCCTGCCGCGCCTTCCCCCACCACATCGGCTTGAAGATCTCCGCGGGCCGGTCATGCACGGCCGTTATGGGCCCCTGGATCTTATACGGCGGCAGCCGCAGCTGGCGCGCCATGGCGTGCGTGACGGTTAGGTTGTGGTCGCCCAGTCGGCCGAAGAGGCACTCGTACAGCTTGGCGATGTAGACCAAAGGGTGTCGGGGGCCGCGGGTGGAAGATAAAATGGTCCAGCCGTAGTTGTGCCAGTCGATGAGGAGCTTGGTGGAGTGGAGACGGCAGACGAGGCTGGCGATGAAGAGGGTGGGGATCGAGGGCGGGTTCTGGACGAGCAGCCATTGGGAAGAGGGAAGGGTGTAGGAGAGGAGGGCAAAGAGACAAAAGAATTGGTGGAGGACTTTGAAGGGGGCGAAGAGGAGGAAAGGGATGCGGGCGGGACGAACGGGGGGAGGGGGCAGGGCGTGGATGGTTATGGAGGGAGAGGAGAGGAGGGAGGGGTGAGGGGGGGTTTCTGGTGAGGATGTTAGTAAATTGAAGAAGGCTGCAGCGGTGCTGCTAGACCCGGAAATCTTACCTAGATAACCAATGAGGTTGACCTTGCCGCCGTGTTTGGCTATGCTCAAGGCGTGGTACGTCATGCGTGGGCTTCGGCCAATATCACCGAGAACGAGGACGTGGACAACCACTCCTTTGCCTGAAGAGGGGCCGTCATATTTTGAGGGGCCTAGGACTAGGTATGTGACCAGTAGCGCCAGTCCTGTAAGGACCAAAGGTATTACGAGGGCAACCGGAATTGAAGCCATCACGAGTGGTGTGTTTGTGTGCAGGTACCTCTGCACATGGTGGTGTGTGTAGGTTGGATGCGGGAAGATCAGGGGCGAGGTTGGGTGCTGGGGTTACAGTACACTACACAGTAGACAGCGGCAGGCACGGGCGGACAGTATGGGACAGCTGTTCCAATCACCTCACTGCACCGTCTCATGCGCAGGAGATCGGTGGGTTTCCAGGTTTGGGCGGCAGGGATGTAAACTTGATGTCGGGCTGTGTGATAGAGATTGTGACGCCGCAGAACAACAGGAGAACTAAATGATAGGTATTTGTGCGAATGAATCAGCTCGGTCGAGTGTCTGCTGTGGTCTTTTGAATTTTCTTCTCATAGGACATAACGAATCGATACAGTATGGTAATGTGCTATTGCAAGTGGCAAAAGGTCAAGAAGAGGAAGCAATTGTTGAATTCACCATGGCCATGTCCTCCTGATGGAGCTTGTTAACATTTACACGTTGACTTTGCGCTGGTGGTTAGCACCGATTATCCCCCGTGGAGAAGCCCCCGGTTCATGCAATGCCACTGCCTGCAGGGGTCATTGTGTCGTTGAAACACAGCCAATGATTGTTCTTATCACGGTGGGTTCCGATTGTCTTCCCCCACACGGACATGGGAATGATGGGATGGGCTTCTTTCAAGGGGCACAGAAAAGGAAGGCGGCCGGCTTCCCCCCAAGAGACCAGACACCGGACGAGGAACCGCTTGCTGGACTTCGTTGACTGGCTATGAGCATTTAGACTAGACCACTGCACTGCACAACATCAACACCCACAGACTAATCATCTCCTTCGCTTGACATTTTTGTGTTGTCGACTGACTTGTCGCCATCATCGTCGCTACTGCTTTTCCTCGTACGCGTCCGATCCGCGGCCCCAAAGCAAACTACCTAAGTCAGCCCTTCTGTGACACCTTGGACCTACCGGAGCGGGGTGCACGGTACATATCGGCCGCGGTTGCTTGCGTTCCCCTGACCGGAATTCGTAACCGCATGTCTCACCAGTGAACGAGACCCGATCGTCGCGATTTTCGGAGCCATAAGGGTACACGCGAGGACGACCCCAGGGATAAAGAGTGGCGGTAGGCAATTTTCTGATCTAGTTTCGCTCAACACTGCCAGCAAGCCACTCAATTGGTTCTTTTTGTCGTTGAAAGGCCTTGTAGCTGATGCCGTTGTCTATCTAGCTCCATCCTTCGTTATCGCAACACAACCACCAGTGACAAACGCAAACTTGCGCCGGCCATCTCTCCCCGAAATTTCTACTCAATAACCACATGCCGAGCGGTATAGATCAATAATAGGGGCATCGAAGCTCTCCTTGACACCGCGCACGATAATATCCTAGCCAATTGTTGTCTCAGATATTGCTATAATATCATAATGGCTACCTCCTACGCCTTGCCGGCGTCCACATACCCGCAGCACCATCATCTGGCCTCGGACCACTTGCGCTCCCATGGCCATGGACACGACCATTGCGACCATTCGCATTCACACTCCCACGGACACTCCCACGACCACTCACACGGGCATGCGCATTCCCACACACCGCCATCCCTCCCTTCTCTGAGCTCTTTAGACTCTCCGCCCAGCCGTAGGGGCTCGTACGCAACCGGAGCACATTCGCATAAGAAGACGCAAAGCAACGATTACAACTACAGTTATACTCACAATCACAATCACAACCACGACCACGACCACGACCACAGCCATGACCACAGCCACGACCACAGCCATGACCACAGCCATGACCACAGCCATGATCACGATCATGCCCACAATCACTCCCCCGGCGCTGGCGGAACAGGGCATACAAAGACACGCCCCAACATTCCGCCTCTAGGGGCCATCAAGCACTTTCGGACGGGCTCAACCGCTGGCGGAAGACCCATCATCACGCCCACAACCGCTGGCTTTGAGAAGGGGCATGGCTTTGAGCCGCCAGCTACGGCCACCTCGCATGGGCATCACCACCATTCTGCTGAGTGGTCCAAGTTCACTGCGTTTCTGCTCCCATATACCTCCAAGTACCCCATAATTCACGCTGTGATGACGGAGAAGGACTCTCGGCGCATCTTCTACTTCATGTCGTGAGTTCACCAGTCTGTTTCGCGGTCAGCACTATTTTTTGCCTCTGCTAACCAACCCCCGTTTCACAGAATAAACCTTTCCTTCATGGCTGTACAAGCGTTCTACGGTTATGTAACAGATTCCCTCGGTCTCCTGAGTGACAGTATACACATGTTCTTTGATTGTGTTGCTTTGGCAGTTGGCTTGGTTGCAGCCGTTGCTAGCAAATGGCCTCCCAGTGAGCGGTTCCCCTACGGCTTCGGCAAGATCGAGACACTGAGTGGTTTCGCCAACGGTGTGTTTCTGGTTTTGATCAGCGTGGAGATTATGTTCGAGGCGATCGAGAGAATGATGGAGGGCAGGGAAACCAAGAGGTTGGGAGAGTTGTTTGTGGTCAGTACCATGGGCTTGTTGGTGAACTTGGTTGGCATGGCTGCTTTTGGGCATCATCACCATGGCCACGATCACGGCCACGGACACTCCCATGGGTCATCATGCGGCGGCGGTGGACATTCGCACTCGCACTCGCAATCGCACTCGCACAGCGATTCAGATGCCCACGGTCACAGCCATAGCCACGGCCACAGCCATAGCCACAGCCACGACCACAAGCACGATCACGGCCACTCCCATGGCCATTCTCACGGAGGGCATTCGCACTCACACGACAACGAAAACATGCACGGCATCTACTTGCACGTTCTTGCGGATACCCTCGGCAGTGCTGCTGTCATTGTCTCGACCATTTTGACACACTTTGTCCCGTGGTCTGGGTGGGATCCGCTTGCCAGCTTCCTCATCGCCGTTTTGATTCTTCTTTCATCATTACCGCTGGTGATATCCTCTGCTCGGAGACTGCTGCTTACGATCCCTCCGGAGACCGAGTACAACCTCCGGGAAACGCTGTCGGGTATTTCAGGTCTTCGAGGCGTCGCGGGCTACTCGGTGCCCAAGTTCTGGATCGATGATCGCAATTCGGGCGAGGAGAGCTCTGGGAACATGCTGCTGGGGGTGATGCACGTCCAAGCGGTTCGGGGTGCGGATATGGAGGACGTTCGTGATCGTGTGCGCAACTACCTGTTGGGACACCACATTGACATCACGCTACAGGTTGAGCGTGAGGGAGAGTCGAGCTGTTGGTGCGGAGCGGGTCGGAGTCCTCTCTCGCAATCGCAGAGCACAAATCAGTTCTAGAAGAGCAAGGCTGATGAACACCTTGGGGGCTTGTCTAATAACGCGGGATGATTGGAGCTGTTGGTTGATGATTTTGCCATGAGGACCGGATGGGGGTAAAGAAGCCGGCTTGTAATGAGGTATGGCGGCGTGCATATCATAATGGGTGTACTGCTGAGCTTGGGGCCGGGCCTCTTGCGCGTTTGGAAAACGTTATTGTACATAACGAAGCTTTTGAGGTTATCTCTGTACTTTGTGTTGACAGCGCATCTGCTTCATGAAAAGCAGGCGCGCGATCTTAATTGAATATGTAACCCCTAATTGGTGATTGACCTGCGACCAAGAGACGATTCTTTTTAATTCCATGCTTCCAGCAGTCAGTGACGATGCGGAGATGAGGTCTTATCCGCTGACGCATTGCAGTGCCGTACCCGTGGACGCAGGCAAACCTGATGCGGCCGTGCGGATGTACATTTGAAGACCGACTTTCACATGTCCGAATGTTGGCTGACCAAAACTTCCCTTTTTGGCGCCGTACAACGTCTTGGCATCGAAATTCCGCAGAATGGCTTCCTCCCACCAGTTGGCCATGACACTCTGTGAAACGTTCACGGCGTGACCACTTGCCGTACGTCCGAAAGACGGCTCGAAAGATTTACCTCTGCGATTATAGGGCGCACTAGATCTCACCAAATCTTGGGGTTGATGATCACCTTGTTCCACGCTCGTGGAGATATTCCCGAGGTCCCAAAACTCCCCTTGCTCCAGGTTTTGCTTCAGCTTTTCCCCAGCAGGGTCCCCGCGCTATTCCAGGGATGATGCATGATCTCTCCCCTTTGCGCCGACCGCGGCCGCGAATTCATTTTCTCGAATATTCAGTTCAGTCACTGGAGCAAATTTGATCATGGAAACACATCATCTGCCTCCCGCTCCTGGTGATAGGAGGAACCCAGATGACCTGGAGAAGCGGAATCCTGGTGCCGAGGAATGTGACACTGACATGCCCACTCGCCCACTGACGGTGAAAGGGTAGTTAGTGTAGTACCTCTATAAATGGACACCGCCGTAAAGGTACCTTGAGCGGTGGGGTCCGCCGCCAATGCTATTCGTTCACATTCCTATGTATCACCGCGCCAGTAAGCTCGAATGCAGTGATGGGAGTGACAGCGAAGCCGCCAAAATGTTTACTGAGTGACCAATAAGTTGGAGAAATTGGAGACGCAATGTACATGATCCACGACCTCATTTCAACAGGGAGGCCAACATGTCAATGCCAGATACACCACATCCCGTTTCACGAAAAGAACTTATCATGATAACGGGACATTTGAGGCTCCTCCAAACTCGGCACTCCTCCGGACGAGAGGCGCTAACGAGCGCATCCGGTGGATACAAGTCCGGATTGCGGGATTGAACCCACCCAAAACTGGAGAGAAAGTGGGGAACATACCTTGTGCGCTTCCTTTTTGCCGAGGTTTGTGAGAGCGAAGGAGGACCAGTGACGTCTCATGGCCCATAGCCCATGGCCCGGTACATGCATGGACGGCCGTTCGGTGAGATGCGATTCAGGCCGTCGGGACTTAGGTAGGTCTGGCTCTGCTAGAACGGTCCGCCTGTTGCATTGGCGGTCTCTTTTTCTCAAAGACCCGGCGCGCGCCTTGATCATAAACTCCGAGCTCCTTTCTCACATCAGACGAACTGCTGCTTCTTATTCTTCTCTTCCATCCATAATAGTCTACCTTTAACCTCATCTCTCCCACCTATCTACCTGCCTGGCATCCCTTCACGCGGGTCAACTACGACTTTGAACAACTCCGAACGCCGAAACCCACCGAAAGACTCCAGTCAACCTTGTTTCCGGTTGCGCGTTCAAGAGACAGACGACAAAAGACTAGACGCGCATTTTGCAGAAAACTGTACAGGAACGACAGACAGTTGCTGCTCGATCGAACGACACCAGACCGCCGATACATATCACCAATACCAAGTTTTTGTGACAGCGCGCTTGACTGAAGATCCCAAGGATCTCTCTCTTGCGCCGGCCTTTCCTCGCCCCCTATTCACACCTTCATACACACACAAACACATCTACAGTCAAAATGTCGTCGACCACATCGTCACCAGGCGCCAAAATCCAGCAGGCCGTCACCGATAAGCTCCCTCACCTTCCCGAGACCAAGGAGGAGCTCAAGGCCGAGATCAAGGCTGAGGCCAAGGCCGCCGCCTCCGCGGGCGCCTCCCAGCTAAGGTCTTTTGTTGCTGGTGGTTTCGGTGGTGTCTGCGCCGTCGTCGTCGGCCACCCCTTCGATCTTGCCAAGGTCCGCCTCCAAACAGCCGAGAAGGGCGTCTACACCGGCGCCATCGATGTGGTCAAGAAGAGTATCGCCAAGGATGGTCTAAGGAGGGGTCTTTACGCTGGTGTCAGCGCGCCGCTTGTTGGTGTTACTCCCATGTGTATGTCCACCCACCACCTTTCTATCTTCACCCTTCCCCCCCTTTCTCTCTCCCCAACAACCCCCTGCTAACATTTCTCCCCCCAAACTCAAGTCGCTGTCTCCTTCTGGGGCTACGATCTCGGCAAGCAAATCGTCCGGGCCACCTCCACCGTCGCGCCCGACGGCAACCTCTCCATCGCCCAAATCTCCGCCGCCGGCTTCTTCTCCGCCATTCCCATGACCGCCATCACCGCCCCCTTTGAGCGCGTCAAGGTGATCCTGCAAGTCCAAGGCCAGCAGAAGCTCGCACCCGGCGAGAAGCCCAAGTACTCTGGTGGCATGGACGTGGTCCGCCAACTCTACAAGGAGGGCGGTGTGCGCTCCGTCTTCCGCGGCTCCGTCGCCACTTTGGCCCGCGACGGCCCCGGTTCCGCCGCTTACTTCGCCGCCTACGAGTACATCAAGAAGGCGCTGACGCCCAAGGACCCCGTCACGGGCGAAGCCAGCGGCAAGCTCAGTCTGGGTGCGATTACTGTTGCTGGCGCGGGCGCCGGTGTTGCCATGTGGATCCCTGTCTTCCCGATCGATACCGTCAAGAGCAGGCTGCAGACCGCCGAGGGCAACGTGACGATTGGCGGTGTCGTTAAGCAGCTGTACAGGGCGGGTGGTTACAAGGCTTTCTTCCCTGGCTTTGCGCCGGCGCTGGCTAGGGCGGTGCCTGCTAATGCTGCTACCTTTTTGGGCGTCGAGTTGGCTCATCAGGCTATGAACAAGGCTTTTAACTAAGCTGAAGAAGGGGATGAGATGAGGAAGGGTGTTTCAGAAGCATCGGGGTGTGCTGTGTTGTAAGACATTTGAGGCCTGCTCTGGTCTGGTCTATATATACTTCTTGGTTGAGCCACGTCTGAGCGTTTCTAGGTCAAGGACAGAAAGATATCATGTGATGTTATACAGTATGGGCGGCAGCGGTGCCTGGGAGTTTGGTTTGTATTTTGTTTACATATACTTTGGTTAGATACGGTATACACGGGGCTTGTGTTATGTCACCAAAAGTATCGGGTTTCATGATCTATTAAGCTTTTCCCAGCAGTGATGTGCTATCTATGCAGAGCAATCTCTCTCCTGACCAGCGCGTTGCTGGCTACAACAGCCCTCGGCCTAGGCCAACCACAAGACAAAGCAGTTCCCTCAACCCAGTCTTCACGGCAGAGCACAACTCTGCAAGGTATGTAGTATCATTTCGCTAAGGATATCCGTAAAAAAACCGTTTAACAAACTCGCTTCACGCCCCTCCTCCTCCCACTTCCCCATCTTAACAATCTCTCCAGCCAGCCAGCTCACACATACCCACCGACAGGCTATGCATACCCCAATCACTCCTCTCCCAAACTCTCCCTCACGCAAGCCCTGCACCTCTTCCTAAACTCCTTGTGTTTCCCCTCCTTCTCCTCCCGCAGCAAGCGCGCGGCCTCGACATTAGCGGGGCTATCCGGGTTCGGATCGCTGAACAAGCTAATGATGCTCAAAAGAACCTTCTCGGGCGATCGTGCGGGGGACCACCGCTCCGACGCGTCCTCGTACCCGTACTTGTCCTCCTCGGGCGGGTGCAGGATGCTGATGCAGAGCTCGCCCGACGGGTAGATGTTGGGGTGGAACGGGATCGGGTTCTGGAACGTAAAAGTGGGTGGCATGAGCGGGTAGTTGGGTGGGAAGTGAAGGTGGGCGCGGAAGTTGCCTCCTGTTTTTCCAGAAAGGGTTGCTTCATGTCAGTGTACTTGTACTCAGTAGGTGAGGAGGAGGAGGAGGAGGAGGAAGAGAGAGAGAGAGAAAAAAAAAAAAAAAAAAAAAAAAAAGAAACGAACCGCCATAGTATTTGACCTCATCGGGAATCATCAACATCACCTCCCACTCGAAAATGTTGTTGTCGTTCACCAAGCCGCATGATATCCCGGGAATGTCCGTGTCCTTCTGCATCTGCTTCAGTTCCTTCCGCAACTGCGTCGCTGCTGCTGATGATTGGGCCATTGTAAATTGCGTTGTCTTGGTACCGTCGGTATCTAACTCGTTTCCTTTATTCTTGTTTTTGGGCGTTAGGGAAGGACGTGAAAAAAGACCGATGACAGTTGATGTGCTTTTCACGATGTTGCTGTCAGACGCAAAGCAAAGGTGACGTTACTGGCTGCACGGTAAGGTGGGTGGAAAGTAGAGGACCGGAACCGATGTTCGGTTTCGCGACACTGATTATGGAAAAAGCTAAGCAGTTGAAAAACGACAACCCTTATCGATGCTGTGAAAGATTTTTCATGAACTCAAGGGTGGCGTCAACATCCGGTGAGTGTGAATCTTAAGAAATCGATTAAGGTCGCGACATGCGGTCGACGTAGATCGGTTGGAGTGGCGGGCGGGGATCGCTCCTGCGGTCCGGCACCGTGCTTTCGGCCCCACCGGCACTCCAGCTCCTTCCGCAACGGATAGTGGGGCCGGATTCGTGATTGACTTGACAAGGCAAGCAAGGGCAGTGCCATCAGTCTGTGACATGTCAAATGGCAGAGCATCTACGGTACAGGTGTAACCTAGTATGTTGTTATTCTTCTTCTCAAGCCAGAAATACCATCTATACTACTAAGTAAATCATTAGACAAATAATGAAAAACACGCAAACCTTGAACGCCATCCCATGCTATGTTTGATATCTCTTGCGATCCCAAATATGCGTCTCGGAAAGAAATGGGACAAAAAAGTAAGACAAATAAAGTGTGGCCCGCACGGCACCGACACCGATATCTTCCACAAGGCCTTGGCGAAGAACGAGGTAGTATCATTCCATCTCAGGGGTTGTTTCCATTTACACCAGCGAACCACGGAAAGGCAGCCAGTGCAGGAGCCATATATACCTCCCAACTTGAAAGCAACTGGCAGACCTAACAATCCCGCAGCAGTACAACACAAGACATGTAGCCACGGTAGTCTGCCCACAGTAGGACCAGCCTACTTCTTCGGAACTCCGAATCCCGTGAACCCCATAGCAGCCATCATATCATCTTCATCGTGTTCTCCCTCAATCCTCACATCCTCTCCGTAGTTAGTCTTGGCCTTCAGTGCCTCCTCTTTCTCCAGCCTCTTCCGCTCCTCCACCTCTTTCCTCTTCCTCCTCTTCTCTTCCCTCTCTTTCTCATCTTCCACCTTCCTTACCTCCAGCCGCTCCTGGAGACTAACGACTTGCTCCCTCTTCCTTTCTTGCAATTTCTCCCACAGCTGCTCAATCCTCTGGTGCACCTCCTCCGCCGTCGCTTTTCGCACCTCGCCCGTATGACCCGTGTTTCGCTGATGCTGCATGCTATTTGTATGCTCGATCCACTGCAGGTTATCCTTAAAGGTCAGGTCACAAGCCTCGCAGTAGATGCCCGCACCCCTACCGCGCTTGCCCACGCCCGCTCCCGCGGGCACCAGCATCGTTGTGCCGACCAGCTTGCTGAAGTCTTGGTGACCCGAGCGGGCGGTGGTCAAGGTTTCGTGCCCCTCGAGAGGCTTGTGGTATTTCTTGCCGGCCATCTTGGCCTCCCATCGCGCCTTGCGCTCCTCCTTCTCGGCCTCCTCGCGGTCTCGGGCTTTGGCGGCATATTCGTCGAGATCGTACTTCTTGCGGAAGTCAGTGTCGCCGGCGGCTTGGCCGTATGCGGAGGAGTTTTTGGACATGATGGGCGGATTACGAATTGGATTTGGCTTTCGGTATGATTGTTTGTGACGCTATCGAGTAATTGGCAGTAATTTGTTCGACGATAAATAAGTGTGGCTTTGTGAATCGACTTCGGTCGGCGACTTAACCTCGACCACTGAGAAGTGAGAACCGTGATGGATGATGGAATAAGTTGGCCAATGCTTCAGATGGAAATCAATTAAACAATGGCGCGCCAGAACGCGCTGCCGCTGCGGCAACAATCGGGGTTCGTTTTAAGGTGGGGCCAGATCCATCAGCGGGGCATGGCGTTGAGGTAAAATGTACCTTGAACCCCCCCGGTACGATTCTTATCTCCCCAGTTTTTTCTTATCGGAGCACTGGACCCACCTTTAAATTCCAATTCCTCCCCCTCCACAGCACTCCAAAGTCGCTGAAGTTCTGGAGCGCAGCTGAATCGTCCCGGACATCAAGGTTCCTCCGACTTCCCCGATCCCGAACCCGTCAAGCACCAGTCAAGATGTTGTACCTCGTTGGTCTCGGTCTCTCCGATGAGACAGATATTACCGTCAAGGGTCTCGAAGTTGTCAAGAAGGCCGAGCGTGTCTACCTCGAGGCTTACACCAGCATCCTCCTTGTGGACCAGGCTACTCTTGTACGTTGGCGCCCTTCATTTATTGTCGTCGTTGTGATCTTCCTTGTCTCTCCTCTCTTTCTCCCTGCCTGTCTCTTCCTCGTCCATGATTTCATCCCAACTAACTCCACACACACAAACGAATTGTCCATGCTAACCACCCTTCTCCTCCAGTAGGAATCCTACTATGGCCGCCCTATCGTCGTCGCCGACCGCGAAATGGTCGAGTCCAACAGCGACGAGATCCTCCGCGATGCGGACAAAGTCGACGTAGCCTTCTGCGTCGTCGGCGACCCATTCGGCGCCACCACGCACACGGACCTGGTGCTGCGCGCGCGCGAGCTAGGCATCCAGGTGCGCACCGTGCCCAACGCCTCTATTATGAGCGGCATCGGAGCCGCGGGCCTGCAGCTGTACAACTTTGGCCAGACGGTCAGCATGGTGTTCTTCCTCGATAACTGGCGGCCCGCGAGCTTCTACGACCGTATCAAGGAGAATCGCTCCATCGGCCTGCACACGCTCGTTTTGCTGGACATCAAGGTCAAGGAGCAGAGCCTGGAGAACATGGCGCGCGGCAGGAAGATCTACGAGCCGCCCAGGTATATGACGGTCGGCACCTGCGCGCAGCAGATGTTGGAGATTGAGGAGGAGAAGCAGGAGGGTGTCTATGGTCCCGAAAGTCTGGCCATTGGCTGCGCCCGTGTTGGTGGAAAGACGGAAAAGTTCGTGTCGGGCACGCTCAAGGAGCTCTGTGATGCCGATGATCTGCTGGGTCCCCCGCTGCACAGCTTGATCCTCTTGGGACGGAGGACGCACGAGCTCGAGCACGACTTTGTGAGGGAGTTTGCTGTCAACAAGGAGAACTGGGACAGGATATGGAAGGCTGAATACTGTGGAAAGCAGTAGATCAAGTTTTCTTGTTTGTTTCAAAAGCGTACGTTCAATTAAATTAGCTTGTTACTAATATTGCGCCCGACTCAGTGTCAGTTAGAAAGACTCTGTGTGTAAAGTAAACTAGGCACATATCATTGTCATCGTCGACTCATAAATCATTCGCATCCCACGACACTTCCACAACTTAGTGCGACGACCTCCAAGACTGCACCTCCTGCTCGCTAACCTCCCGCAGCTTGTTCACCGACGCCGGCTTCCCCGTGATAACGCCCTGTGCCACATCCGCCACCTTGCCAACAATGTTCTTGGTCGAGATGGCATAGTGAGCGGTCACCATCTTGACGCGGATGACTCCCACGCGCGGGTCCTCCGGGCCGCCGTCGTGGACACCGTCGCCCAAGTCGCCGAACCAGGCCTTGAGATGGGGGTTGTAGTGCTTGCGGACCAGGTCGCGGTCCGTGACGATGCTGGCGGTGCCGCTGACCGAGGCCCAGTCGCCCGTGGTGCTGTTGAGGAACGAGATGTTGATGTGCTCGTCCGACTTGAGGTCGTCCGTCTTGCCCGACTCGGTGTTGGTGTGGAAGAGGAGGTCGATGCCACCGGATTCCTATTGTTGAAAGGCGTTGTTAGTCAGATATGGGAGTGTTGGAGAAGATGATGAAGAAAAAGAAGCACAATGTGTAATTTGAAGCTGTGGTGGACTTGGGAAACTACATACAGTAGCGGCCAGCGCCATACAGCGGGAGAGGAGATATCCCGTCTTGGAATCACGAGTGGTCATCATGCTGAACTTATTGCTGGTCATGAAGCTAGCAAGGTCATTGATCTTTTGATCTAGAGGCACCTCGGTGTCGAGGTTGGCCTGCTTGTAGGGGTCAGCCGGCTTGTTGCCGGTATCAGCGTTGGAGAAACCTTGGCCGGACATCTTGTTGGTGTTGTTGTGGTTGGTTTGCTGGGATTGGGTAGTCTTGATGTTGGTTGTAGTATAAGGTTGTGTGAGGGAGAGGTTGTGTTGGGATTGGATCAGTGAAGGAAGTGTGATTGTTCGTCTTGTTGGTCTAGCTGCACAGAGTGCTCTGGTGAAAATGATTCTCATGGTTGCTTGGGGTGAAGAAGAGGAAGCCGCCTGCTATATACATGTCTGTACGGTTCATTATGACAGTCATATGGTCTCCCCGCTTTCTCCTTTTTCATCCAATTGCACTCGTTCATGATGTAAGCATCCGAAGTTTCAGCAGACCGTACTTTCTCCATCTTCTATTCGCGGGCAATCGTCATCATAGATCACCGGCAGCTGTATGTGTGGTGCTTTATTTGCTTTTTGCCGTTTTGGGAAGCAGCGGACGGCAGGTGACGTCACCGGTTCTTGGGAGCCCCCTCTTGCAACTCGAAGCACCAAACGACTTCCGACGAAGCTTTGACCCCAACGGAATCCCAACACTTTCAGTTTGTTCTCACGATTGGATCGAAAAGGCGATCTTTGTCTCGGTGGAACTGTACACCAGATCGATACGTATTATTGTAATTCGATTGTATGCTTTCTTGACGACTACAGTGTCAAATTAAGTAACTAACTAATGTAGCATTGACGGCGATCGATCCTCTGTTCATCCCCCTTTTATTTCCGTCGATTTCAACCTTGGCCCTGTTTTGGGGAAACAAGCGGGAGTGTATTTACTCACGGGAGACTTCCCAAATGCACCTCCACTAAACTAACTCAAGTTGCTTCAATCTGCCTACCTACACATACATCTACACACGTACATCACTGCAATTTATCAGAGTCTGCATCACCCCGCCAGACCTGCCAGACCTACCCTCATTCGAGTCTTGACCGCTTCCCCTGACGGTTCCCCTGCCGAGCTGTCATCCGTTACTTGCCGACCCGCCGAGACTCACAGTGCTGTGTGATGTGAACGAAAGCAACAATACCATGAAATGCGTTGAATGCTCAAGCAGAAGACGCAGCAGCAGCAGTAGCAGGGGTCAAAATTAGCACCACCCAAGCCACCTTTCCCTCGCCATCCTTCAAAGCCGTCCAGTGGCTAACCAACCTCTTGCCCTTCGTCTGCTGTTCCTGTCCCTGTCCCCAGTGTCCCTTGTCCCCCTGTTCTTCCACTTTTGATGCTGATGCAGCATCTTTACCTCCGCCACCGCCTCCACCGAGTCCTCGAAAGGCAAACATGTTCCCGAGTCTCTCAACGGCCCCGTGCTCCTTCAATTTATCACTGAAAACCCTAGAGCTAGACGGCCGATAATCCGAGCTTGCTGCTGACAGGGCCCCTTCTCTTGTTGCCGCTGTCTTTCCTTCACGGCCGACGTTACTACGGCTGCGCGCACGGGCTGAGGAGAAGACGGAGGGGGGTTTGTCTGCAGTTTTGGTATCTCTTGAAGGGGAAGGGGTAGTAGTGGATGGGGCGGGATCATAAGCAAGCGTTGATATTTCAAGTGAAATGGACTCGCCCGCCGCCATGCTTTCGAGGACGGTAGACCGGAAGGTCTTTTCTATCAAGTCGGTCGAGCTCGTGGCACATACAAGGAGCGAGAAGATGGACCTGGATTGGACGATGGACGAATCGTAGCCCTTTAGGCCGAGGAAGTCAAGGGCTTCGGTGGAGCAGAAGGCGACTGGGAGGTGTGGCAATCGGGAGTGGCGCTTGTCGTTGGTCTGATGGGGAAAGATGTGAAAGGAGGTTGAGGGCGAAGGGACGTAGCGCATCACGAAGAAGCATGAGTAAGGTGTGCTTATTGGCGTGGGTTTGGGTGGTTCGGGTTCAACTTGGTAATGGTCGTGGAAAGGATTCGAGATCCCCCAGTTTTCCATGTGACCGTCCATGGGCGAGGGTGATGGTGACTTCCTGGCATTCATGAGAATGGTCGGGTCATCTGGCTGGCGCTCTGCATGGCTGGTGTCAAGTACGTTCTTTCTGGGACGGAAGCGATCAAAAAGACGCTGTCGGTGTGATCGTCGAGGTGTGACCGGTGAGTTCTCGCCCGGGGGACACGAGTCTTGGATGTGTATGGCAGGTCGCTGAGCTGAACCAATGTAAGATTCTGTGGATGTGCTGGGTAAAGAGTTCTCCTCTGTGGGTGTATCAAAGTTGAAAAGGTCCATGATCTCCTGGTGACTTGTGCCCATGCCCTTCGATATGTTGATCTGACCACCGAGACAGTAGCGCACGATGCCGTCTTCAACTAGAGGACAGATGAATAAGAAGTTCCAGAACGGAGTTCCATCTTTGCGATAGTTGACAATCAACTCAGTGTGTTCTCTTCCCATGAAGATCGCATTCCGCATTCGATGTACTGCGTCGCCGTTGGTGGAGTTGCCCTGCATAAACCTGCAATTCCTTTGAAGAACCTCGTGTCTCTCAAAGCCAAACATTCTCAAGAAACCTTCAGAGGCATAGACTATGGGGTTATCGGGCTTCCAAGAGTCGGTAAGACAGAAGGCATTGCCAAGGCCAGGGTACGTTGACTTGAATGGGATGGAGGAAGAGGGCTGTGTAACGGATAAAGAAGCCCTTAAACGATTCGCGAGCTGAGACTTGACGAACTCGGGATAGAGGTCATTGACGAGCCGTTCTTCAGCTGCGACCTTGGCTTCTCGGTACAACCTTTCCAGCGACGGCAATGCAGTCCGAGCACACTGCTTAGTATTTGTCTTGAAAGCAAGTGGATATGTGTAAGCAGGTTCTATGGGAGATCTTGCCGGAACTTCCAAGTAAGTTGAGATATGATTGATCAGGCTTCTCAAGGTGTCAAGTGCGCCGGTGTACTGCTCCGCCTAAAAAGTCGATCGTAAGAACCATGAATTGCTATCATGTGACGGTCCGAGGATGGACATACCTCTAACATAAGCCCCAAGTCCACAGAGTAGTTCCTAGGTTTGGCAAAGTCGCGCAACTTTCTTCCTACCTCCGGGTCCGAAAAGGCGATTTTGATCACCGTACGATCAAACAGATTGGGAAGTGACCCAACATATTGTGCGTATTCACTCGAGGCCACACTCGTAGTGCCCCCCAAGGAGATGGTATCGATGGTGCTTACGGCATCAACATCCTTCTGCTTCTTCCAGTACCAAGGTGTATTCATCGGACTTTCCGACCTGCTGTCTGGGTATTGACGGAACGAGGACTTGCTGGTATGCATTGAGAGGGCCGAGTCGCTTCGTAGTCGCATATGAGTTTTCTCAAGCTTCAGCTTTGGACTTGGCGGTGCAGGTGGTGGTGATAGTGCCGTCGGATGGGTCAAGGTTGCCGTGGTGTTGGATTTGTAGGGCAGCACCATCGAAGTGTTTGACTGATCACTGCCGCGCCTTTCAATGTCCGAGTCAACACCATATGGTGAACATGGAATGGAGTCAAGTGTGCCTGTTCTAGAGTGCCGCATAATTGATATCGGACTGAAGTGCGTGAAGGGTTTTCTGAAGACGGAGTATTCTGGTTTTCGTCTTGATGAGAGGATGAAAAGAACCCGAGATTAACCACGAGATATAAACGACAGACACCAACACCTTTCGGACCATAAACCCTCTTAGCAGAATCGAGTTCTTGGAGACTGTGCGTATAGCACTTTTGGTTAACTTTCAATCGTTTCTCGTGTGCCTTCAACCACGGACGCTCTCACTAGGCATAGACCCCACTTTGATCGAAGCAAGAGGCGAAAGAGGCGACGATCCGGTCCTTCTTCCTGAGTATGGACTTTCCGATCATCATTCCGTATTGAGGACACTTTTCTGCGAAGAGCCGTAGTCACCCGTGGATGAGATGACATCCGGCGGTACGGTTCATTGAAAAGAGTCGAGTGCAAACGGGCAGTCCTTGATTCCAAAAGAAAAGGAACGGGGCCCATTTCGGTCATAGGGGTCCAAGTGACTTTGCTTTTCACCCACTGCGAGTGAGTAACGGCAGTTCACCTAACCCGAGGTACACCTAGGCTTCCCTGGCGGCCGCCGTGTTAACTTCCGTGAATATCCAGTCTTGCCTGGAAAGGGACGTCAAATCATCTCAAGCGTTTGCATCGAGGATTAAGACCACCATCCATGCCATGTTTCAACCGGGTCGTTGCAGAGGGCCGGCCACCTGCCTTGGCTTCCACGAGAAGATTCCATGCCACGAGCGTCAACACGAGTGTTTCAAGCCGCGAGCCAAAATTTCCTGATGGTTGGACTAGGGATATCGTGGATTGGCAATTCCATTTTTGTGGGATCATCGCCGAAACTTCAGCGATGGCGTTTGGAGGCCGGATCTGGAGATGAAGGAAGGCCTACGGCTGTCCTGGTGAGTCCCACTTCCCCAATTGAGGGATGTCTTTTGGGTCTCGTTTGCCATGACTGGGCGCTAAGAAGGTCGTGAATCATGAGCATCGGATACTTGCTCGTCTCGTCCATGGAGCGGAAGATTGGTGATAAAGGCCGGTTAAAATGAGCAGCAGGTTTCCTTTATCTCCAGTCGTCTCCTTGCGTGGTTGATGTTCGCAGCTGCCCAGACCAAACTTGAAAAGAACGCGAGATGGTTATTGACGGATGGATTTCAACTGACGAGACCTTGGTGTTTGTTTGACGGGGGATTTGATGTGCAACCGGGCAGTATTGCGGGAGCCCGGCCGGTAGGAAAGACGGGACGGGATGCCCCCCCCCCGGGCCACACCCGATTCAACAGAGCGCTGTAGCCCCGCTCATGAAATGCATCCTGGACCTTCTGCGGGGAGCTCCTAAAGGTAGCGCGATATTGCGAGGGGTATGCGCCCTGTATCTAAAGCTTCCCGTCCAATGTTCCATTGGCTAGGTCGTCCCCGCCTTTTCCGACTCGACAACAACCTCATCCCGTCAAACATGGCGATTCTTCCATCAGCATCAACTGTCGCTGCTGTATGCTTTCCGCTCTTTTGTCGTATTCAACTTATCTGTGCCACCTTCATAACCCAATGCGACGCTACAAAGCATGTGCAATTTATGCGCTACTCTCCGACTCTCCTATGCGCACAACATGGCGGGAGTGCCTTGACTGAGCTCGCAATGGTGATTTCGTCCCACAGACCCTTTGCATGACACTCGACCACGAGACGATTGACTTGGAGATACAGAGCACAACCGCAGAGTCTATCAAAGGGCGTGATACAAAGGTTGTAACTAATACTGGCAGTTGGTTCCGCCAGACGGTCCAATACCGGTGTCACATCTCTGCCCACGACGAAGCCTTCATCATACCTACCTACAGACAAGTCGCGATGGACGTCTTGGAAGGAACAGTAAGTGTAGAAGGGGAAGGCATCAGAGGGCTTGAAAGATGTCGATCAACGGCTGCGCGTGACTTCCCCCGCTCAATGATGCCGGAAGTTTACTCCTGTTGCTACTGTGACAACAGTGCTTGACTATGGCTCCTGCCGGTTGACCTGGTGTTGTGCTCAGAGACCTGCACGGTCAGGGGTTCGATCAGGGCAACCGACTTTGGGGTTAGATTTAAGACATGGGATGAACTATATCCGCCATCCCGGTTCGGTTACTCTCCTCACATAAAGCGAGGACTGTTCTTGTCCTTCTAGCCCGCTCCACCCCCATATACTTCGTTGTTTATCTTTACCTCATGGCTATCTTCTGCTCACAATGACATTATTGCTTTCCGCTACTTTTGTGCTCCTGTTCGCAGGCCAAGCACTTGCCCAAGATACAGACGATATCCTCCAACATGTCGACCCATTGATTGGCTCAAGCAACGGCGGAAATGTCTTTCCCGGAGCCTCACTCGCATACGGTATGGCCAAGGCCGTGGCTGACACGAACAGCAATTCAAACCAAGGTGGCTTCACTCTGGATGGTGCCCCGGTTACTGGTTTCAGCATGATGCATGATAGTGGTACCGGTGGTAGTCCTTCTTTGGGCAACTTTGCCTTGTTCCCCTATACTAGCTGCCCCGGAGGAGACATTAACCGGTGCGCGTTTCCTAAGAAGACGAGAGCCAACTTTGGCGGTTTCGACGAATCCAGCGTCTCTGCCAGACCTGGGACATTCGGAATCACACTGAACACCGGCATCCGGGCAGACATGACAGTCACTCAACATACCGCTCTGTTCAGATTCACGTTTCCTGAAAATAGTACCATGGGTGAAGCCGCGCAACCACTCATCTTACAGGACCTGACTGATCTGTCAAACTCGAGGCAGGACAATGGAACAGTATCAGTCAATGAGAAGACGGGCCGCATCACGGGGAGTGCTCGTTTTCTGCCCAGCTTCGCTCAAGGGAACTACGTCCTTTACTTCTGTACTGACTTCTCCGGTGCCGAGATCTTGGATAATGGTATCTTTGCGGACAGCAGAGCCAGCACATCCGTCAAGAACATGACTATCTCCAGATCCATCAATGGCTATCCTCTTCCGGGCGGTGCATTCGTGAGGTTTAAATCTGGAGCCAAGCCGATTCTGGCAAGAACCGCCACGAGTTTCACCAGTGTCGAACAAGCGTGCAGACACGCCGAGTCTGAGATTCCTGACTTTGACTTTGATCGGATATCACGAGCAGCAACAGAGCAATGGCAGGCCAAGATGGGCGGAATAAGGATATCGACAAAGGGCGTGGATAAATCCTTGATCACCAACTTTTACAGCGGTATCTACCGCACTCATATCAATCCACAAAACTACACCGGAGAAAATCCGTTGTGGTCCAGTGACGAGCCATACTTTGATTCGTTTTACTGGTATGTGCTCTTAGATATCCCCAGTGTGCGGTCTCAACTCACAATCACAGCATATGGGATCTGTTCCGTTCCCAGCTCCCGTTTCTCACCATTACGGACCCAACGGCAGTCACTCAGATGATCCGCTCCCTCATTGACACGTATCGGCACGTGGGATGGCTTCCCGACTGCAGAATGAGTCTCAATAAAGGCTACACACAGGTATTTGCATTATGTCCAAAGTAGAGGACTCTTCTGACCAGCTCTCTTAGGGTGGTTCAAATGCCGATGTGGTACTGGCAGATGCGTACATCAAGGGCCTTGATGGAGGAATCAATGTACGTCTCATCCTATCCATGTCATTTACCATCCATACTAACCTATCAAAGTGGGAGGATGGCTACGCCGCTGTTGTCAAAGACGCCGAGGTTGAGCCATTCGACTGGTGCTGCCAGGGACGCGGCGGTCTCGACAGCTGGCATTCTCTCGGTTACATCCCCGTCCAAGATTTTGACTGGAAAGGCTTCGGCACCTTAACACGATCTATCTCCCGTACACTCGAATACGCCTACAACGACTTCTGCATCGCCGAAATGGCCAAGGCCTCTGGCAGGACAACCGATCAGGAGAAGTACGCCCTTTCGAGCGGTAACTGGCGCAACCTCTACAAAGAAGACCAGACTTCCTTCTGGTGGAACGGCACCGACACCGGCTTCACGGGATTTTTCGAACCTCGATATCTCAACGGCACCTGGGGCTATCAGAACCCTCTAAACTGCTCCAACCACGACGACTTCAGCGTCTGCTCCCTGCAAAACAACGGCCCAGAGACATTCGAGTCCTCCATCTGGGAATACGGCTTCTACGTGCCCCACGACCAAGCAACGCTGATCAGTCTCTACGGAGGTCCAGACCGCTTTGTCGACCGCCTGAACTATCTCCACGACCAAAACATTACGTACATCGGCAACGAGCCGTCCTTCCTCACGGTGTTTCAGTACCATTACGCGGGACGACCGGCTCTCTCCGCCAAGCGTGCGCATTATTACATCCCCGAGTTCTTCGGCACCACTCCCGATGGTCTGCCAGGCAACGACGACAGCGGCGCGATGGGCTCGTTTGTGGCCTTTACCATGATGGGTCTTTTCCCCAACCCGGGCCAGAACGTGTACCTGATTACTTCGCCGTTCTTTGAGTCGGTGAATATCACGAATCCGTTGACGGGCAAGATTGCGAGGATCAGAAATGTCAACTTTGATCCCAGCTATAAGAATATCTACATCCAGAATGCCACGCTTGATGGGGTCAAGTATAGCAAGAACTGGATCGACCATAGCTTTTTCACGGAAGGAAAGGAGCTGGTTTTGACGCTTGGTGATAGAGAGAGTGATTGGGGTACGAAAGTGGCTGATCTTCCTCCGAGCTTGGGAGAGTATAAAGGATATGGAAACTCATCGTCTTCTGCTGGATATGGATCATGGAATGATACTGCCGGTAGTAGTGCCAAACGGATCAGGAGTTGGTTGAGGGGGGATCTAGAAAGCATGTGATAGTTTTTTTTTTTTTCTCTTTTGTCAGTATCGTTAGCGACTACAGGTTTTCTTTCATGACGCGTTTAATTACCATCACTCATACCCAATAACCACCCTACAAAAACCTTCTGCAATGCAAGCACCACCCAAAACCCCCTTTGCTCAAGTAAACCGAAACCCCTCCGGTAAATGCCCCCCGTACCCTCCCTCCTCCACCAACCTCCTACCCGCCTCCCACACATTTTCTGGTATCTCCATTTTAACCTGCCACCCCTTCTCCCCATACTCCTTTATGCGCACCAAATCTCCCACCATGACGTTAATAACCAGTTCTCTTCCATTCCCACTCTCCTCATCAGGATACTCCTCCCACTCCAACGGCGGACTGGTCACGCTATATTTCACTGTTTCCTCTTTTTCCTCTTTTTCTTCTTCTTCCCATTCCACTCCCACCCCTGCTGCCCCTGCTGCCCCTGAAGCCCCTGAAAAAGAAGAAGAAGAAGAAGAAGAAGAAGAAGAAGAACAAAAAGAAGAAGGCCACTGCCTCCCAAACGTCCCCCACGTCCTCCGCTCCATATACGGTTTCTGCACCAGCAAAAAATCCTTTACTTTGATTCCCCTTTTTTCCAGTAACGCATGAGTAAAGCGCACGTTTTCGCCCGTGTTGGTGGATTGCTCTTCTATGAGGATGGCGGAGGGGGGCACGCCCATGGAGAGCGCAATGGAGGCGAAGATGGAGGCTTCGGATTGGAATTTTTTCTTGTCTTCTGCTTTTTGGGGTTGGGTGTCGCCGTCGGAGGAGGTGGTAGAAGAAATGTGGTCGCCGGTCAAAGAACGGGTCAAAAGGCCGGAGTGGCCTGAGAAGAGGAGGTACTGGTAGGCTTTGCGGGGGGGTGGTGGTGATGAGTCCGGTTGTGCTTGTGCTTGTGCTTTGCTGCTGGAGGAAGAGGAGGAGGTAGTGGTGGAGGAAGGAGGAGGAGATGGAGGAAGAAAGGTGGTGAGAAAGAGATGGGCGGCGTAGCGGGCTACGCGGAGGTCGAGGGAGCAGAGGGTGAAGATTATTCGAGTTGGCTCCGAGTCGTCTTCTTCCAAGTCTGATGGGTTTTGGGGAATAGGAGAAAAGGTGGGAAGGGGCATGTGCATTCGGTGGTAGTTGTATATGGTGCGTGCCCAGTTGTCGATCTCTCCTGACGTTGCCCTTCTTCTGTCGATGTTGGTTGTGATAGTTGTATCGAATGTGGTGGGGGTGCCAAGTATGTCGGCCGGACTAGGAACCGAGACTGGGATCGTGGACGGAGCTGTTGTTGTGGCCGAGGCGGAGGCGGTGGAGAGAAGGGACGGGCCGGGAGCGGGGCCGTGAGTGGGGACCCCATCCGGGGGTGGTTGCTCTTGCGACATCTTTTGATCGCTTGCTAGATGATGGGAGGTATGATGCTTGTGATGAAGAATTTCACCCAGAATGAGCCAGTTAAACGTCGACTGATGGCAGCAAAGAAGCTGGCAGGCCGAAACTGTTGTGTGAACTTTGTTAGTGAGAAGAGGACTGGAGGGAAAGGATGTTGCGATAAGAAGTCACTGCGGAAAGTGATACTGATGAATGGCCGATGCCACCTACCTCTAGGTACTAATGACATTTCAGCCATGACAGGGCCCAGAACTGGGCGGGGGTAACACTAAAGGCCGAAGGTGCTCATGACCAACCAACCATCACCATCTGTATCGGCAGCCGCGTTCCGAGCAAGATCACCACAAGATTGGATACAAGATCATAGGATGCTGACCACCATGAGGTTTTTTGATATTCACACTGTCAATCGTCAGAGAAAGACCTACCTGTTCATATGCATAGCCCTTCCCTTTCCTACCTACCTACCTATCGTACAGAAACCTTAACTTGTTAACCTGGAAGCCAACGCCACGCTCGGGTATCATCCCCAATCCCATCATATGTGCGCCGCCGATTGGAGGAAGCCATCAAAACTCCTTGGTCTCGCCAATGGCACAGCTATCAAACACTCCCGTCTCAGGCAGTCCACTCGTCTTCAACGCCTCCTTCAGCAACTTGGGCGGCTCCTCCACCTCCTCGATGGTCAACACCCAAGTGCCCCAGTGGATCGCCATGGCCTTCTCGCACTTGGTGTCCTTGAAGATCTCCACGGCATCATATGGGTTCGAGTGCAAGCCGCTCCACATCCATCTGGGCCTGTACGCGCCAATGGGAATCAAACCCAAGTTAAAGGGCCCGCGTAGCTCACCAATGTGCTTGAAATGAGGGCAGCGGGGCAGTGAGTCGTACTTTGGTCCGTAGTCGTCTTCCTCCGCCGGCATCTCCGGTACGGCGCGGTAGCCCGTATCACCGCCGAACCAGACTGACTTGCCGCCTGACTTGATGGCGAATGAGCACCAGAGAGTGGTGTCTTTGTCCCAGCCGGTGCGGGCGGAGGAGTGTTGGCATGGCAGGCAAGAGACTTGGGCCTCGATCTCTTCCATGGTCTCCTTGCCGTCGGAAGTGCTAGGCTTCTTGATGGTCAGGGTGGCGTCCTCCCACCAGTCCATCTCCGTCACCTTGTCGATACCCGTGTCGCGGAACCAACTCGCCAACCCCAAGCCGACAAAGAAGTGCGCGTCCGGGTTGTTCGCCGCGAGCTCTCGCACGGTCGGCTCCGACAGGTGGTCATAGTGCGAGTGCGAAATGACAATGGCATCCAGCTTGGGGATGTCGGCCAGCCTGCACGGCGGTTGGGTGTACCGCTTGGGGCCGAGGTAACGACTAGGTGCGCAGCGATCTTCAAAGACGGGGTCGAAAAGCACGCGCAGGCCGTTGGGGTACTCGACATAATAGCATGCGTGGCCGAGCCAGGTAGCGCGCAGGGTCTTGGTGTCGCTGTTCTGCGCCTCAGACTTCTCTTCCAAAAAGTAAGGCTTGATGACGGGAATCTGAACATTTGACAAGTCGGGAGCTGGCATTTTGCCCTGGAGCCTTGACCTGTTCCCGCGTGTTAGCGCAATGAATATGATGGGTCGGCGCTATGATGATGATGCTCCTTACAAGAACATCTTGCCTACTGTCTGCAGAGTGTTGCGCAGGACACCGGCAGACGGGTGCGGGTTCTGGAACCCGATGAGTTTACCCTTGGAATCCCTGACATGATGGCTGGTGGCATCCTCGGGCGCGACACCCAATGTGGGCTTGGACACGGTTGCTGAGTATTCGGCCATGGTGTTGAATGATCTCCTTGATGGTGGTGGTGACGTCTGGGCTGTTGAAGAGTTATGGGATGGGTGCACGGCTGATCCAGATACTAGCAGATGACGTGCGCGGTTCGTCGCAACTGTTGAAGTCGACGACCATCTAGACCGGCATGCTGCCCCTTTAATAACAAATGACACCGGCAGTCCGGATGGCTTTGACGACAATAATAGCTTTAGCTTGTCCGACCGCAAACCCGCGGAGACATATCGGGAACTGCCACTCATTCCTTGAGGATGGCTCTGTGCCTGGTGTGGTGTCAGCCCCACTTGTTATAGCCTCTAACAGTGAGCTAGCAGCAGTGTCCGTAGACAAGCGGAGCAGACAGCGCAAAATGGATGCGGCCGCGTTAACAAAGTAATAAAGCGACCACCAGACGCACTCTGCCCGTGTATCTCTTTTTTTTCTTCTTATCTTCCTTCCCGCACTGCCGTGCACCTCACTCAAAGTCCGAGTGACCGTCTGACTCCAGCGCAACGATCGTCAAACAAAGTTCAACACAACCAACCGAACTCGATTCCCCTTCTCTGAGACTTTTCAGCTCTTTCACCCCGTACGTTCCGGTCCTGTCAAATTGTGCCGCGTGTGGCGTTGGGGGTTGAGGGTCAGGTCGGTTGGTTTTGCAGCGCTCGCTGGTGGTTGGTTGATTGACGGTGCCCCGAAAGCAGTAAAAGCTCTCATAGACGTGCTCTTTTTTCCGCCAAAGAGAAACAAAACACAGCGCAAAGAAAAAAATCAATCAGTCCCTCTCCGTTCTCCGAGTCTTGGCATTGCCCGGGGTTGTCTTGGGTCCTTGACTTGGCATTTCGAGACGACGTGCACTACAACAGAGGGGTTTAGGGTTGTTGCCCGTTGCAACGGCGACATCCTGGCTTGGTAGGGCTTGGCGTCAACGATGATTTAGGGGTCAAAGTGAGGTTGGTTCATTCCTGAGCAACTTTGACTTACACACATGAATGACCATGGAAACCTCATTGACCCGCAACGGCTGCTATCCAGTATCCAACCCCAAAA